GTGGTCGCGGTTGCCCCGTCGCGTCGTTCTTCTTGGTGGCTTTTCATTGGAATGGCGTCAGGCGGCCCCTTCCGCGTATAACTTTCGCCCGGAAGCGGTAAACTAGAGAACTTGCTCGCCGTCTGATTCTCGGCGCCGCGGCGCTGCGCTCTGGCTCCGCCCCTGGCGCGCAATATGTACGCGTGCAATATGTGTCCCGGGGAGGCGGCGCCGCGACACGCCCCCCGCTGGCGATAAGAATCGTTCGGTGCAGCGCACAGTGGGCCAGAAGATCGGCGCGGGCGCCCAAAACTCCGGAAGCGTTTTCAGCTCGAGAGTCCCTAAATGAGACTCGAACGGAGAGTGTGACCCCGCCATTGCATTGCTCTCCGAACGAGGAATCCATTGGTGGGGTCACACGCTCGGTTCGAGCCCTGTTTAGCGACTCTGGAGCTCAAAACGCGTCTGGAACTCTGGCCGCCTGCGCCGGTCTTCTGACCCACTGTGCAGCGATTCCTATGCCCAGGATTTATCGAGAGCGAGCGCCTTGGCTTCGACACGGGGGACTTGAAGAAGCAGCGGGGACTGAATCAAGCAAAGGGATGCTGCTGAATCGGGAGCAGGACGGAGAAGGAGCAGGCGGAATCAACAACAAGGGTGCGGTCATCAGGGACGGCGACGACCCTCCCCCTCTCTCTCTCTCTCTCTCTCGTCCTCTCTCTCTCTCTCTCTCTCTCTCTCGCTCTCTCTCTCTCTCTCTCTCTCTCTCCTCCCTCTCTCTCTCTCCCTATGAGGAGAAAGCGCCCGCGAAGTCGAGGGTAGGCAACCCGCTGGGCCGGCACGCCCGGCGGCACGGCCGTCCCGTTCCCGCAGGCGGCGAGAGGGACACGCCAGCGATGGCGGCGCGTAAACAGCGAGACAGAAGCGCCAGAAAAAGTGGAAAGTGTTGAATGCCAGACCAGGGGGAGGGGGGAGGGGCAGGGGCGGACGGTGTGCTGCGGCCGCGGACCCCCCGAGGGCCGAGGGGCGCCGCGGGGCGGGGGAAGGGGGGGGGGAGCTGCTTAACAATACGGACCGGGACGCGGCGGGACGCACCGCGGAGCGTATAATTTATGAAAGGCAAAAGTCCTTCTCTTCTCACCTGCCGGCCGCCTTCACTTGTCGAATCGCCCCGTCCGCGATGCCGGGACATGCCTCCCCGCATTGGGAGACAGACAGACAGACAGACAGACAGACAGACAGACAGACAGGCAGACAGACAGACAGACAGACAGACAGACAGACAGACAGACAGACAGACAGCTAGACAGACAGCTAGACAGACAGGCAGACAGAGAAGGGTGGGTCGAGGGACATGTATGCAGCTGCCTTGCTGGCCTCTGGCTGCCTCTGGCGCTGTTTTGGCCGCCTCGCCGCGACATGGTGGCGTGTTGGCGCGCGGACGCGGCGTGCGAACCGCGGTCTGTGAGTCTGCGAGGGCGGGGACAGGTCCAACTCCATAGGGAGTGCCGTGCCATGTCCTCCCAAGCCCGACTCCTTGCTGTGTGTGCGTGTGTGTGTGTGTCCGCTCGTCAAACGCCATCCTTGTGGGGCGTTTAAGTAAATACCCCGTCTAATTATTTTCGTTTCATCCGCGGTCCCCCGCCACGCGGCGCCACGCCTTTGCCACATTTGCCTTCCCGAGCCGCGCGCACTGGCTTATTCTTTCACCTGCAAAGCAAAGCGCGCCAGAAACAAAACAAAAAACGGAAGGAAGGGGAACAAAAAAAAAGAGAAGTTTGTATTGTGTGAGGGCGGTGGCGCGCGGGAGGAACTTGCGGTGACTTGTGTTTCATTCTTTCTTTTTATTCTTGTTATTATTGTTATTACTTTGTTCGTCCCCACGCACGCCCTGTAATGTGCTCCGGGCGGGGCGGGGCGGGGTGGGGGGCGGGGCGCTGCCGCCGAGAGCACCGAGGCAGCGCCGAGGCCACCGAGGCTGCCGTTACAGTGCAGCAGTTTCCACTCCGGCAGCTGTTACCCCCACTCCCCAAATTAGACCCCTAACGCGGCCTCCCTCGGGAACTCCCAGGGGAACTCCCTCGGGGAGGCGGCCCTTTCGGCCTCCAGCCGCTCCAGCCGCTCCAGCCCCGTGTTCGCGCCGACCTTGGAGGGCCACGTCCCTTTTCCGCCGAGATTCCTGGACGCGGCGCGACAGTCGTCCCGGCCGTCGCCGCGGTGCACTGCACTGCGAACGGGACGCCCCGGGGGGGTTCATGAATGCGCTAGAAGCCAATGACCCTCGTTCGAAGCGCCTGCAGTGGCGTCGAGGTACGCAACGGACAGTGTGTGTGTGTGTGTGTGTGTGTGTGTGTGTGTGTGTGTGTGTCTGTGTCTGTCTGTGTGTCCGAGTGAGAGAGAGACCGGGCCTATGACGGCCACTACAGAGCGCCGCTCCTGTCGGAAGCACTTCCATGTGAGTGGCCGGGGCCTACTCGCCCGGCCCTGCCTCGCCCTCCTCGCTCCACTGCCTTGGGCCCTGGGTCGGCCAGCAGTGGTGCCAACGTCTTTTGAGGCTGGCCTCGGCCTCCACCGGCCTCAGGCCTGCGGCAGTCGTGCGAACGCACAGTGGGCCAGAAGACCGCCCCATGCGCCCTAAACTCTAAACGCGTTTTGAGCTCCAGAGTCGCTAAGCAGGACTCGAACCGAACGTGTGACCCCACCAATGGATTCCTCGTTCGGAGAGCAATCCATTGGTGGGGTCACACGTTCGGTTAGAGTCCTATTCAGCGACTCTGGAGCTCAAAACCCGCCCGGGGTTTTGATCGCCTCCACCGGTCTTGTGGCCCACTGTGCGACCCGGCGCCGAGGAGGCCTGATTTCGATATGCCGTCTCGTCTGCTCCGTCCAAGTTGCTCTCTGCAGTGCCCTTGTCGAGTTGTTTGTTCTGACGTTGGCACCACTGTCGTGGCGATGCGTGTTATTACGCCCGCGCCGAATCTTAACTTTTGGGCCAAGTTTGCTCGCCGTGCGTGTGCGTGCGTGTGTGTGTGTGTGTGTGTGTGTGTGTGTGTGTGCGTGTGTGTGCGTGCCTCCGCCGTGCGCGTGCCGCTAAACCGTATGCTCGGGTGGCTGATGCTGGGACACGAGTCTTATTTATTTGTTTTGCTCTGCGACTTATCTCTGTTCGGGTCGAAGGAGGCCGAGGTATTTATGATGGGCCTCGGGGAGAGGGGAGGGGAAAAGGGGGGGGCGGCTGCAGGCCCGCCGTCCATTCTTTTTAGACTGATGGCTCTTCTGTCCGAAGTATATTGGACCGCACCGGATTCGAGTCCCGCCAGATCAACCCCCCCCCCCCTTTTCCCCTTTCCTTCCCCGCCCCTCGTCCGAGCGCACGCACTCATCGTGACTTCGAGTAGGGCACCCATAGATCCTTCCATCCGAATGACCGACCTTCAGCCGAACCCCCACGGCCAAGCCCCCCGGCCAACCCCCCTCGGGGCCGCTCTGCCGGGCTGCAGGGCAGGCAGAGCGAAGGCGAAGCATAACGTCATAGAGGTATATGCGGCGGGGTGGCTCGGACAACAACAAACAACCGCCCTCCCAGCATCGATGGAGGGTTGTTTTTAGATTGAAGAGCGAGCATGGGGAGTACCAGGAACGCGCCGCAGAGCACAGCAGAGAGGCGGCCCCCGGTCGGCCGGCTGGCCCGTGCCATGAAATTCTCCCCTCTGAACCGACTCGGTGCACATTTTTAGCCGCTCTTTAAAACCCGGTGACCCTTCTTGCGTGAAAGTTGCGCTATTGAAGGGAAGGGGGCGCGGGGGTGCTTTTAGAAGGGGCGGGGGAACGGGGGGCGGGGAACTCGAAAAGGCTGGTCGAGTTACTGGCGACTGGCTGCAGGCGGGCACGGCCGGGCACCGTTTTTTGCAGCCTCAATGGGTGCCGTCGAGTGGAAGGAGCGTAGGGCACCCCACAATGGACTGACTGGCGACGATGGTGTGATATTTTTTGGCACGTATCGGCCTTCCTAGTGTGCGCGTTTGTGTGTGTCTGGTGTCTGTCACTGTGTTGGTGTTTTTTGAGACCCATTTGGCGCACTCGCGATTTTGCTGCCCAAATTTACAGTTTAAATTTAGGCTTAATTTTGCAGCGGTTTCCGACGAGCGGTCACCCAAATTAAAGTGGATTGCCACTCCGTCCCTTCGGGCCTTCGCGTGGGGGGGGGGGGCTCGGGGTGGGCCTGGAACCCTGGAGGCGGATTAGTCCAGCCAGACGGCCCCGTCGTCGCTGCAAAAGCGGTCGGAAGTCATTTCCTCGTGTTTGTTCAGAACTTATTCGCCTTGCCACCCCCAAATTCGGGGCTCCTCTCTGGCGGAGCCCCTTTTCCAGCCAGCGACTTGCCCTCGTCTCTTTCTCCCTCTATCTTTCTTTCTTTCTCCGTCTATCTCAGTCTCTCTCTCTCTCTCTCTCTCTCTCTCTCTCTCTCTCTCTCTCTCTCTCTCTCTCTCTCTCTCTCTCTCTCTCTCTCTCTCTCTCTCTCTCTCTCTCTCTCTCTCCCTCGCTCGCTCCTGCTGCGGTCGGGGGCCGCCGCGGCGTGTTTGGTGCGGGCCCGGCCCGTCGAGTCGAGACTTTTGCCTTTCGGTTTGGGGAAGGTGATTGAAATCATGCCCTAGGCCCTGGCGGGCTGGCGGGCTGGCGTAGGTCCGTGCACACAGGGCTACAGGGTCCCTTCCCTTCCACACCCGTGGGCCGGGATTGGCAGCGAGGAACCGTGGGACCGGAACGCCCGAGGCCGGGGCGGGGCGGGGCGGGGTGGGGCGCGCGACGCCGTGCTGGTGCGAGGGAGACGGGCTTTTCGCTTCGGCAGGAAGCACGGCATGGCGGATATGGCGGGCCCCGCCGCGAGAGCGAGAGAGCAAAAAAACGAAGTGAAAGGAAAAGGAGCAAGCGTCTTGCTTTCTGATAGGACATGAAATGTGGCGATATTGCGGGGGAGCGGGAACAATTTGAGGCTTAACCGGTCCTTTTTCCTCCGGCAGGTACATCAAGATGTCATCGCCGCACCTCAACAACCTCATCATCGTGGGCTGCCTGCTCACGTACTCGTCAGTCATCTTCCTGGGGCTGGACTCGCAGCTCACGTCCATCGAGACGTTCCCCTACATCTGCACGGCGCGCGCCTGGCTGCTCATGGCCGGCTTCTCGCTGGCCTTCGGCGCCATGTTCTCCAAGACGTGGCGAGTGCACTCCATCTTCACGGACGTCAAGCTCAACAAGAAGGTGAGCGGTTTTGCTTTAAGGGTTTGAGGGTCCGCGCTTTGCCACCCCACAGTGGATTTGCCAGAAGACCGGCAGAGGCGGCCAAAATTAAAGACGCGTTTTTAGCTCCAGAGTCGCTGGACAAGACTCGAACCGAACGTGTGACCCCACCAATGGAATCCTCGTTCGGAGATCGATCCATTGGTGGGGTCACACGTTCGGTTCGAGTCCCATTTAGCGACTCTGGAGCTCAAAACGCGTCTAGTATTTCGACCGCCACCACCGGTCGTCTGGCCCACTGCGCACTCGCGGCTCGCGAGCGCATTGCGGAGGCCCCAGGCCGAGGCGGGCAGCAGGGCTAGTGTACTGTGAGTGGGATCTCAGGCCATCCAAGGCCCTCGGTGTCTCCTCAAGAGCCTCGTTCATTGGGCAAGCTGCTCCTCCGATCGAAGGGTCCGGCCAGCGCTTCTCGGTATACTCATGCTAGAGTCCTTTAGTGTCTGGCCAACCCGGAGAAACCCGGTTCTCCAGCCTCAGGAACCCGTTGAAGCCTCACTGCGGTACTGTGGCGGCCCTTGCGATGCCAGTCGAGAGAAAGCGGAACGCGGAACCAACGGCCGTCGATGTGGGTCAAGGGGGCGGCTGGAGCGGCTGGAGCGGCTGGACCGGGGCCAAGCCATTCAAATGGTGGCCATCCTTCATTAACGAATTGCGGAACGTCGCAACACGTGTCTGTGACGTTTCTCGTGTCTGTGACGTGTCTGTGACGTGTCTGTGACGTGTCTGTGACGTGTCTGTGACGTGTCTTTGACGTGTCTGAAACGCGTCCGTGACGTTGGCGTCGCGCTCCTGCTCGTCGTGGTAGTGCTCGTCCACCCGTAGAGTCCCCGCCGCCAGTCGCCACGTCCGTCGGGGGAGCGGCGCAGAGCGGAGGTCGCGACGCCTGTCACACTCGCCGTCACATTGGCCGTCACACCGCGCCGCCCCACTTCGCAAATCGTTGCCAACCGCTGCGAGCTTGTTGAAAATTTAAGCGCGCGGCGGCGGCATCCGTCTGTGTGAGACTGTCGTTGTGAGACGGTCTGTGCGAGACTGTCTGTCTGTCTGTCTGTCTGTCTGTCTGTCTGTCTGTCTATCTGTCTGTCTGTCTGTCTGTCTGTCTGTCTGTCTGTCTGTCTGTCTGTCTATCTGCCTGTCTGTCTGCCTGTCTGTCTGTCTGTCTGTCTGTCTGTCTGCACACGTGTGTCTGCGCCGCGTACGGGAGACGGAATGGCTCTGCTCTGCCCTGCAGCGTCGCGGCCACATTATTATCATTTTTATGATTATTATTTTTATTGCCGTTATGTTGATGCGGCCGGCTTTCGCCGAAAGTAAATGGCCTCGCTAAATGGCGCGCGCGCGTGTCTGTGTGAGTGTGTGAGTGTGCGAGTCTGTGAAGACATCTCTTTTCTTTCCCGTTTTCATGTTGAAAGGGAGGCGAAATTTCGGCCTCCACGGCTGGCTGGCCGCATCGCGGAGAGAGGTTTTTTTTTTTTTTGCGGCCGGCCGCTGGCGGGGCTTGAACCCGCGTCGGGCGGGCCCAAGCGCGGCACGCAGTGCCATGGGCTGGCGTGACGCTTTATTGGCCGTTTGCTGGTCCATAATCCCGGGCAATGCATTACGAGCCTGGCACCCAAAAGGCAGCGGCCCGGGCCGGGCGGGCAGTTTGAAAAGTGATTTCGCCGACAAGAAGCTAATGATGGGCTGGCCCGGCCTGAGAGAGAGAGGGGGGGGAGGCACGGCCAGCAGTAAAGAGCAAAGAGCCGACACCTCGCTGTGACGGCGTCGCAGTCCCCGGTTCAAATCCCCGCGCCTTTTTAACGACTTTTGCCATTGCTTGCCTGCAGGTGATTAAAGACTACCAACTGTTCATGGTTGTCGGGGTGCTGCTCTTCATCGACCTGGGCATCATGACCACCTGGCAGATCGCCTACCCGTTCTACCGGGAGACCAAGCAGATGGAGCCCTATGTGAGTACCAGTCGAAGGATCAGAATCTCCAGACGAAAATGCATGGTCTCGTGCACGAAACCACGGGAAAAAGCTTTAAGCAGGAGTGCTACGCCCACCAGCGCAAAGAGAGATCCAATTATGTCGACATGCCGCGTGGAAAATTATTCTGAAGCCATTTGTTTGTTTTTTTTCTGCAGACGCACCCATCCAGCGAGGACATCAAGATCATTCAGGAGAACGAGTACTGCATGAGCGAGCGGATGACTGTGTTCGTGGGATCAATTTACGCGTACAAGGGCCTGCTCATGGTGAGTAAAGCGACGTTTTTCTTTCCTTTTTTTTTATTTTCAGGAGGGGCTGTACACACACACACTCCTATAAGGCCACTCGAGGCCCCCCGCCTCTCGTCATTATTACCATTTTACAGTGGAGGTAGATTAGCAGCGAGACCGCCAAATAGTACGTAATGCACACTGCCACACTCTCTCTCTCACAGGGAAAGAGAAAGAGAGAGAGGGAGAGAAACACGGTTGAACTGTTTTGGCCACGCAGTTTATACCACCCTTTTATTCATTTTTGTTTCGTCGCGTGAAAGTGGTGTCGCCAAAGGATTCATTTCGCGGCCGCCAAAGCCCGCTTTCATACCGCCGGCAGATGCCTCTCCATTAACTCCCCCCCCCCCACACACACACACGCGAGTGCATTCTCAGTTGTTTGTTTGGTTTTTTGCTCCCTCGTTGTCATGCATGCTCCTACGCTCCTTTTTTGCAATAACGAAACGTATTTGGCATCGAGGGGCAGATGGCCTGGTCGGTCCACGACGAGTGCGTGGCGGCGGCGAGGGCGGCGGCGGCAGGCAAGACCCGCAAGAAACAGAAACCCCTGTCCTGTCCCGCCGGGCGCGTGCAGCGCGTGCACGGACCACCAATGAGTAAAAAACAAAAACAACAACAACAATTATCGTAGGGGAGTACTATGAAGTTGCCGCGCAGGTTCGAGGGCCGACCCCGGCCCCGGCCCTCCCAGCCCCTCCCCTGACCCCGCCCCCTGCCGCCCCGCGCTCGAAGTTGTGATGAGGATTTACTGGGGGGTTGCTGCACTCCTGGGTGCCCCGCCGCGACCCCCTCCCCCTCTCCCTCCCCTTCCCCTTCCCCTCACCCTTCGTCCTCATGCGAGTCGGTGCCAGGAATTTTCCCCATGAATGAGCAGTGAATGTCGCCACTATTCTCGCCATTATTCTAGCCAACTTTTCATGACTCGTGAGTGGGGGAGGGGTGAAACTGAGGAAAACCAGGAAAAACGCGACGGGACGAGATTTTCTCCGTCTGATTTCCATTCAACATTCCGCTCATTAGCTCGCCGCCACATTTTCCTGCAATTTATTTCTTTACAAAAACAATGCTACAAAAAAAAATATTTAAAAAAATATTTTGTTAAGTGAGGTTACTGGGCCGGACCGTGTCATGCAGGCTGCACAGACAGCATGCAGAGAGCCTTCTTGCCACCACCTCGTCCTCCTTTGTATTCAGAGGCAGAGCGGTAAGGAAATGTCGCCTGATGGGGAGTGGGGCTGGCTGGCTGGCTGGCTGGCTGGCTGGCTGGCTGGCTGGCTGGGTGGCTGGCTGGCTGGCTGGCTGGCTGGCAGGCAGGCGCTGCCGGCTGAAATTGAAAGAAACGGATTATCCCGGCGAGAGAAAGTCCTCGCGAGTCCCGCCCCGCGGAGTCGCCGAGGTAAGCTGAAAGTGAAGAGGAACGGATTGAGGCTGCCTGCGCCTCGCCACGCCGCGCCACACCGACCTTTAGTCGGGGCTTTGGGCCCGCTTCGCCTCGGCGTCGCCCCCGCCCCCCCCCCCCCGACCACCCGCCCTTGATGTAGTTAAACTCACAAATAGGGCGCACGTGGATTCGAATTCGCTTTGCAGGGAAGCGACGTCACAGAGAATGGGTCCCTCCAGCACGAGCTCGCGCGTGCTTGTCGAGAGGAAGAATCAATGAATGAATCAGACGGCTGCCTGCCTGCTGCCTGCCTGCGCGGTGTCTCAGAGTATTCGCTCGGAGCCACAACAAGGGCGTCTTTGTGCTCCCTGCCTTCCCCTTGTTTATGTTTTCATTGTTGTTTTTGGCGTTCCCTTTTTTTTCCTGAGTCAAGAAGGACTCGGTCGTGCGGTGGACATGATATAACGATATCTGGAGTGAACCCGGCCATCCGTCTGCCGCCTGCGGAGGCGAAGCGACGTCGCCTCGGCGCAGCGGAGACGGACCGAGAGGATGGATAAAAAGGGAGGGATCAGGTTACATCATTAAAAAGTGATGAATACAACGATCATCTCCGTCGGCGCAGCGCGGGGCGGCGCGGGGTCCAGGGGGACCGGGAGGGGGGGACGGGGCGCGCCACGCGAACAGACTACACTGAAAAAAAAGTTCCATTATTAATGGTGCTGGAGAGCCTAGCGTCTCGAGACGCGTCTTGAGAGCGACGAACGCGGAAGTTGAGACCGGCGCGATGAGAAAGGCTTGAATCGACTCACATTTTTGTCCCGGTTCGCTGACTGTGTGTGGTGGGGTATTTTTATGCCCAGTCGCGTGGCACCTCTTGTCACGCACTGTGATTTTTCTCCGATGACTTGCCCAAGCGCTCTCTCTCTCTCTCTCTCTCTCTCTCTCTCTCTCTCTCTCTCTCTCTCTCTCACACACGTGTCCGCGCGAGGGCGAGCAGCGCGCTGCCCTTTGCGGCGAATGCGGGGAGGCACTTCTTGATGCGGAGAAGAGTCCAAGAGTAAGAGGGATTTAAGGGACGCGGCGGAGTTGTCTCGCTGCCCGGGAAGGTAGAGGCTGGAGGCTGCTGGAGGCGCCGACCTTCACCTCCCCCTTCCCCTCCCCCTTCCCCCTTCCCCTCCCCCCTCTCCCCCCCCTTCCCCCCTTCCCCCCCCCCCTTCCCCTTCCCGGTCCGTCCGGCAAGTTTTCCGTCTTGCGGTCGTGGTCAGCGCATCCGACTCAACTACTCTGCAAGTTGCTCTCGCGCACAACTTCGGTCAGAATCCCCCTGGCCGACTGGAAGAGACGCGGCACGGCGTCGTGCGTGGCGGGGCGTGGCGTGGCGGGGCGTGGCGGGGCGTGGCGGGTCGTGGCGGGGCGTGGCGGGGCGTGGCGGGGCGTGGCGGGGCGTGGCGGGGCGTGGCGGGGCGTGGCGGGGCGTGGCGGGGCGTGGCGGGGCGTGGTGGGGCTGGCCGTTGGCTTTTTCTATGAGCGGCCTGTGGGGTGGCGAGCGCGGGTTCAAATACTAGCTGACGCGCTTTTTTTTCTCTCTTCATCGTGTCCTCCTTCACCTTGGAGTGGATTACACCCCAGGGCCGGAAGTGCGAGGCCTTGGACGAGGCGCGGCGTGCAGGTACACTGTAGGTACACTGTAGGTACACTAGCGAGGGATGCACGGCCCGTCCCTGTGATAAACCGGAGTGTCCTCTCCCCCCCCCCCTCCTCTTCCAACGCCCTGGACCAGGGGACTGGCAATGTCACGGCTCACTGTACACCCCGCAGTAAACTACAAAGTGCTGCCTGGGCGAGCCGAGCCGAGCCGAGCGGGCCGAGCTCGGCAGTGCCCAGCCGGGGCCGTGTGCCGGGCCGGTGCGGGCCGAGCCGAGCCGAGGGCCATAGGCCAGCCCGCAATACACGGCACGCCCCGCCCCGCCCCGCCCCGCCACCGGCCTACCACTCAGTGTCGCTCGCTTCATTTCCATTTAGCCGAGCCGAGCAGAGTAGAGCCGAGCCGAGCGCGAGCCGAGCGGGGAGCCGAGCCGGGGCAAGGCCCTGTCTCCGAGGAGGGGTAGGGCTCCCCCCGGAGGGTCCCCCCGGGCCCCTTCATTATCAGCCCAGGTGCATGCCGGCCTTTATGAAGGGGATCATGCCTTTACCGCCGCGGTAAGTGCAGGCCGTGCAGGCGAGACGCTGACGTCACACCCTCGCCGTCAGGTCCTCGGCTCGGGTTCGACTCCCGGCCGGGCGCCTGCTGTTGGCAAGAAAGGTGGTGACTGGGACAGCGTCGCTACCCTCCGCTACCCGCTGGAAGAGCCTGGCAGTTCGGAGGCGGTCCAGAGGAGAGGAGAGGACCCCCCCCCCCTCCTCTTCTCTTTTCGCCGTGCGCTTGTGTCGCGTCAAAACTCTGGAGCCCGCCAAACCCCGCCACCCGCCGACACTAAAAGTTCGCGAAGGCAGCGTGCATTAGACCCGTTCCGGAGATGCTGATACGATCCCCGCGCGCTCTCCGCGGCCGCGCGGTCCGAGGCACTGACTCGCCATCTTCATGTGCCGCGGGTGCCGCGGGTTCGACTCCCGCCACTCTCGGACGAGGAGAACAGGCCAGGAACGACGGTTTGTTTACGTACCGCCATGCGTGACTGAGGCCTGGAGCGCCCGCCAAGTCGAGGGTAGGCAGCACGCCGCGCAGACGTGCCCGTCGGCGGCCTGCCCTCACGGCGCCGTGCCTCGGCGGCCACACTGTCGGCGGCCTCGCTGGCCAAATGCATATTCCCTTTACTCGAAGAGGCCCGTGGCGCGCCCCGCCCAGGCCGTCCAGGCCGTGCTCGTCGCCGCCTGTCCCGCTGCCCCGCCTCGCGCGAGTGGATGTCCGTGTTCCAGGGCCCAAGTCACTTAAGTGGCAAGTCTCGCCGCCGCCCACTCCCCCCCCCCCTTTTCCCCCGGACCCTCTGCCGCCGCCAGCCGAGCCGCCGCCTCTCCATCCATGTGTCAAAACGTCACGTTGCTCAGAACGGTCCGAACGGGGGCGGGAGACTGATTCGAGGGCGGCGCTTCAGGCCCGCCGGCTCGACTTTTGTGTGGCATTTTGGCAGCGCGTGTCTGCGACACACAGTGGGCCAGAAGACCGGTGGAGGCGGACATAATTCTAGATGCGTTTCAATCTCTAGAGTCGCTGAACGGGACTCGAATCGAACGTGTGACCCCGCCAATGGATTCCTCGTTCGGAGTCCCATTTAGCGACTCTGGAGCTTAAAATGCGTCCAAGATTATGGCCGCCTTCACCGGTCTTCTGGCCCACAGTGCGACAGTCCGGGCGACCACCTCCAACGCCTTGCTTGTGTTGCAGATCTTCGGCGCCTTCCTGGCCTGGGAGACGCGCCACGTCAGCATCCCCGCGCTCAACGACTCCAAGTACGTCGGCATGTCGGTGTACAACGTGGTCATCATGTGCGTCATGGGCGCCGCCATCTCCTTCGTGCTGTCGGACAAGCAGGAGGCGTCCTTCATCATCATCTCCTCCTTCATCCTGTTCTGCACCACGGGCACGCTGTGCCTCGTGTTCGTGCCCAAGGTACAGTCCGCGACGCAAGTTGGGACTGACCGGCGCACAGTGGGCCAGAAGACCGGTGGAGGCGGCCAAAACTCTAGACGCGTTTTGAGCTCCAGAGTCGCTAATGGGACTCGAATTGAACGTGTGACCTCACCAATGAATTGCTCTCCGAACGAGGAATCCATTGGTGGGGTCACACGGTCCGTTCGAGTCCCCTTTCTTTAGCGACTCTGGAGCTCAAAACGCGTCTAGAGTTTTGGCCGCCTCCACCGGTCTTCTGGCCCACTGTGGGACGGCCCTTTCACGTGTTTCCCGGTTGCAGCTCGTGGAACTGCGGCGCAACCCGCAGGGCTCCATCGACAAGCGCATGATCCGCGCCACGCTGCGGCCCATGTCCAAGAGGAGGGACTCGACGACCAGCGAGATGGAGGAGCGCATCCGGGAGGCCAAGGCGCTCAACGCCAAGAACAGGAAGCTGCTCCTGGACAGGGAGAGCGAGTACCAGGTGCGCCAACGCCGCCAGACCGCCAGCAGGCCGTCGTCGCTCCGTCACGCTCGCACGCACGGGGCGCCCCGTGGATGTGCGAGAGAGACAAGACGACGGGGCACAGTGGGCCAGAGAACCTCGGTGTGACGGTGTGGCGTCGCGTTGCAGGTGTTGCTGCGGCGGGTGGGCGGCATGGACGGCCAGACCGCGCTGGAGGGGGAGCCCATGGACAGGCTGGCCGTGCCAAAGACGGAGACGCTCATCCGGAGAGAAGGCAAGTGCGAGGACGACGGCGAGCCCTTCCGAAACGGGTCCAACGGGCCCAACGGGACCAACGGGCCTCGAGCCGCGGAGCCCCTTCGGGAGCCCCCGACGCTGACCTCTGGCCGGTTTGCAGGAGTGCTGGGGGCGCCGTCCGCCACGGAGACGACCGACATCAGCTCCATCAACTCGGCCGAGACGGAGTACGTCAGCCTCGGAGCAGAGACGCCCGGCCAGAGGTGCGCCCAGCCATGCCGACCCCGCCAACCCCAACCTCGAGAAACCTTTGAGAAACCTGGAATAACCTGCCCCTTCCACACTGCTAGGGAACACACACAAAAAAAAGACAGGAGGAGAGGGAATGACAGTGCAATGTCCATCTTTAAAAAAAATGAAACACATGCTCAACCAGGGCAGATTGTCCTGCCACCACCGTCATTAAGTGCAACTATTTCGTGTTTCTCAGTTCGTTCACAAGAAATGCAGGCACGCTCCATCCACTCCCTGTCCGCAAGTGTCACCAAAGCAAAGCACAACCTTTTTTTTCTTCAAGTCATATTTTTTTTTAAATGGTGTTCCCCATTTGACCTTCTTGTTACTAACCCTCTAATGTCACTAGGCAGCGTTAGGGCGTTGGCGGCCGGCGGGCCGGACACACTCAGAGCGTCGGGTACCTGTTTATCTGCATGGTAGCCAAGTTGTACAAGTTGCCAGCAAAGACCAGCCCCACGGCCTCGCAGAAGCTGACTAGTTCTTTGTCGCCATAACTATTGTTTATGGGACGCAGCATGAAGCAGTGCCGAGAACGGCACATCTGCGAGTATAGATGTAAAATGCCAAGTACACAGAGCCTTTCTACTTTCTCTCGTCGTACTTCTTGTGTAATGCATGGTACAATACCAAAGTTATTTTTGGTCAGTTTACTTTCTTTTTATCTCATACAATGCTAGTTTCTTTCTTTTTTTTTTTTTGAATATAAAGAATAGTTAGTGACAAAATTTTAATGCTTCAAAAAGTATGCTAATTTTGCAGCTTAATTTAATGGACAGGATAATTTTTGGAGTACCAAGTCGCAGAAGTGGCGAAACGCAATATTTAAGATGTAAAATGAAAATTTAAACTGCTTTGCCTTTACCTTGGCCTTAACTCAAAAAGGGTCCTTCTAGCTCTTCCACACAAAATATGCAGACATTGTAAAAAACTTACTTAGGTAAAAGTTGTAGCTTATGGTCTCTTTATCTCTCATTATAACATACATTGGGCCTTCTAACAACACTCTAGTAGAAGATTGCTTTTCATAGATGAGAACACTTGTGTTGTCATAAATTTCCTAATGGATTTTCTCATGTAAAGTATGTAAACCGATAAAACTGCATGCTTTGCATTAAAGATAAAATTACATATCGTTTACTTGTAAGGAGTTATAGATGAGCTTCATCTGACATGAAAGTAGAACGACTAGAAAATAATCAATTGTGGTAGTGCTTCATCTTGTACTTTAATGATTAGTTTTGTCATTTTATATTCCTAAGACTTTCTCTTTGAAAAACAATTTTTCTTAAATTTAATATTTTACTGCACTTTAATCATGGATTTAATTTTTGGACTTTATCAGTTTTGAAATGAGAATTTGTTGATGATCTTATTTGACCCTTTAATCCATTATTTTTGTTGTGAGTGTATACACTTAACCGCACCTTCCTCGCCGCTTACGTTTGCCATTTCCCCCTGCAGCCGAAAGAGATCGTTGGTCGCTGCGGCCAAGATCGCGGAGGAGGGCCGGCGGGGGTCCGTGGCCGCCGTCCAGGAGCTCAGCCAGAGCAGGCGGGCGTCCCAGCAGGAAGCTGGGCTCTACGTGCGCGAGGTACAAAGAATGCGGACAGATGACTCCCCCTTCTTCTTCTTCTTCTTCTTGAGGGTCTTCACCACGCGTTTGTCCACGCAGGCGAGCCGCGACTCGGAGCCGCAGGAGGACGACGATGACGGCGCGGGCAGGTACCCGCCGTCCTCGCCGGCGTCCTCGGCGGCCGTCAGCGGCGGCGGCGCCCAGCTGTCCAAGGTCGTGTCCTTCAGCGACGTGACGGACACGCCGTACGAGGACGCGGACTACGGCGACGAGGAGGACGAGGACGACGAGGACACGACGCCGCGGCACCGCGCGCACCACCACCGCGGCCACCGGCACTCGGCGGCGGCGGGGTCGTCGCCGGGCAGCGCGGGCAGTGCCGCTGTGCGGCGCCGCAGCTCGGTCAAGAGCTCGAGTGAGAGTGGCAGTGGCGGGCCGTGCGCCAAGCGCAGGACTAGCGTGCCGGCCGCCATGATGCGCACCGTGCCCGGCGTGCCCGGCGAGTCGCACACCCTGGGCCGCCGCAGCCCCAGGAACCCCCAGTTCGTGCACCAGGACGAGCTGTGGCTGTCGCAGCGGCCGGCCAGGGGCGCCTCTCCGAGCGGCGGCGCCACGCCCCCGCAGGGGCAGGGGCAAATGCCTGCCGCGGCCCCCGGGCCCCACGCCAGGGGCGGGTCCCCGCACGCCTCCAGCCCCTACTTGCTCAACGGGGGCGACGAGGAGGACCGCGAGGTGGACCGGCGGCCGTCCCTCAACTACCTCAGCAACAACTCCTCCACGCCCAGCGTGCCCGCCGCGGTGCTGGCGGAGCGCGACCGGGGATACGGTGAGTAGGTTGGCCAGCTCGGCTGGGCTGGGCGTCTAGTCGGCGGCTGGACGTGTCCTGGACGTGTCTCATTGTCCTTTGCCCTTTGCCCTCGCAGACTACGGGTCGGAGAGGGGCTCGGACCGGGGCTCGGAGCGCGGCTCGACGGCCGGCCTCATCCAACGGGCGGCGTCGGAGCGCGGCCGCGACAAGTGCTGCCACCACGGCAGTGGCGGCTCGTCCGGGCCGCACCACCATCACTACCCGTCCTCGCAGCCCAACCACCATCACCACCATCATCACCACGGCCACCACCATCACCACCACTCCCGGGGCCGCTCCTCGACGGGCGGCTCGGCGGAGGACACGACGGTGAGCACGGCCGTGGAGCGGCAGGCGTGCGTGCGGCACGCGTACCGGCCCGCCTTGCAGCAGCAGTCCTCCCTCGCACACGTGCAGAGCACGCCCGACGTGGCTCGGCCCTACGGCCACCACCACCACCACCATCACCACCACCGCGACCACCATCGCGACCACCGCGATGCCGTGGGCGGCGGCATGAACTCGGCTGTGTCGGAGGGTGAACTCCTGGACCTGGCCATCCTGCCCATTTTCCAGAAGCTGCTTACCGAGAGGCACAAGTCGCGGTCGGGCTACGGCGCCTCCATCGCCAGCTGTCCCAACATCTCCATCAAGTGCGACATCGTCGAGTACTTGTGACGAGCAGTGCGCCACGCTCCGCCTTGCACCGCCTTGGACCCCCTTGGACCCACGGCACCAGTGCGCCGTTGTACTCTATGTCAATTTGTGTTGTTGTTTTTTTTTCGGGGTTTTATCTAAATAATTCTCTCTGAGTGGGATTGTGGTGAGTAGGTGGTGTGGTTGTGTGTATGTGTGCGTGTGTGTCTGTGTCTGTCTGTCTACCTGTGTCTGTCTGTCTGCTTGTCTGTTGGCTGTTGGTGTGGTGTGAACTAAAGGGAAACCCCACGAGAACTCGTCACTCCATGACCGCCCTCACCCTTCCCATGCTCTCTGACTACTTTCTGTCTGTCTCTAATTGTTATTATTGTTATTTGTTGTTGTTTATTGTTGTAATGAACATGGTCTTGGTAAAACTGCGTCTTGTGTCAAGTGTTTGACAACACTGTCACATTAATTGTTAGGTCCTCAGTTCCCTTCTATTTTTAATTTTTGTTGACTCTTTGTATGCGATTGCTACTGATTTTAATCTTTTCTAGCCCCAGGAAAGAAAGTAAAAGTTTACTCTGATACAGTTGAAATGTTCCTTTTAAGTCTGATAAACCCTCCGAACTGTGCGACAAAGTTTCGCTATGCTAAAAGTGTCCCCTTGTTTCACAGAGAACAGAAAGACTTGCTTGGACCGATAAACTTACTACGACTCTATTCAAAATCTGTTAATATTGACTCACTACATCATTGTTTGGAATTGGGTGCAATGTTTGAGAGAAAGCAATGTGCAATTTAATATTCCATTCAGCTACTATTTCAAAGCTTGATTTTTCCTTTCGGACAGTATTTGGCTTTGCCTTTGGAATATTGAACAACTGGTGCCCAAATTCATCTCTCAATGTAGTGCCTCATTCGAAAATATCACATCATTATGAAAATAAAGTTTATTTCCGTTAGAAAATTCTTTTTAAATTTGTTTTACAGTTGCAGGTTTGATATTAAAAACCTGTTACGAAGCATAATCAAAGTCCCTTGAGAAGCACAACGCATATGCTTCTTCTGTGCCAACAGTATAAAATTTGCCAGCCATCTAATTATTTCTTAATGAAAAGAAAATAAATATTCAAAACAGTTCCCAAACATCCTAGTAAGCTACTTCAAGGAAAAGCATGATTGTAGTTATGTCTAGAATTTTTGGAAACAAATTGTTTGTTATTAAAGGATGTATTCAGGTCTTGCATCAGAAATGGAATATAGGGATATAAAAATTTATTGTGTTCTCAACAATGTGGGCTAGAAGTTAGTCCAAATTGGAATGGCTGTTAACTTAGTTGCTGGAACCAAAATTTGTAGTACTAAACAGTCATTTACTTTGTCATAGATCCCAGAGAGAGCACACTTTTAGAATGAGTGTACCAGTTGGTAGCCAGCAGTTACCGCCCTCTATGCCTCAATGGTTAAAAATAAATAGTGTTCTTTTTCAGAGGATCGTGAGAGCTTCAGTACAATTCTTTAAGAGAGCACCATTGGAAAACAGCACTTATTTTTCTCTGTGCTTTCTTTGAAGGGAATGGACATTGGGGACAAGTTGTGTTGATTCTTAAATTTTAGGCATAGGTTTCAAGACTGTTAAAGGGGGGTGGGTTAGCAACAAAAATCCTGGCACTTGCAATAATGCAATTTGAAAAATAAAATAAAAACGAGTCAAACCTTTTGTGTTCCTCTATACTGTATTTTGCTTTTCTCCGTCAAACTTCAAGTTCCAGTTTTCAAATGGGTACCTCCATTCACTAGTTTGTCTACGTGGAGCAGAGGGAGACTAGTCTGGGATGGAAGTATTGAAACGCATAAAAGGACTTTTGCAATAGAAAGACACACAGGGAAGTTAATTAACTACCGTTGAATTCACATTGGGAGCTGAGTCTTTTCCTGTTGTCTTTTTTTTGCGGACCTATTGATAAAGATGTTCCCGGTAACGTGATGGTGCAAGCATAAATTTAAGTCAGATGCTTTGAGGGACTCCGAGAAGAAATGTTGCATAGCTGGTTGTTTGTCTTCATTTCTTGTAATCCATCAATTTTCTGTAATTGTCTTGCTCATTTTGTTACTGCATGTCTCCAGTAATGTACTGTGTCTAAATAAATTGTTTTATACTTAGCCTTCTCTACTAAGATGATGATGGATCTAACTGCTCAGTAAATGAATCAATTGTGAGGCCTGTTTCTCAATGTGAGAGATGTTTTATTACTCTTAGTAATGTTAGACTGTACATACATGGATGAAAGTTGTTGTTACAGATAGTTGTTTATGGATAGTTGGACGAATCGGAATCAGGAGTGAGATGGGTTGTACACTGTTGTCATCTGTATGCCCTTCCATGATAATACAATATGAGAGTGAATTGTTCAATTCCTGCATTTATTTACCACTCTAATACCAGAAGCATATGACAGGCAGGGCCGTCGACGCGTCGATCCAGTTTTTCACCAGAAAAAAACGTTTCAGTCCTAAATAGCCTTCAAAATAGTGTCAGTAGTCTTGAGGGAGTGCTCCAGCACAACATACTCGAATTTGGGCCATTTTAAATTTTTTGCCCAAAACGTGACCAAGATCACATTCTTGACTTCTGGTACTGTTCTTTTGTAGTTACAAAATGACTGTCATTGTGGGGTAACCTATCCAACCAGGCCCACCCGAGAGAACATTCGGGCAGAGTATTTTATTTTTGTGAGAATTTTCAGTTTCTAGGGCGTTTGAGTTTGAAAATGGTAGAGAAAGAATTAAATCATAAAGTTGGGCAGTGAAAAATTTATTCATTCCCTTAAGGACATTTGCAGTGAATAACATTCTTATTAACTTCTGATTTCATCTTATACAAGGTACTCAATAAAATTCTATAAATTCACATATACATTGAATCTAATAGGTGGTCTTGAAGATTTTCATTTATACATATCACTTGTTAACATTTTACAACAGAATAAGATAAAGGAACACATTAAAATTTGCAAGATTCTCGCTGATTAAGAAACAAGAAACAATATCAACATAAAGATATAGACCATTTTAATAATCAGATTAATACAACACAGCAATGAAGCTTTTTCGGCCAGATGAAGGTGCAAAGGAAAACAAGAATCTGAGGTTCAATCTGCCAATATTCAGTACACTCACACCCTTGCTCTTCTTTGCACCCACCTCCTCCGAAAGCAGCCTCACACAAAAAGAAAAAATCTAAACGGTTTTAAAAAAAGGTTGTCAATTAAAAATAAAGTCTTTAAAAACAACAGTATACATATATACAAATCGCTAAAAACTGTACAACATAACATACAGTACATTCTTACACTTTTGTTTCCTTAAGAAGAAAATTAAAAACAACATTAAAATTCTCACCTACTACAAACAACAGGATGACTAACTATCTGCCCTTACATGGGCACATGCACACAAAGAGAACAAGAGCGACAGAGAGCAGACAAATGACTACGAACACTTTTCTGGTCAGTGAGGAAACTACCACCATCCACCGAAGCAACACTTGCATACGCTGTGCGTCCTTAGTTCCTACGAAATGAGAAATCACAGCCACGGCGACCGCTGCACCGAGTCGTACGGCGGGCGCAGTCCCAGCGCAGCGGGGTGGTAGCCGGGCGGGTACAGGCCCTGCACTCCGTGCAGCAGGTACTGTTGGTAGGCGGCGGGGTCCATGAGTGCCTGCGCCAGGCCGTGGGGGTACGCCGAGGCGGCGGCCCTCTGCGCCTGATGCGCCTGGTGAGCCTGGTGGGCTTGGTGGGCCTGGTGCGGCTGGTGGCTCAGGAACAAGCTGGCCGCGGAGGGCACCGTCACCTCGCCGCCATCAGCCGCCACGGCCGCGGCCGCGCGATGGCCGTAGTAAGCAGCGGCGGCAGGGTTCGAGCGCATGGACTCCTCGAGGTAGGACGAGTACGAGTCGGGCAGCCCGACGGCCAGCCCCGACGACGGCCCGAAGTTGAAGGCGCTCCCCGGCAGCACGCCGGGCACCTTGGGCACGTCCACCTGGCTGTGGCCGTGCGCCGCGGGGTGCCCCGGGTGGCCCTTGAGGGCGTAGTGCTGGAAGGCCGTGCTCCCTGCCGACGACGAGGGGGGCGCCTCGGAGGCCGCCGCTGCCGCAGCTGCTGCGGCCGCCGCGGCCGCGGCTTCGCTCGCCTTGGCTGCCTTCTTGGCCTGCTGCTTGGGCGTGGTGACAACGGGGGGCGGCGTCGAGGACGCAGCTGCTGCCGCCGCGGCCGCCGCCGCCATCTGGCCCTTGGTGGGGTACACGGGCGCTGCGGGGGCGGCGGGCTGCATGGGGCTGTCCGAGGACCGGAACGCCGAGCCAGGCCGGTTGAACAGCGGGTTGGCGTTGGCCGCCGACGCGTAGAACGACGAGTGCCTGCCGTAGTCCATCATGTGCGACAGGTGCTGGTGCAGCGAGGACGTGCCCGTCGTCACGGGCGTGAAGGGGCTGCGGCCGCTGCGCGGCGCCTCGTTGACGGGCGTGAAGGGACTGCCCACGGCGCCCCCGGGCGAGAACGGGCTCCGCGGCATGGAGGAGGCCAGCGCGGGGACTGGCGCCGGCACCGCCGGGCTGGAGGACGCCGTCGTCGTGGTGGCCGCGGGGGCGGGCGCCGCCGCAGGGGTCGGCGCCACGATGGTGGACGGCGCGGGGAAGCTGGGCAGGCTGGCCGACGTCGCGGCGTACGAGGCGGTGTCCGCCGCGTAGTGGCGCTTCTTGACCGGGAAGGACGAGACTGGCGTGCGGCTTCTGGGTGTTTGTTGCTGCTGCTGTTGCTGGGCCAGTGCCTGCTGCTGTTGATGTTGCTGCTGCTGTTGCTGGGCCAAGTATTGCTGTTGTTGTTGGGCGAGAAGATGGTGTTGTAGCTGCTGCTCCTGCTGAATTTGACGCTGCTGCTGCAAGTAAAGTTGTTGTTGCTGCTGTTGTTGTTGGTGCTGCTGCTTTTCCTGCTGCAACTTCTGCATCATGAGTTGTTGCTGCTGCTGCTGTTTTTCCTGCTGAAGTTTCTGCATCATCAACTGTTGCTGCTGCTGTTGTTGCTGCTGGAGAAGTTGCTGCTCTTTCTGCTGCTGAAGAAGCTGCTGTTCCTTTTGTTGCTGGAGAAGCTGCTGCTCCTTTTGTTGCTGAAGGAGTTGCTGCTCCTTTTGTTGTTGCAGGAGCTGCTGTTCCTTCTGCTGCTGGAGAAGCTGCTGTTCCTTCTCTTGCTGTTGCTTGATGAGCGTCTGCTGCAGCAAGTGCTTGTGGTGCAGCTGGTGGGGGTAGACTGGCGCTGCAGTGGCGTGGGGGGCGGCGTGCGCTGCGTGAGGGGCCCCATGGGGTGTTCCGTGAGGGGCTCCATGGGTGGCCCCGTGGGGCGTCGGCCTGTAAGGCCCTGGCTGAGGCGCAGCGCCCATGCCGGCGACGCCAGCCCTGTTGGCCAGATAGGGGTCCTGGTACTGCTGGGCCGCGGCCGCGGGCGCGAACACTCGCGACTGGTCCTGCTGAAGGTGATGCTGGTGGTGGTGGTAGGGATGCTGCTGCGGGTAGGCCTGGGCGTGCGCCGACTCCTTGGGCGACCCCATGGCCATGTGGGCCGAGTGCGCGGGCGATCCCATGGCGTGCGAGGACTGCGACGGCGACCCCACGGCAGGGGACCGCGACGGCGACCTCGTGTCGATCTGCAGCCTTTGGTCCACGGGGGACCGCGAGTCCATGGGCGAGCCGACGTGCAAGGGCGAGCCGGCGTGGGAGCCTCCGTGCATGGGGGACCGCGAGTCGATGTGCAGGCGCGGCTCGTGCGGCGAGGAGCCGGCGTGCATGGGCGAGCGCGAGTCCACCGGTGACCTGGAGTCCATGGGCGAGCCGGCGTGCATGGGCGACCGCGTGTCTATCTGCAGCCGCGGCTCGTGCGGCGAGGAGCCAGCGTGCAGCGGGGAGCGAGAGTCCGACGAGGACGCCATGCGGTGCTCGGCCGGCGACTGCGAGTGCATGGGCGAGCTCACGTGCATGGGCGAACGTACGTGGCCGTCCATGGGCGAGCCGACGTGCACGTGCCCGTCGAGGGGCGAGCGCGCGTCGATGTGCAGCCGGGGCGACTCGGCTTCCATGGGTGAGCCGGCGTGGACGGGCGAGCGGGTGTCGATGTGCAGCCGGGAGTCCAGGGGCGAGCGCGCGTGCGCGTCCACGGGGGACTCGGCGTGCATGGGCGACCGGCCCTCCACGGCCGCCGTGTGCGGGGACTGGGAGTGCAGGTCGATCTGCAGGTGCGACGGCGACTTGGCGTCCAGGTGCGCCGTGGACGGCGAGCCCGCAGCGGCGGGAGAGTGGGGCTGCATGTGCTGGGGGTGCTGGTGGCCGTGCTGAGGGGGGTGCTGATGTGCGTGTTGCAAGTGATGTTGATGGGGGTGCTGCTGAAGGTGCGGGTGGGCGTGGCCGTGCTGCTGGTGGTGATGTTGATGGTGATGGTGGTCGGACGGCGCCGGCGAGGACGCTGCGTCCGAGGGGGTGTAGGGTGCCGGCGAGTACGGCGGGTACAGCGGCGGCTGGTAGCCGACGTTGGCCTGGTTGGGCTGGTGGGTTGGTGGGGTGAGGTGCGGGTTGTGGTGGCGGTTGGCGTGGGGGTGCGGGTATCCGCGGCCCTCCGCGCCCTCCACTGTGTCCGGGCCCTCCCGGGGGCTGCTGCTGCTCTTGTCGGGGCTCTTGTACGTCGTGTCCTGCGGACGGAAACCCACTTCAATCAGACTTCACTTCCACAAAATGAGCTGCAACGATTTAACTCCTGGTTAAACTCGAGTGAACAATAATACACTACACATTGCTACAGACCTGGTAAAAGCCAACTCTGATGGTGCTCTCCACATTGGCAGGGTAGGACGGCACGGCTCTGTGCCCTTCGGGCGAGCGGTGCAGGGGCGACGGGAATGGGGCGGGATAGCTGGGCGAGCAGCCGTCATTTTGTTCTTGGCTGAAAGAAGATTTCTCAGACACACTGCTGCCGGTGCTCAGCTTCCGTTGTCGTTTGCCTGGCGTCATGGGGACTTCCTCCATGTCGTCTCGGCGGTATGGCGTGTCACTTCCTAGACTGTCTGTTTTGACAAAGATTCCAAGGGATTAATAAATGCGGGAGAAACCAATAACGATAACGTGTTAATCCTTTTTGATTGCTTACCTTGAGCTGGAGATGCTACAGCTCTGGAATTAATGTCCAGGGTTGCTGACAGTTCAGGTTTCCTTCTTACTGCGGATGCAGGAGTCGATTTGGGGGCCCCAAATGCCTTGAACCATGCACTCAAGTTGGGAGTAGGATTCGGCTTTTGTTTTGGTTTCAACACACTCTCTTCTTCATCCTCCTGCTCTTTTGCTTTCTTTAACTCCTCTTCCTCTTCTTCTGCCCTTCTTCTCCTTTCACGTTCACGCTCTTCCTCCTCCTTTCTCACTCTCTCCTCAGCTTCTTCTTTTTCCCTTCTCAAAGTAGCTTCAAGAAGAGCCTTTTTCTGTGCAGCTAGGTATGCTTTGTCCTTGTCATCATCATTTTCCTGATCATTCGGAGAGGAGCCACCATCCTGAAAATAAATAATAATAAATTAAGATGATAACCAAAAAATGTCGTTGTCTTCTTAACAGTTATCTGGTCATCAGACTACCTTTGGAGTAGATTCGGCAGAATTGTCACTAAAATTGTGCCTCTTGACTAGTCCAACTCCGACTCCAAAGCCACTGGTGAGGACGGTACCAAGACTCAATTTGGGTGCTGTCAGCTTGTTCCATTCCTGCAGACAAACAAAATAATGCAATTATTGACAAACCACTGACTTCTATTATACACAAAACTTTCTGTAGATTTCTTACTTACCGTTGCTGCTTTACTCTCCTTTGATGATGCTGTCTCAGCTTGAATGCTGGTCATAAGATTGCCCTTACTCTTTCCCGGTTGTAATCGCTCGGTGGTACGGCGCTTGGGCGCAGAAGCTGCTGCATTTGCTGCATCCTTGGCTGAATCTTTAGCGGAAGAGCTGGATTTGTTTGATGAACTTGGTGCCTTCCGTTTTACATTCCCATCCTGCAAATATAAATCATGACCAATAATGTACAGTTGGTAGCGGAAAAAGAAGCTAGCTTGACACACAACACACTCAGCAATAAAAATAAATTACCTTCTCCTTGTCATCCTTTATATTACTTGTAAGAATGGATTGGTTGGATTTTTGGCTATCCTGATCATCAACCAAGAATTGAGAGGGTGAGCTGCTAGCAGAGGAGAATTCTGAACAGCGAGGAGCATCATCAAGCCACATATTGATATCCTGAGGATTTGAAATAATACACAAAAGTAACCAAATTAGAAAAGTGTGTGCACTTAACCCATAACAAATGTTTCAAAAAAGTTATACACAGCTCATACCTTTAGAGTTTCTTCCGTGGCAATAGACAATGCTTGGTGAATAGCTGGGTTCTTCAAAACGCCAGCTCCCTTTTTGGGTTGAGGGGGGAAAGGATTCTTAGGGCCGAACTTATCATCACTACGGTCTAACTCTTGACGCTCCTTATGTTTTCTCATAAACTCCTCATTGCGACTCATCTCTCTTTCCAGAGCCGTGAATGGATCTGTATCAAGGACTTTGATATCATGGTGAATGCCTTCTTTTTCTTCAAACCATGCATCTTCTTCTTCTTGACTCATTCTTTTGGAACGCTTGTCAATTTTGTCTGGTTTCTTTTGTTGGTTTTTCTCTCGCTTCCATTCCTGTAGACCTTGTTTCAAACCTTCCCAACCAGCATCATCCAGATTCCAATCAAATATATCTTTCTTGTCTTCTTCTTTATCAGGGTCATCAACATCAACTACTCCAACTAACTCTGACCAAGCTCGGTCTCTCCTTTGCTGTTCTTCTTTAGTCAAGGGCTCAGACTTGACCTTTGAACTTTCTTTGCCATCTCGTTGACGTTCACTCCGTATTACACCTCGCTTTTCAGAAGACTTTTCTGCAGCTTTTTCAGACAGTTTGTCAGTGTCTTTGGCTTCAACATCACTTTTCCTCTTCTTGTGTATGGCTGACTTATGGAGGCTGTCTTTGCTGCGCTTATTTTGCCTCTGACTGGAAGTACTGCTGTCTCTACTCCTATTTAATAAAAAGAAAAATATATAATAATAAAAGCAGGGAGTTAAAATGGTGAAACAGAACACAAGTAACTTAAGAGCATACCTTTGATCTGAGAATTCTTCATCCTTCCACTCTTGGTCCATTTCCTGATTACTGTCATGCAGACTACCAAGTCTGTCGTCATCATTTTTCATTCTACGTAACCTTTCCTGGTCAGAAATACGGGCAAAAATTTGACTTTTTTTGTGATTTACTTTAGATTTAAGATCTTTGCTTTGGTCCCAATCAGAATCTTTTCGGTTAGCGTGTGAACTGATGTCATGATCATCTTCCTCTTCATCGTACATCTTTTTATGTTTATCAGGTTCCTTTTTTCTTTCCTTACTCCTTTGTTGGCTTGGGTCCCTACTACTGTCACTTTGACTACTGTGATGACTTTGGTGACTATGTCTTCGATGATGACGATGTCTATGTTTCTTCCTAGGCTGTTCACCAGGAGGTAATCCCACAGACACTTCCTCATCAGAGGAGAATCCACTACCAACATAGCGGTCCATGCATTTTTCAAATCTTTCTAGTAAGTTCATTGCCATTTCAGTGTATTCTGAAAGAAGAATTTTCAAGTTTTTAACATTTTTAATTGCTTAGGAGGGAAAGTGGGAAAAACAACTTAAGATTGAAGCAAAGTTAAACTATAAAATAAGAAAACTATAGAAAAGTGCCAAGAAAACTTACCACTTCCATCACCATTGTAAATTCTACAGTTATCAATGATTCGCATGAAGTCAGCTCGGAAATGTGACACTGTTGAGTACGATCCATCATCAAGCTTGTCACCCATTCTATTCAGATCCATTGGCTTTCTTATCACACTATAGTATCGGGGAGCGTAGTCTTCTGACACTTCATCCAGAAAGGGCCAAGCATCTTCATGGTTCTTTAGCTGTTCCAGAACTTTGAATAAGCCAGTTTTCATGTCGTCCTTAGATGCCCTGAAACTGATCAAACAGAAGATGACAATTAGCACGTTAAAGAATTGACATTAACTTTAAGTAGTGGTTGTTGTTTCAAGCTCATCAGATTAAAATTCAAAAGGTGGAGTCACAGATGCATCAAATTAGTTCATAGTGTACACATCTACTTTCGTCGGATGTGCATCATGGTTCCCATAGAAAATGTTTTGTTCTGAGCATGAGTTACTTAAGATTTCAACAGTGACCTTACAATAAATTGTTTTGAATGGACATCATATTTACATTCAGAAAATAGAGGCAAGGCAAATTCACATAACACACTTCAGTACTTCCATATACCAGGCAAGACAAATTAAGGACCCAAAAAGCCCATTGTTACCAATATCGTTATGAAAAGGAACAAAGCACACAGTTGACACTGTGTATGAGTCTGCAGTGTTATGAAAGGTGACATCTGGATTGAAAAAGGATAAAGTAAAATAAAATGATATTGAAGACAATGTTTACTCCGAATTCTATAAAGTTTACACTAATAAGTTACCTACACATGCAAGTACGGAAAGTGACAAAAAATGAGGCATACAAACAGAAAAAGATGTCAAAAAAATTATAGCAGCAACGAAAGAAAAAACTAATCTAGTAAAACATAAATAGTTCACAATAAATAAGAAAAAGTTGACCTAATTTAAGAAGGCATATCAAAAAGTTGGTTGATCTATCGATTTAGACTGTTCAGGGCTCAAAGCCTTCCAAGAAGTGAACTAAAATGATCACATATACTAAATGTGTACTTCAACTTTCCAACATCATACCAACTGTGCTCAGGTACTTCGGTTCAGAGAAATAACTTTGTTGAATTAGTGAAAATTAATTAGGAATTCAACATTTTAAGTACAATATTTTTAAAAATCCATCATTGGATTATTTGACACTTAATACTAAAACCACAACCATCTAAAGACCTAAAACTTAAGGCTATTGAAAACCTGCAAAGTTGATACTCTTTATGACCTTACTGGACAACTTTCATGGTTTTACACATGAGGTCACATTTCAAAGAACAGGAGGTACGCACACAATGGGAGGAAGAAAGTTCATAGCTCATTCCTAAGATCATTATAAGCCAGGTATGCACAAGAGAAGATAAATATGCTAGCTTTTCAGTTATAAATTAGTTAGTATGTAGAAAACATAGTCTAAAATAAACAAAAAGAGACAAGTAATAAAGTAAGTTACTTAACAATGGTCTAGCATTTTAAAGCAAGAACTTAAAAAGTACATATGTGAAGAAATGTTAGCCAAGTTAAATGCTGACACATCAATAGCTACACCACAAACAAAGAGTGTGTGTTCTGTGTCCACCTGAAATAGAACTGTCCCACTAAAGAGAGGTGCATAGTGAACTAAAACCAGTGTCCCAAATCTTCTTGTGATGTGATGCTGTCTTCTGTAAAGCGGTTAGTCTTTGTAGAACATGGTCATAAATCCTGAGAATCTCCAAAAGCAACTGAAATCTTCGAGACTGTCCAAACAAAAAATAAGCTTCCAAGCTGTGCAGCGCCCTTGCCGGTAGTTAATGATACCGGTACGGCGGCAATAATGGAACTCGGAACTTTCCCTCTGTCTCGCCAGGACTGGGAACAGAAATAAAAGGAGGGAAAAATAGATTTTAGAATTCATTTGGTTTTACTAAAGGCAGTAAAAGATGTTGAGAAATGATTATTATTATTTTTGTGAAAGACTAAACATTTAGTTGAATGAGAGAAAAGGACTGCACAGCATAAAATTTCATATCTCTTGGTGGGAGAAAAAGTGCCCCATGATGAAAATCCTGGCTCAATACTTGATTTTCAAAACTATCTTGATAAGATGAATTGATATGGTGATGTTCCAGATGCCATCTTCGTGCTCTTCACGTCGAACTTGAAATAGTAGGTGCTTAGTCTTATCCAACCAGTCATTCAGTGCAAATCATCAAAAAATAAAATTCAAAATAATTGGAAATGAATTTAGTAACACAGAGCTACATAAATAATTGCATAAAACAATATTGTAAGTTTGTGAAATATTATTTGTTGGTTGATTGGAGAACTGTGAAAATTTAGGCAGCATTTTGAGAAAGAAATACAGGAAAACCCAATGCAAATAATAGTGTTTCTGTGAACAATGACCCACACTCCATAAGAGAGAAAAAAATCTGCAACAATGATTCCACCTTATTTGTGATTAATGTACATCGTATGATAAGTTACACAACCTGTTGATAAAAAAAACACTTGATGTTTGTTTTTCAGAGCACAGAGAAAAATGAGAGATAAGCATAACCATGCAAATAATTAAAATAGCTGTTTTTTTCTTCTTTAAGATGCAAAATGTTTGTTAGATAGGGAGAAAAGAAGAGTAAGTCACAAAAACTGTAGAAACAGATATTAAAGAGCAAAGTGCAACATTCCTTGATAGAAGTGCAATGAGAACACTAAACACTCCAGGGCTATGAAATGTCAAAAGAATCTGAACAAGAACTTACTAGAACCAGAGTACTGGAAGATCAAACACAAAGATATACTCACACTTGAGAGCTTCTCATTTTTTGTCTTGATGACGTGATGTGAATTTTTCCAGTAGCAGAAGAAAGAGAGTTGTTTGTTTGACGTCCTGAAGGCTTAGACTCAGTGGACTCTTCCTCAGACCCTGATCTGCTTGAACAGCTTCGAGAGCTAGTGCGGGTGGAGCCCTGATATGTCCGGCCAGATAACCTCTCCTTAAGGATTTCCTCCTCCATTTGACTGCAAAACACAAGAGGAAAAGGTTGTGAAGTGTCAATGCAAGAGTTGCGTAATGAACGAACGTTTAAACAGCAATAAAAGTAAACAGTCCTCACATTTGCCTTCTTTCACGCTCTTCAGCTTCCTTCACTTTCCTTTCTTCCTCTTCTTTAGCTAGAACCCGTGCAGTCTCCTCCTTTTCTTTGGCAAGTTTTTCAATTCGAGACGACTGGCGCCTTGGCATAAATTCTTGCATACGTTTTCTAAAATCAACAAGAGCAAAATTTAGTATGAAAGCATGGATATTTATAATGATGGGCAGTTATGGGAGGTATAGAAACTATACCTTTGCAGCCGTTCTTTTTCAAGAAACAATCGTGGAATTTCAGGCAAGAAATCCTCTGCTAACACACGATAAAGAGCTTTTTCCCCTTTTGTAGTTGAACCTTTCAGTTGTGCAGCCAGTTTCTCCCAATCTTCTTCAGTGTAACAAATTACTTGCCAGGTGCCAGACCCAGGTTCTGGAGTGTCATCGTTGTCCGATTCGTCTTCGGTGGCTTCAGCTCCACCTTTTTTGTCCTTTCCCGTAGGCCTACCACGTTTTTTCTTTACTTTCTCTTGCTTTAGCTTACGCCCCTTAACCTTGCCTCGGTTCTAAAAAAAATAAGAAACACACAAGAATATTTGAATTAATATTAAAATCAAACTTGTCAGGAAAACATTCAATGCCACAGAAAGCTTGAGAACATGAGGAGAGATAGTGTAAATAAAGTAGTGAATGAAAATAACACTGACCTTGTTCACTGTTTTGGGCAAATCTTCCCTGTACAAGCGGGTCCCATAAAAGTAATAGTAGGCAGAGGAATTGGCATCATGGCCCAGGGGATCGACTCGTAAACTGTCAGACTCCAAATTCTACACACAACATGCAGAAAAGTAAGGATTAGGGAAACAAGAAACAAACAAGATGATAAAAACAATGATGAACACTTATAGAAAGGATTGTGGACCAAACATATTGATATATTACCTTCAGGACATCTTGCACATCATCAGCATCCAATCTGAAGTCACAGAGTGTGTGTATTATCTGTACTTTCTTTCTCAATGGGAGAAACTGAAAGTCAATGTCTGTGTTGAAAGGGTTCTCACGCAATTGCTCCTGAAAATGAAAATATGTAACACATTAGCAAAAGTGAAGAAAGTAAGGCTCATGGCATTTAAAGTCAGATAACCTTGAATTTTTGTACAACCTGACACTTCTGTCTAAGGAAGCGACGCAAGAACATTTGATAATTGAAAGGAGATATATCAGTGTTGTTGGGCGAGTGGCCCAGGCATCCAGCAAGCAGGCGTACAATCAGGTCCTGCAGCAGGCAGCTGCCCGTGTCATCCGCACCATCGGTTAAAAGTGCTTCTTCAAGATCCTGAGTCACAAAATGAAGAAAGGGCAATCACCACACCACTCACTTATTCAAAAAAATGCAAATGGCATAAGATAGAAATACGATACCTCTATGTCAAAGTCTAACAAATTAAATGCGGCTCGGAAAAGGGAACAAAAGTGCGCAATGCTTGGCACTTCCCACCAGGACTGCACATCTGAAAAACAGAACAGAAGCAGAGCATTTGAGTCAAAAGGGGGATAGATCAATGATGAAAGAACTTCAAAAACCTATGGGTAGCACAGAAAGAACGAGTGAGTGGGATCAGGAACAAACAAACTACAAAATTAGAAATAGGAAGGTTGAAGGTGACTGATCTCAAATAGAAGCAAATAAGGAACATGAAGCAGAGGTTAACTTAGGTTATGATATTTGTTTTCAAGGCTCATTCATTACTTAAGTCTATTATACCAAATGTGGAAATTGGGAAGTGGTCCCAAGTAACAAGGAAACGATTAAAGATATGGTTTTGGAGGAAAACAAACGAAACAATTCACGAATACACCTTGCCCGCCAAATTAGGCTTGAGTTTGGAGAACCTTTCTCAAAAGAACACGGTGGTCTCAAAGACCCAAACAAAACGTTCGGGGTAGGTGTAGAGGCTACAGAATACGACGTTTTCTCATTTTTCCCTTACCATCCATTTTGAAACGTTTAGTTAAAAGATCTGAATTATGTTTGTCTACTGAAAAGATCTACATTGAGCAAAAAAATAACAACAACACTGTACTCCATCTTGCTTGTTATAGGTTTGAACTAGATCCAACCGGAAATCTTTCTCCCAGCCCACAGCACACCATTTTGGGCAGAGATTGCGTCGGAAACTTATTTCGTTGGCAGATTACCATGGCAATTCCACGCGTGGCTGGAGTAAAATACAGCAGCCGACCTGAGGTTGACCTGATTTCTCACTAAACTTATCCTATTCAATGCTTCATGCCTTCATTATGCACCGACCGGAGATTGATGAGCCGCATGAAAACATCCAGGTGGCCGTGTTCAGTATGGCGCTAAATTCAAAAAGAAGCGTGGCGCCTTCGAGTGTGGAGACCTTCAGCGAGGGGTATTCCCATCCAACTGGAATTGGTCTCGTCAGAAGCTGCATCTCTGTTCTTACAAAAAAAAAAAAGAAAAAAGAAAAAAGGCGCTGCCAACATTGGAGCATTGGTAGCATCCATCCAAAACAGGAAAAAACAGTATCCTGACAAGCAATTATGTTCAATATGAGCGTAAAATATAAAACGAAATAACCATTGCAATCACTTGAAAAAGCAAATAAAGAAAATAAAATAGTCACCTGTTTAGTGTTTACAAAATCCCTACGCGAATGCCGCTCTCCCCTCCCTTTGCCTAGCTTCACCCCCTCCCCTCCCCTCTCCCCCAACACACACTGACAGACACCCAGTGTTTACTTCCGACAGAGTTGTGTCGTGTGCCTGTATGACAAACTGACAAATCGCGCAAATTGATTCGACAAATTGAATGTGCGGTGTTGACAAAGCGCCATGGGGTACGGATAATCTTTTTATTGCATTTTTCTGTGACTGTTTTGACGTGTTTTGACTGGAACGATCTGCTTCGATCGAGATGTACCGGCCCATGTGGCGCGGGGTTAAATCAAAACAAAACTGTTCCTCTAGTTGCACTCTTCGTTTTTCTTTGTATTATGGACGTAAATTTTAATGTGTTTGCGCAGGTTCATGTTGTCACATTTGCTCCCCGTTGCCTTTGAGGCTTTGAGTGGGACTCGCTTGCCGGGTATTCAGGTTACAATCTGCCCATGTTTACCTTTTTGTTGTTTCGCTGGGGGCTTCGTTTCGTTTTACAGCGTCCATGGACCCTGCGTGTGCTCGGCGCGTTCCTTCAAGCCGTGCGGACTGTTCTGACTTGCTGACGGTGCTGAAAGCCGAGTGCGCTCACTCCGAGCCAGCTGACTGATTCCGAGAGTCGTTTACGTCGCTCTGTCTCTCTCGCACGCGTGGCGCGTCCCGCATAGGTGCGAGCGAGACAGAGCGACGAGAACGACCCGGACTGCCGCTCACCGTTTCCTTTCTCTACAGTTCGCCGTGGAGCTTGCCGCCGTGGTTGTCGTGGGGCGGCCGAGCCGGCGGCGCTGACGGTGACGTCGTGGACCTGCCCGGGGGCTGCGCCAGTGCTCCCGGCACACTGTGCACCGCGACCTTCCACTCCAGGGACTCTGGCGGGGTTTCCGATCCGCCGCTCGTGGAATTTCCCGTTGATTGCGAGGCTCCTCACCGCGGACGACGACAAGTCCTTCGTGACGTGGTGGACAACTGCTGCGCGCGGCGCCCCGTCGACACACTCGACGATTGCAGCGTCGGCGACGTGCCGGAGGAGCCGGTGGAGGACCTGAGGGCGCTCCTGGAGCTGCGGAGGAAGGAGATGGGGGACCTGCTCGACCTGATCCCACCGCCCCCGCCGTCCGTGCTGGCCACGACGCCGGCCCCCTTCCGGCCGCCGCCCCCGCCGCCCCCGGCCCGCACCAGGACGACATGCAAGAGGCTCTTCGCGGCCCGCGCTGCCCGCGCTCCACGGTCGAAGGTAGGGCACTCGTAAGGGACCGTCCATTTATTAGGTTTGGCTGTTCAGGTGGTTTCTGACATACCTCCCCCTCCCCACCCTTGTTACGCCCCTTACGCCCAGTGGCGACTCGGTGAGTGCAGACGAGACGAGGTGTCCAGAGGCGGATCCAGTAAAGGGCCGGAGGGAAGCGAAGGCGCTTTCCACACATACACCCTCCCTCAAAAAATACTTACATATTGCATTTGCCACCTGCGTATTATTCTATCTCTCTCGCACTGATGGGTCGTTCCGCAGAAGTGTGTGTGTGTGGGGGGGGGATGCGCAGAGAGCTCTGTCCTTCTCGCACTCTCGGCGACACAATTTTTGGGAAGAGTCGTTCTTTTATCTGCCTTTCGGCGACTTTGGCCGGCATCTGGCATCGGTCACGCATCGCCCATGTGCGGGAGTCCCTTTGTTTCGTCCCTACACTACGAGTGCCGACAAGTCGACAACCTTTGGGGGTGGGGGTGTCCAGCCGGAGTCCCGGGGGGAGGGGGGGCGAAGGGGCAACAGGGCAATTCCGGCCAGGGAGCGATACAGCCGAACTATTCCGAGGATCGGTTTGTCGCTCTGTCTCTCTCGCACCCCTACGGAGAGCACCATAAGTGCGAGTGAGAGAGAGAGCGAAAACGAATCTCCTGAATCGCTCGGCAGGTGTAGAGGCCTCTCTGGAGGCCTCTAGGCAGGTGCACTGCCCGCGCGCAAGACTGCTGCACTAGCGAAAGTCCACCCCTTCCGTCGCGCGCCCTAGTCCTTGTCTAGCCAGCCCTAGCCAGCCCTAGTCGCGGCGCTGCGTCGCCGCGCCGCCCGACCGTGCCGTTGCGTTGCACTCGGCCGCTGCCTCGTCGCACCGCCTGGCCTGCAGCTGCAGCCAACCAACAGTGTGACTGGCAACGCCAACGCCACAACACGAAGAGTCCAGTGTCCATAGTCCAGTCCAGTCAGTCCGCCCCGAGCGCCCGTCCGTCGCTGACGTGCTCTCGTCCTGCTCGTCCCGAATTTTGGTGGCGTCCGCGAGCCGCGTCAGTGCCCGCCGTGTGTGTGATTGTGTGACGACTTCCCGTGGCCTTCGAAAGGGCATTATCAACATGTACGTCCCGCCCCCGCACCGGCGGCGTCGCCTCCTACCGCTGCCCGTCAATCGCGGTCCTGGAGGTCCTGGAGGTCCTCTTGGGGCACGCCAGCCGCTGGTGCTGCTCACGAACAGGCCGTGCCTGCCACGGCGGCCAAGGTATGCGACATCGCGCAGGGCGGCTGCAGACAGACTGATTCCGACAGTCTTCTTCATCGCTCTGTCTCTCTCGCACCTATGCGGGACGCCGCATGTGTGCGAGAGAGAGAGTGAGCGACGAAATCGACTCTCGGAATCAGTCTGCTGTTGGCTGGCTGATGACGGACAGTGTGCTTTCCTCGCTTTGCCTTATTTGCATTCGGGGCGTCGAGTGCGAGTGAGACAGCGTAGGAACGTTGTTCTGAATCAGTTTGTTGGAGCCAACGCGCCGCGGTCGTCGCTCGTCGTCACCTCCTTTTTATCGGGTTTGGTTCCAGTGTGTCGCACGGCAAGCGGCGGGGGTGGGGGTTTCCCAGAAAGGACAAGAAGGGGCGCAGAAAGAACAAGAGGGGCCGCGCCTCGGAGACCCCGAAACGCCAACCTGAACCTGAGTCCGATCGCCCCCCAGCCATGCACGCCCAAGCAAACGCGGGCGCTGCTCTCCCCCCTGTCGAGACGGTCGAGACACCTCAAGCTCAAGTTGTTGCACCCCTTGCTGATGAACCCGCCCCACCACCCCCCGCTGCCTTTGCTCCCCTGCCTGAATCTTGCGATGCCGGCGGGCCAGAGCCAGTAAGTTGAACCGAAAATGTGTTAGTGTTTGTGTGTGTGTGTGCGGTCCGCTAAGTCTCAATGACACGCCGTAGCATTGTTGACTGGAAACGCGAGCGGAAGGGTGTGCAGCGCAGCGCAACAAGACGAGCCTGACTCGGCGCCCGAGAGATAGGCAACCTTGTCGATTGTTGGCTCAATTTTGGCCCGAGTCAGCATGTGGCTTCGCTACTGCTTGGCACTGCAGCTGCGGAACGGGAAAGCGGATGCAATCCATGTGTGTAATGACTCGTCATTCGCACCAAGCGCGAACGGCCTTGTTGGTATTTGTTTTTATGGTGAATTCCTGATATTGTTGCAGGTGGGTGCCGGCGGGCGGGTACCGTCCAACCTGAAGGCGGTCGACATCGGCGTGGCAGTCACGGCCCCCGCCAGCGCGGCCGTGCAGCCCTCGACGTCGACGCCGCTGCCGCGGTCGTCGCCGGCCGAAGCGGCCGAGGCGACGTGGCCACCAAGCGCCCCGGCTGGCCGTCCGGTCAAGAAAGGAGTCCGACGATGCGGCGTGGAGGGCGCCGCGGGGGCGGCCTGCTCCAGCACGGGCCTGCTGTCCACGGCCTTGTCCACGGCCGCCGCGCTGCCCACCGCGTCCGCGGCCGAGTCGGTGTTCCACTTCGAGGCGACGGCCGAGTCCAACGCCGCGGTGGCCACGGCCAGCACGGCCGACGCCGCCGCCCCCGCCGCTCCGAACCCCAAGAAGCGCGCCGCCACCGACGACGCGGAGGTCGTGGACTCGACCACCTCGCCGATCGCCTCGCCGATCGCCAGCCCCGGCGGCGTCCTCGTGCTTCCGGACGCAAAGCGCGCGCGGTGCGACGTGATCGACCTGGACCTGGACAAGGTCGTGCACCTGCTCGTCGGCAGTGGCGCCCGCCTCATCTACCGGACCAGGGCCAGGGAGCTGGTGGAACAGGCGGACTGGACGGTGCTGCCGCGGGTGCCGAAGCACGCCACCACCAACCCGCTGCAGTACGTGCCGCTGGACCGCGTTCACCACCACGAGGAGTTCCACCGCGTCGAAAGGGACTTCGACTACTCCTGTCGCGGCCAGGGCTTCCAGGTGACTCGCGTCTGCAGGGTGGAGAACGACTGGCTGCTGTACGAGTTCCAGGAGCGCGTGTGGCAACTCGAGCAGCAGTGCGGCGACGTGGCGGTGCTGCGCGTCTACCACGGCACGCCCAGGGCCAACGTGCACTCCATCGCCATGGGCAACCTGGACCGACGCTACGCGGGGCGCGGGACGAACCACGCGTGGTGGGGCAAGGGGGTCAATTTCTCCCCCATTTCTTATTACGCGTCGCACTACGGCGACCAGGGCACGTTCCGGTCCATGATGGTGTTCGATGTGGTGGTGGGCAGGGCTTGCAGTGTGCTCAGCCCGCCCGAGGCGCCCTTGCTTCCCAAACACAACCCCGGCAGGCCTGGGCAGAGGTATGACACTAATTTGAAGTTGGATCCGGGGCCGCAGGTGGTGTGTAAATTTGGTGACCACCAATTTTACCCTGCCTATATCATAGACTACACTGCGCCGCCGAAGGGCCACCGCTGGCACGGTCAATACTGGGAGCAGGAACAAGAATACTGTCCTTGGTGGTTGTTCCAGAATTTTGACTTGTTTAATCGTAATTGGATGGGGAGCTTTCCGTGTTAAAACTTGGGTAACAGTTTCCTCCGGTTTATTCAGTGTCCGCTCCCTTAGTTTTAATTTCATAACCCTGCCTTGTGTATTTGCTTTCTTTTGTCTTCGTACTGTTGACGGACACTTACTGCATGTAATGCGCCAGAAGTCTTTGAATGTTATGTATAATGTCTGTGTTTACATAATTAACAATATTATTGAATTAATTAAAATCTTGTTTTGATTTCGTACATTTGTGATTTTGTGTTGCTCCTCTCAGTCCTGCACAGCTCATGCTTTAAAATCAAATGTACGTAGGGTCAATCAATGTATTATTGTAAGATTAAGAGAGGGGGTGGGGGTGGGGGGTGCTGTCACGTGACTCACATCAGCCTTGCTCTCGTTCCAAAGTGCATCTTCGCGGGGGCGCCTTTCGTTGCTTGTATGTGCAGGTGTTGCTGGGATATTGGCATTGGCATTCCCTGTGGCATTCCCTACCCCCTCCACAGCGTCCGCGCGCCGTCGCAGCTGTTGGAACTGTTGCGCGTTGTGTGCCGGCCGCCGCTCCACCACCCTGGCCGGCCGCACTGTTGCCGAGCGAGCCCAGAGCTTCGGCCTGCCCGCGCTAGGCTCTGCCCCAAATACAAAATAGCTAAACAGCTCCGTTCGGCAACACTGCTCCAGTCCTCTTTCTCCCTGTCCTTCCTTCCTTGTTTGCTGCAATTGTAGGTTCGCTTTCCGCTGCTTTTCGTCCCGTCAGCACTGTGCCGCGTCGTGTCCCCCTTCCACCCAGACCTTCCCCCCTGTCCCCCCTCCCCTCCAGGCAAGTCGGAGTCAGAGTCAGTCAGAGTCCCTCCCCTCCCCCACCCAGTCCCCCAGTCCGGCTCGAGCACCCGTCTGCGGCGGTCGCCTCGCGTTGAGTTCTCCGGCCGTGTGCTGTTCCGAGTCTACCTGTCGGTGCGAAGTGACATTCGAAAGGGCATCATCATGAAGAGCGCGGCGTCCGTCGCGCCCCCGCAGCCCTGCCACTTCATGAAGACCGCCAGCCCAGCGGGGGGCCAGGGTGCCCAGGGGCGCGCCGGCCGCTGGCCAACCAGGTCGGCGCCACGCCTGTTTGGTACATCATCGAAAGGTATGCGCTCGAGCGTCGCCCACCTGAGCTTACGTTGACTGGTGCCCACCGGGCTTGAGGGTCTTTGCGACTAATGACTAATGTAGGGTGTTTTTCCAGCAAGGGCAGTAGGAAGAAAGCCGCTAGGAAGGCCAAAGCACTGCAACTCGCTGGCCAGTGCGCCGTAGCGCCCCCTGCCGACGTTCACCAAGTCACCGTGCAACCCCCTGTCCAGGCGCCCAGTAGGAAGAAGGCACAGAAGAAAGCCGCCAGGAAGGCCAAGGCCAAGGCCCGCCGACTGCAGCGCGCTGCCAAGGCTGGCCAGCGCGCTGCAGCACCCCCTGCCGACGTTCACCATGTCACCGTGCAACCCCCTGTCCAGACGCCTGCACCCGAACCTCGCGGCAGCAGCGTGACGGTAAGTCTTTTTGAAGATGTGATGCAGTCTCGGTGCTTTACGCAATCGCCCTGTGGGGTCGACGGGGCAAAGGGTGTGAGAGATGCTGGACGACACCAGGTGGATTCGCTCGCAGCTTTGCAGTGCGTTGATTACTGTATGTGCGCTGCAGCTGCAGCCTTAGAATCCCCTCCCCCTCGTTCTATGCAACAAATGTGTCTGCGCCGATATTATCTCGCGGGGTTCATTGCCTCGCCAAGACAGGGCGGCGCTTCGCTGGCTCTGGCCTGATTACAGTATACACTGTACATCGGTTGTCAAAGGCTCCGACCGGAGTAGCACACAGAACGGCGGCCGCGGCCACTCACAGCCTGGCGTGGTACGGCACTCCATGGCATGGCACCTTCTGGCCTGTTCTGGCCGGGTGCGGGGATGGCATGGACCACGTATGGGACTATCGAAGCACGGAAGGGCTTGGTGACCGGCGCGGTTTTATAGTATTTAAATCGACGCGAGCCCGGCGGCCAGATCACGCTCGAATTCTCTGTCATTTGGAGGGGGATTTTAGAGCGAGACGGGAAGGAAAAGAGAAATTTTGGGTCACGTGTTTATGGTGACTATACTACCTGATTGTTGCAGGTGGATGCCGGCGGCCTCGGAGCGGTCGACATCGGCGTGGCAGTCACGGCCCCCGCCAGCGCGGTCGTGCAGCCCTCGACGTCGACGCCGCCGCCGCGGTCGTCGCCGGCCGAAGCGGCCGAGGCGACGTGGCCACCAAGCGCCCCAGCTGGCCGTCCGGTCAAGAAAGGAGTCCGACGATGCGGCGTGGAGGGCGCCGCGGGGGCGGCCTGCTCCAGCACGGGCCTGCTGTCCACGGCCTTGTCCACGGCCGCCGCGCTGCCCACCGCGTCCGCGGCCGGGTCGGTGTTCCACTTCGAGGCGACGGCCGAGTCCAACGCCGCGGTGGCCACGGCCAGCACGGCCGACGCTGCCGCCCCCGCCGCCCCGAACCCCAAGAAGCGCGCCGCCGACGACGACGCGGAGGTCGTGGACTCGACCACCTCACCGCTCACCTCGCCGATCGCCAGCGCTGTCGTCAACGCCGTCGCCAGCCCCGCCGGCGGTGTCCCCGTGCCTCCGGACGCGAAGCGCGCGCGGTGCGACGTGGTCGACTTGGACCTGGACAAGGTCATCGAGCTGCTCGAAGGCAGTGGCGCCCGGCTGGTCTACCGGACCGGCAGGGCCAGGGAGCCGTTGGAACAGGCAGACTGGACGGTGCTGCCGCCGACCCCGGAGGACGCCGTCGGCAACCCTCTGCGCTACGAGCCGCTGGACCACGGCAGCTCCGAGTACCAACGCCTTCAGGCGGACTTCGAGTCCAGATGTCTTGGGAAGGGCTTCCAGGTGACTCGCGTCTGCAAGGTGGTGAACGACTGGCTGCTGTACGAGTTCCAAGAGCGCGTGCGGCGCCTGGAGGAGCAGTGCGGTGACGTGGCGGTGCTGCGCGTCTACCACGGCACGCCCAGGGCCAACGTGCACTCCATCGCCATGGGCAACCTGGACCGACGCTACGCCGGCCGCGCCACGAACCACGCGTGGTGGGGCAAGGGGGTTAATTTCTCCCCCATTTCGTACTACGCGTCGCACTACGGCGACCAGGGCACGTTCCGGTCCATGATTGTGTCTGATGTGGTGGTGGGCAGGGCGTGCAGTGTGCGCGGCCCTGCGCAGGCGCCACCGCTCCCCGGTCTGCCGGTGCAGCGGTATGATACAAATATAAAATTGCCACAGCCCCAGGTTATTTGCAAGTTTCTGGACCATCAATTCTACCCCACTTATATTATAGACTATACGGTGCCGCCGAGGGGTCACCGTAGTTGCCCGGAAGTAGAAGTAGAGTGGTGCCCGTGGTGGTACACTGGAAATTATGACGTGTCTTCCGGGCTATGGCTGGGGGGTTTTGGGGGCATTGAATTTTGAGACATGGTTTACTGCGTTGTTATAATTTTATACCACCTGTCCTCCGTTTTTTTTTCTTGTGTTTTGTATGTTTATTTTAATTGATTTTTATATACTTATGTCATTCTTGTTTTGATGCACTATGGACTATATGACTGTCATTGATTTATGCGGTGTGGCAAATGTCACCAAATGATACATATGAACTATTTATGTGTGGAATATGAACTTAATTAAAATCATAATTTGATTATTTTTATGCAAAACAGTTTTTACTTCTTTTCCTTCTAGATAGTTTCCTGATAAACCACATTTCTTCAGAAATTATATCAGACCAAAATGTAGACAACAAACAAGTTAACAGTAAAGAATCTTGATATAAATCCGACTTTCACCTGCAGGGAAAGCATCGGCTGTTTTGACGAGAAGGTAGTAATTAAATCAAATTTCTATAGCTTATAACTCTAAAGGCCTGTTGTGACCCAACAACGCTGATGATGATAAGTTCGCTGTTTTCCAGTCTGGTCGATATCCATAGCACTTCAGCACCACACTAGTAGCTTCTTCCAGGGCTGGCTCCAGTCTTGGTCACAAATTCACGAAAGGAGTGCTGGGGCCACTCGGGGGGCCACTCGCCGGGCGATTCCGAAGAGTCGTTCCCGTCGCTCTGTCTCTCTCGCACATGTGAGGGACGCCCCATGAGTGCGAGAGAGACAGAGCGACGAAAACGACTCTGAGTCTAGACGCCGAGGCTGCGCTTGCACAGCGGGCACGTGCCGAAGCGGTGCGCGCACTCCCGCAGGCACCGCGAGTGGAAGACGTGGGGGCAGGGCGTGCAGCGCGCGCTGTGGCTGGCCAGGGCGTCCAGGCACACGGCGCAGGTGCCCACCTCGGCCAGCTGGGCGGCCGAGGGTCGCGGGAAGCGCGCCGTCAGGCGAAGCTGTGACCGCAGCGGCGGCCAGCAGCCCCGCCACGCCGCCTGCAGCGGCACCGCGGCGCACGCGTACCTGCCAACAAGTAAACAAGGTAAACAAGGCGCCCGTCAGCGGCTTCACTTCGTCTCTCTCGCACCCCCTCGCAACGCCGAGAGTGCGAGAGAGACAGCGACGAACGCACTGTCGGATTCAAACTTGGCGCTCCACTGTGATGGATGATGACGCTGCTCGCGCCGCGGAAGAGCGGCTTTTCTTTGACAGTGTAGGTCCCGTGGTTTAGAGTGGCGCCGGCGACCGCGGCGTGAGAGTGGGAGTTCCGTAGAGGGGGAAGCACCAGGCGCGGCTGCGCGGCCACTGCGATTGGTCTTGGCCTCCCCCACCTGCCACGCAGAGGCGGGACTTACCAGCCGCACACGCCGCACAGGTGAACGGGCATGAGACAGCCCATTACAGTTTGCCACGAGGGGCCAAGGATGGATCCAGGAGAGGGGGGCGTACAGATAGCCGGGACACCTAAGGTCATATGGCCTTAGGGACACCGGCAAGGTAGGCAAAAGGTTGGGCAACAAAGTCGTAAACCTCGAATAAAGGTCGATAGCCAAGGCATGTGGTCCAGTCCAGACGAAGACCCTAGCGCAGCCGTTCTCAACCTTTCTCGGCTCGCGACCCCAAATTTGTAGCCAAAAATTTCCGCGACCCCCAGGAAAAGTTTCACGACCCCACGGGACCCCTCCTTTAGCATGCCACTGCGTCTGATCCGAGGCGGGCATTTTGCTCCCTCAACGGGCAATTGGTCTTTGGACTTTCCTTTAGCATGCCTCTGTTACGGAGTGCGATTATCAGTCTTAGTTTGGGGGCAGTATTGTCTCAAAGTTGGCCAAAACGCTCAGAAATGTCTTTGAAAAATCATGTTTTGGGTCGATTTTAAGCAGCCACTGCGTCTGATCCGAGGCGGGCATTTTGCTCCCTCAACGGGCAATTGATCTTTGGACTTTCCTTTAGCATGCCTCTGTTACGGAGTGCGATTATCAGTCTTAGTTTGGGGGCAGTATTGTCTCAAAGTTGGCCAAAACGCTCAGAAATGTCTTTGAAAAATCATGTTTTGGGTCGATTTTAAGCATCCACTGCGTCTGATCCGAGGCGGGCATTTTGCTCCCTCAACGGGCAATTGGTCTTTGGACTTTCCTTTAGCATGCCTCTGTTACGGAGTGCGATTATCAGTCTTAGTTTGGGGGCAGTATTGTCTCAAAGTTGGCCAAAACGCTCAGAAATGTCTTTGAAAAATCATGTTTTGGGTCGATTTTAAGCAGCCACTGCGTCTGATCCGAGCCGGGCATTTTGCTCCCTCAACAGGCAATTGTTCTTTGGACCTTCCTTTAGCATGCCTCTGTTACGGAATGCGATTATCAGTCTTAGTTTGGGAGCAGTATTGTCTCAAAGTTGACCAAAACAGTCACAACGGTTTTTCAAAGACATTTCTGAGCGTTTCGGCCAACTTTGAGACAATACTGCTCCCAAACTAAGACTGATAATCACACTCCGTAACAAAGGCATGCTAAAGGAAGGTCCAAAGACCAATTGCCCGTTGAAGGAGGACGAAATACCGCCTCGGGTCAGACGCAGTGGCTGCTTAAAATCGGCCCAAAACACGATTTTTCAAAGACATTTCTGACCGTTTTGGTAAACTTTGAGACAATACTGCTCCCAAACTAAGACTGATAATCACACTCCGTAACAAAGGCATGCTAAAGGAAGGTTCAAAGACCAACTGCCCGTTGAGGGAGCAAAATGCCCGCCTCGGATCAGACGCAGTGGCTGCTTAAAATCGGCCCAAAACACGACCCCAGCTACCTCGCCGCGACCCCTTAAAATTTTTTCGCGACCCCACTTGGGGTCGCGACCCTAAGGTTGAGAACCACTGCCCTAGCGGAAGGAAGCGTGACATGCAGGGGCGCCGGAAGTGTATTTCCTCAGGGGGGGCAAACAATTTTAAATCCTACGTTCCTAATTACCCCCCTCCCCCACCAAAAAAGGTGCTTAAAAAGACCCTACTCTTTCATGCACCGCCTCGGGAAGGCTTTGACCGCTGATAGTTTAGGAGCAGTGGTCTCGCAAAAATGGTCAAAAAGTGAATGAATTTCAGAAAATCATCGTTTTTGCTGACTTTGAGCGGTCACTGCATCCAATTTAGTTGCGGTCAAAGGCCTCCCTCGACGCCTTACTATTCTAAAGACCCTACTCTTTCATGCCCCGCCTCGGGAAGGCTTTGACCGCTGATAGTTTGGGAGCAGTGGTCTCGCAAAAATGGTCAAAAAGTGAATGAATTTCAGAAAATCACCGTTTTTGCTGACTTTGAACTGTCACTGCATCCAATTTAGTTGCGGTCAAAGGCCTCCCTCGACGCCTTACTATCCTAAAGACCCTACTCTTTCATGCCCCGCCTCGGGAAGGCTTTGACCGCTGATAGTTTGGGAGCAGTGGTCTCGCAAAAATGGTCAAAAAGTGAATGAATTTCAGAAAATCACCGTTTTTGCTGACTTTGAACTGTCACTGCATCCAATTTAGTTGCGGTCAAAGGCCTCCCTCGACGCCTTACTATTCTTAAGACCCTACTCTTTCAGGCCCCGCCTCGGGAAGGCTTTGACCGCTGATAGTTTAGGAGCAGTGGTCTCGCAAAAATGGTCAAAAAGTGAAAGAATTTCAAAAAATCATCGTTTTTGCTGACTTTGAGCGGTCACTGCATCCAATTTAGTTGCGGTCAAAGGCCTCCCTCGACGCCTTACTATCCTAAAGACCCTACTCTTTCATGCCCCGCCTCGGGAAGGCTTTGACCGCTGATAGTTTGGGAGCAGTGGTCTCGCAAAAATGGTCAAAAAGTGAATGAATTTCAGAAAATCACCGTTTTTGCTGACTTTGAACTGTCACTGCATCCAATTTAGTTGCGGTCAAAGGCCTCCCTCGACGCCTTACTATCCTAAAGACCCTACTCTTTCATGCCCCGCCTCGGGAAGGCTTTGACCGCTGATAGTTTGGGAGCAGTGGTCTCGCAAAAATGGTCAAAAAGTGAATGAATTTCAGAAAATCACCGTTTTTGCTGACTTTGAACTGTCACTGCATCCAATTTAGTTGCGGTCAAAGGCCTCCCTCGACGCCTTACTATTCTTAAGACCCTACTCTTTCAGGCCCCGCCTCGGGAAGGCTTTGACCGCTGATAGTTTAGGAGCAGTGGTCTCGCAAAAATGGTCAAAAAGTGAAAGAATTTCAAAAAATCATCGTTTTTGCTGACTTTGAGCGGTCACTGCATCCAATTTAGTTGCGGTCAAAGGCCTCCCTCGACGCCTTACTATCCTAAAGACCCTACTCTTTCATGCCCCGCCTCGGGAAGGCTTTGACCGCTGATAGTTTGGGAGCAGTGGTCTCGCAAAAATTGTCAAAAGTGATTGAATCCCCGCAAGTATGATTGTCATTTCATTGGATGATGTTGATTATTTCACTGGTTACCAACTAGACGCGCAATGATTATCTTGAGTCGGGTACCCCTTGGAATATGCTGTCCCATTTTTACCCCGTGTCCTATAATTGCTCCAACTGACCCTAATACTAATATAAATTATTCAATTCAAGGGGGAGGGGGAAGAGGCCGCCGCGCCGCGTCTCGCCGCTCACTGCGGAGATACTTTGCGCGACCGGTGCCCGCCCGCCTGGCTCGATTTTCGCAGCTTCCCACCAAAGTCCAGGGGGGGCGATGCCCCCCCTGCCAAATTCCAGGGGGGCAGCCTGCCCACCCTCCACCCCACTTCCGGCGCCCCTGGTGACATGATAACCCCCAGGTCGCCCAGGCTCATGCTGATAAAGGGACCGATACCGCACGGGGCCGACCTACCCTACGACACACGCAGGCTGTACTGTACGCAAAAAAGTTATCGTGGAAAAAAAAACCGCGGCAAAATTTTTGGCTGTTTCAACTTCTCTTACAGTGTACGACTCACAGGATGCAGACGCCCAGGAGGTAGCCAGCGCCCCACGCCACGACGAGCAGGGCCAGCACGGCGGCGGCGGCCGCGGCGACGACCCGCGTCGCCAGCGGCACCCACCACTCCTCCAGGCCCTCCAGGGCGTCCAGGGCGCCGACGTAGCACAGGCGCGGCGCCAGGGACACGGCGCTCACCGCCAGCTCCACGGCGGCGGTCTGCTCACCGGGACGGCCTGCGCAAAGCGAGTTCAAGATGCTGAAGCAACCAACAGAAAGCGGAAGTTTTTAATTTTCAATGGAGCGTGACGAATTGTGGGGGATCGAACCCTTGTAAGTGTTTGCCGTCCCAGTCCAACACCCCAGTGCCGCGAACCGGGTCGAGGGGAGATGCCGATCGGCCCGGGGGCCATAACCGCCATAAAACAACCCCATTGCTAACTGGGAGCAACTATGACGTCTGTCCCGGTGCGTAAGGTTCAATTGTCAATAAAAGTTGTTGCGGACAAAGGGTCGGATCTCTGGCTAATATCCGGTCGGTAACGGGGCCGCGGGACGCCACTCGTCCTCACCGGGCCACTGCGTGAGGACGAAGTACGCGGCGCACACCAACATGAACGGGGCTCCGGGCTGCAGGCGGTCCAGGCGCTCCCCGATGCTCAGCAGCCCGAAGGCCAGCACCACGGCCTTGGCCAGGCGCGCCGCCACCAGCGAGCCCACGGACCCCGCCAGGCCCCTCAGCCCGCCGTCGTTCCGCGGGAAGGAGATCTGCGACCACACTCGTCGCTGCAACACCATGAACGCCGAACGCCGTCAGCGTCGCTACCCCGTGCGCGGTAGACACTCACCGAACCGGCGCCGGCAAAGACCCCTACTTTGAGCGATGAATGGACGTAGCCCAGGATGGAGCACAGGAGGAGGGAGTGCAGACAGCTACCCGGCTGGTCGGGGCACAGGAGCCGCTCCGCTCCGAGGTTGAACAGCACCTGCAAGAAGTGTGGCTCAGTACCACCTCAAGGCACTGGAGGTCAACATGCAAGGGGTGCCCGAGCGTGGCGGCCGAGTGCCGACTCACAGTGGGCCCTGGCTCGGCTGAACCACACTAGCGCCCGCTACTGGGGCCTAAGCACAAAAGACATCCGGGGGCGCAGAGCGCGGGGTAGCGACGGTACAGTACCTGGCTCGTGGTGGTGTGGAGCCGCTGCAGCGGCAGGTAGGCGTTGTGGCACGCCTTGAGGCAGGTGTAGGCGCCGCCCAGACACTGCCACGCGGACAACCCGTGGCGCGACGTGCATATCCTGCGCACAACAAGCACAACGAGGAGGCCGGTGAGATGGCGGCGTCAGGAACGCGCGAGCCTGAAACTCGAAACGACGGCCGCCAACCTCAACCAGCCGATGACGACGGTGGCGGACAGGAAGCCGGTGGCCACCGGCACCACCAGAGTGACGTACAGCAGCACGGCCACGGAGAGCAGGGCGACGGGCACGGAGCGCGCGGCCAGCGGCAGCAGCAGCAGCAGTGCCAGCAGACACCCTGGCACGTCACACCAAGAAAGAGGTTATTCCATTTCTTCGTGCGCTGGCTGGTCACGGAGCAAACGCCACCATTTGGTTTCCAGCCGCGTTTTGGAGCGACGACCCTCACCGGCCGTGGCGTGCCTGCTCTCCAGCTGCTGCAGCGCCGCCCGGTAGCGCTGCGGGTTGCCTACCATGGCCTCAGGCTCTCAGACTTCCCCGGCTGGAGGCGGCAGAGGTGTCCATGCCCGCCGTGCCTGGAGAGGCGCCCGTATTGGCGCCGGCCGACCGGCTAGCTGCTACCGGCACGGTGCGTGGCGCGGCATGGCGCGCACCTCTCGATGCCCGGGAAGGCCCTCAAGTGCGCGCCCCGCCCCGCCCCCGCGCTTGTGCCATGAGCCTCATGAGCCCAACGCGACGGGCCCGGGCCGGCAGTTCCAAATTAGAACCCACGCCGCGGCCACACGCAACACGCAACTCCCGGCTCTGCGGTCTCGCGGCACTTTGCTGCTTGTTTCGCCTTCGCGGCGCCTCTATGACTGTTATGGGGAGTTGCTTTCTTTGCCGATGTCATCCTTTTGGCACCCATGGGCTCTTTCAGCTTTCAGGTGCTATATTTAGGCGGGTACCGCGGCCTGCAGCCGCGACGCCAGCGGCCTCTAGAACCTAGAACTCGAATTGAATCACCTAGCCTCGGAGCATGCCCCTTCAACAATCCACGATGATGCGAGAATGAGAAATTGTCCGCTGCGAAAGATGCAGCAGCCACAGCTGGGTCCGTCGTCTGCATTTTTGTTTTACTAATTTGTTTATTAACAAAACCGCACGACGTCAGTTTTTAATATTTTCGTGCTTTTCGTGGTTTAATGGGAAGCTTCATCTCTGTCAGCTTCAAACACAATATTTTCATTCTAAGCCTCTCCTCTCTTGATTGGACCGGTGAGTTAGGTTAAGGATACTTCTACCACTCAGAACACTTTGAAGATGGACCGAGCTTCGACAAAGGATTTGCCTCGTGGGGCGGTGGTGATGAATAGATCGGAAGCAATAGAATACATCTGGTCCCAAATTTCCAAACACAAACCAGAGAAAGAAGTGTGAGTGAAAGCAATAAAACAAAATAATAACCTTCTTGAGTTAACTTAGAGCGATATGTATTGTGAGTAATATCACTTCACTGTAACTAGTGTCTTCCAATTTTTCAGGATTGCTCTTAAGTATGGTTCCCTTATAGCAGGAGGATTTGCTTCCCTCTCAGGGTTTGCGATGCTACGACATTTTCGATCTTCATTAGGATTGCGAAAGGAGGCATCGATTTCATCCAACTTATTCTGCCTATTTCTCCCCTGTATGGGTACCTTCATTTATCATTTTTTGGTAAATAATTCTATTTTAATCTGAACAATTAAAGCTGCAGTATGTCAGTTGTGAATGTGCTCTAGCATTTTTTCTTTTTCAGTTTGTGACCCCACCTATCCTTCTCCAAGAAAAGTATTGCAATGTTTGCCTTCAACTCAAATCTGTTGCCATACAAACTTCTGTTGGTTTTTTATGGCCTTGGGGGCTAGCAGCAATGTCTTCAAGCATGGTATGTGTGGTTTCTCAACTTCTTGTTGATAGAGATATGAAAGATGGCTGGCTGTTACTGTACTACTGAATTTACACTCTGCAGACTGCTACAAAATTAGGTGTTAACATGCCTACCTTGATGCAACCAATTGAATTGATGAAGATGAGCAATTTTTTAGCCCAGCAGGGTAAAGGACCTGCCATTTTCACTGGGCTGTTAGTTTGTAATACATTAGGGGCAGTTCTTCTCGTCAGTGCTGAAGAATCACAAATTTTAACTTTTAGAAGGCGAATACAGATGAGACGAGTGTTGGATCAAGAATAAAATTATCAAGTTAAGGTAGTGAAGATTTGTAAGAAGGTAGGTGTATTGCACACAATGGATCTTGCTGACAAGTTCATATATTTCATCTCTGTAAGTTATAAATAAATTAAATCTGTTGTCATAGCATTTTCTTTTTTATTTTGGTAGGTACTTTGTAGAACATCCCAAAATTACAATTGTTCTACAAAACTTACCAAAAGTACAGGTTCGTCAAGTAATAGTCACATCCCACACTGAAAATGTCCACCATTCCCCCATAATTTAATGATTAACTTTCACTCTTTGCAGTACTAACTAAAGGTTAGTATAATATAGTGCACACTGTTGAGGTTTGGTATTGTGGCCCATCTCCAAAATGCTCTGCTCCAATGTTCTATGTACAGAGGGGGACTTTATTGAATTATATGCAGACACTGGATTATCTAAAATACACACCATATATAACCAATCAATGAGTATTTTGTTAAGCACACAATCTCACATACATACTTTGTGACAAGAGATAAAGCTCGAGGGAGACTTGATATTGATATGATCAGTTCGATAATATAATAACAACAGAAACTTAAGTGTTTAGTCAAAGGGATTCCTCTGTCAATCAATTTTTGTATTAGTGCTGCATTTGTGAGGGCCATCTAAACTACTCCTGGGAACTGCCAATGATTGTCAATCTAAATCTACATTCTTTGAAATGAGTAGTTCACCATGGCATATACAAATTCAAAATTGCACCATAGAAGCCAATGGGAATGCTATTGCAACTACGCAGAAAGCACAAAGCTAGGTTTCAAATTGTTCACATTGGTCCTTAATCTAATACAATCATACTTAAGTTATTACAAGATACACATACAAGAACTTTATGTCACATTACTGGTGTCTTCATTGTTAGGGTGATTACTGAAATGTTTGATATTGATTTTATACTCACAGGTAGATACACCACACAACAAGATCACAACTAATCCAGCTAGAATTTCCTATGCTTTGTCAAGGCCTTCCTGCAAACCCAACAAGTACATGGCATGCTATTGGAAGTCAATAAAGACTGAAAAGAGAACAGGCCATTAAAAAAGATTTTGCCAAATGTCAGCATGCCTCACATCCTGAGTACAATTAAAATCTTCAGAAGTTAAAATTACAAGGAGAAAAAAAAAAGACAGGAAATTTTAAAAGTCACTACAGAGTAACACTATTTACTAAATATCAAACAAGTTTACTCCTTAGTCTTATCTCAAAGAATAGAGACCACATTTTGTTCCACTTAAAGCAAAGTAAAGAAAAATTAGACTAAGAGAGGCGGTACAATATGCCTTCAATGTACCATTGTCAATCCAAGAGAACTTCTCAGATACCAAAGATGTGTAATTCAAACAACGCTTTTTTCCCCTCCAAGGGACCAAGTGTTTTTCTTACAAAATCATGCATCAGAAAAAGGAAACAAACAAAAATGACTTTCAGATTTGACACAATTTTTCAATTGCTGGTTCAATACTGCAAAGGTGAAATTGCACTCAGACAAAATGCTTTATTTGAATGATAACTAGTCACTCTTCCATAATCAATAAAAGTAAAATACAATACCCAAGTAGCAATCCAAAGGTACATAATTTGGTGATAGAAATGAGAGATTTTAAGTAGCTTGGCTACTTTCATCAAAATAATGTAAGGATGAGTGAGAAGAATTGAATAATGTCCACCCGCCTAACAACTCAAAACTGGCATTAATGTTGTGCATTAAAGAGTCACCCTTAAAATGCATTAATTGATGTACCATAAAAAAAAAATTCTTAAAAAAAAAAAGCAGAGAATAAGATAAAAAAGAAACAGGTTCAGTAGAAAAGGAAAAATTATTATGAAAGAAGTTGGTATACATTAAGTTATCAAAAGTTATCGTCCCCTGCGAGTTTTGGGTGGAGTTTTAAGTGGGGTGGCAGCAGCGGCTCTCCGTTTGCGAGTGTTCCTTCCTTCTTGAACCTCAGCGACTTCCTCTGATTCCTGTTTGATGTCATCTGATACTTCGCTTGCCTCCTCCTTCATGCCCTCCTGACATTCGTTGTCTTGCGCATCTTCCTCCTCTTCTTCCTCAGTGTGGGTTTCTTCCTTTGCAGCAGCACCAGCACCATCATTTGCTCCCTCTCCTGCGTCCCCTTCCTTTGACTCCTCATTTTCTTTGGGAGCAGCAGCAGCAGCATTACTCTGCTCAGCCTGCCCATTTTGAGCACCTTGGCTAGCAGGCGCTGGAGCAGGAGGATAGTTGTCCCATTCATCTTTGTCTGTCATTACTTTGACCGCAGTGCCCTTGATGAGAATACCATCAAGAGATGCTGCTTTCAAGACACTTGATGCATCCTGCAACAACATTGGCATAAATATGATGAAAATTTCCAGCTGGATAGGTTACAAATCCCACACAGTAATTAGAGTGGTCATTACCTGGAATTCAATGTATGCCTTAATGTTGTTCTTTTTCATTTCTTTATGGACATGCTCAATGACTCCACAAACTTGAAAAACTTTCCATAAATCAACTTCCAATATAGCTGTAAGGTGAAAGATAGGGGAATGAGGCTCTTTACTCAATACTACTACAGTGATTGGTATTGATAATTCCTGTTTGGAAAATCATGTTAGTTTTACCTGGAGGAAGATCAGCCAAAAACACAGGATTGATTAGGCGTTGCCCATCCCAGCGTAGAACACGTACTTCCTGCTTGTTCATCTCCTGCCTGTCTCTCTCCAAAGCTTTCTCAACACCATCAGCATCCTAAAGTTTAAAAATGAAATAAAATCAAAACACAATAACGTACATAAAAATGACGAGCTTTGTCCAATTTACACATTTGTTTCGTGCTCCTTTCTCACTACCAAGAGTCTTATGAAAACTGGTTGCACTCACCCAGAAGACAAAGACTGCTCTTCGATTTGTGGTCTCAGCAGAATCAATCTTCAAGTTCGATATATCACCACACCCATCCATGAACTCCAATGCATCTTTCCTGGTGATTCCTAAGAGAGGAAACAGTCAAAATTAGCTATGTCATAGTATACTACTAACATAAATAACCCAATTATTTGAATCTTACCAAATGGAAGGTTCAAAACCACAACTCCCAAACCGGGTCGATCCTTGAGAGAAGCCCACATGCGCAGTTTAACTGGTTTACCTTTCAGCTCATTTCCATCCAGAGCAAGGGCTTTCTGAGCTTCTTCTTCATTCTAAAAATATTATAATTGTAATTAAGATAATTGAAAAAGAATAATAATTTGAAAAGTTGCATGAGCAGGAGGACTAAAATGTATGAATTCATTTTTGAAGGATTAGATAAGATTGTTACCTCAAAATGAACCTGCCCATAGAGCCTTCCATCTCCACTAGTGGCATTTACTCTTTTCACATTCTTAATCTTGCCACACTCCTCAAAAAATCTCCACAAGTCCTCATCATCAACATCTACAAATTGTGACAGGTAAGTTGATCAACATTCTGAACAATGGATTGTAAAACTGAAATCCAATAGAATTTCCCTTGACTCACCTAAAGAAATGTTTAAGCAACATACAACTGTAGTTTTCCAGGAATCAAAATCACTTTCTTGCCGAGAAACGACAAGGTGTCGATCCTCAATAACAGTTCCATGTTTTTCAAGACCTTTCTTGGCTTCTTCTTCTGTGCCCATAACAAGGCGCACTTCAAGAGATACCTTCTTCTCGGTACCAGGCAAACAGCTCAGCTCTTGCTTATTGATTGTAACCTGACAATTAAGCAGAATAAATTTATTAATATTATTCATCTTGATTGATAAGGACTATTTCTTTACAAGGCAACAAAAATGACAGTGGCTCCAACCTGTTCTACTTTTCCACATTCAGCAAACAGTGTCTTAAGCTCTTCCTTCAGTGTTTCTTCAGGTTTTTCTGGACAGTTACGTAAAAACAGCGTTCGCCTAAAATTGTTAAAGTTCATCATGAGTTAATAGGGCTACTAGACGTCTCAATACAAGATAAAATTGAATCCTGAAAACAACTTACTTTTTCCTCTCCAAGAAAGCAGCACTTTTAGTTTCTCTGGATGCATTGTTGTCCCGCCTCCTCTTCTTCCAGTCGACACGTCCCCTGACTGCTTGCCTTTGAGGAGCAGCAGGACCACCCATTCGACCAGGGGGCCCAGAGGGAGGGAAGAAACGGCCATTGGGAGGATAAGCTCCATAAGCATCTCTGGCTCCATAGCCTCGATTAGGAGGTGGGGCAAAATGGTCGGCATTGTTGTAGGAATTGTACGAGTTGTTGTAGGAATTATTGTAGGCATTGTATCCGCCGTGGCCACCACCATAACTGTTTCCATAATCGTTGTAATCTGCCCGGTAGTTGTTGCCATAGTCGGAACGGTAGTTTCCACCACCACCGCCTCCTCCTCCCCCGTATCCCCAACTACGGCGATCCATGGCTCAGACTGCAAAAAATAAAAGAGTACATAAATTAGGGCTCACAAGAGGGGACAACCACGAAAAAACTTTTAAAAAGTAGATCATAAGAGAGCAGTCATCTTTAAATTCACGTCTTTACAGATATTGAGAGAGCAAGAAAATGCAAGCCAACATGAAATGAATGGCCTTAGGGGCTTTAACAAGGAATGAATGAGAAGTTAGAAACTAATAGGAGACGCGAGGCAACATCTATTTCTTGATTCTCGCTCGGCAAGACGAAGATGGAACGGGAAGCAGTTGGTTCAACGCCACAGTTAGGTCTTAACGGAACTTGACTAGTGCACTAGTCGGCAGTAGGCCGCGAACTCGCACAGATTAGGTTAGACAAGAAGCAGTGGGCTACACGGGAGTATTCCCGCCCCGACTTTGCCGAAGGAGCCGACAGAAATACAAAGACCAGCCTCGCGAGAACTACGGTCGAATTATTAAAACAGGAAAAGAGCAACCTCGCTAAATTGCGAGCTTCGGGAGCTCCAAAATACGCGGCTACCCTAACCTGCCACAGCCAAAGCGGCTTCACTGGGTCTGTCCCGGCGGCTGCCGTTTTGGCTTTCACAAGATCACCCAAGTACCTTTGCTACCTTTTCTTCTCCGGGGACGAAACTGCGCTTTTCTAGACGGGATGAACAGCACCAGTGAGGAAATTGCAGCAGGAGAGCTGTTTTGAGGGGTTGTTTATGAGACCTTCCTTCTGAGAGCCTTGTGAACGGCGCCCGGAAAGCTTCACTACCACTAGGGCACGTCCGGAAGCGGCGTCTACTTCTTCTTCTTGTACTTCTACACGTGGCAGCGGGAAAGAAACGCGCGCCTCTTTTCGCTTGTTCTCCGCAGTCTCGGAGCTCCGATTTCATCGACAGGGACGAGCCGTCGATTGAAAATACTCAGCACCGCGGGAAATAGAAGCAAAATTCGATTTTTCTACGGTAACTTTGAAAGAATCGATGCGCCGATCGTGACGCGCTTACGGACGCCCCCTTCACTCCACCCTCCGTTATCTTCCCCTCCCGCCCCTCCACCGCCCCGCCCCCGCCCCGCCCCGCAGGGTGGGAGGTGTCCGAGAAGTTCGTCGAGCAGGAGCCAGTCGCAATCGCAAGAAGCTAGGAATTCCAGCGCCAAACAGTTAACAGCGTGTTACCTGCGGTGATCAGCGTCAGAAACTCTTCGCACCCGTCCAGACACCAATCACGATGTCCGTCGACCTGGACAAATGTTTCGAGGTGGTCATGGAACTGGCGAGGAACGGAGGCAAGGTGAGCGGTGTTGGACTGTCAAGGAAGGAGCAGACGACCTTTTTGACAGCTGATCTGTTGCACCGTCGGTCTTAATTAAATGAACCCAAATTATAGCAAGCATGAGATAACGTAATCCCTCATCCTGACGGTAGTCTTCTTTATGCATGCCCACTTCACTCGCTCACATTTGCTATTCTTTGTAACATAAGAATAAAATTGCGCTCTATCATATGGCTTCTATTGATTATGTGTTAGCGTAACCAGGAAGAAATTTTTCCTGTGATTTGACTTTGAGACTTAAGTTTTGCATAATTAGTAATTCTGGATTGATTGGTTTTTTCCTCAGATTATTCGTGAGAGAATCTACAGTAAGAAGACTATAAGTACCAAATCTGACCGAGTAGATTTGGTAACAGAAACCGACCAAGAAGTTGAGAAAATGTTAATTTCAAATTTACGTGCCGAGTTTCCTGATCACAAGTAAGAAATACTTTTTGTCGTAAGACAATACGCCTGTAATTATTCTTAAAATTAAAACACTAATAAAAAATTTATTTCCAAGATTCATTGGTGAAGAATCAACAGCTGAAGGAATTCCTTGTGAATTCACAGATGCACCCACATGGATTATTGATCCTGTAGATGGCACAATGAATTTTGTCCATGGATACCCTAATGTTTGCACTTCAATTGCATTCACTGTAAATAAAGTTGCAGAGATTGCTATCATCTACAACCCTGTTTTGGAGCAAATGTTCACCGCTCGAAGGGGTCAAGGTGCAAAATTAAATGGGAAACCTATCCATGTGTCTGGGGAGAAAGGTAAGAGAGCTCTGAGACCCACAGATGAAAAATTCTGGAAATATAATGCATAGTCATACTTTGAATTGAAATTCCACTCTGCATTTCACCAGACTTGCAGCAAGCCCTTTTGATACTAGAATGTGGCACAACACATGAGGAAGAAAAGATGAAAAATAATTTTAAAAATCAACAAACTCTTACACCAATTGTGCATGGGTAGGTCTTAGTTTACAAGAAAATAATTGGTGGTTTCCTAAAAAAAATTATTGTGATAAACAATGGAATACCTGGTTACAGTTTGTAATTTGCACTTGAATCCTTTCTCAACATTCCAGGACACGTTCAAATGGTTCTGCTGCTATTAATATGGCAATGGTAGCAATGGGTGCTGCTGATGTCTATTTTGAGTTTGGGATCCATGCTTGGGATTATGGAGCAGGAGACCTGCTTGTGAGGGAAGCTGGTGGTGTTTGTATTGACCCTTCTGGCAAGTACCACATCAACGTGAATTGCTGCATTTTCCTGGAGTTTGCTGTTTGTAAACTTATTTTTCTTCTCTTAAACAGGCGGACCTCTTGATATCATGGCTCGACGCATGCTCTGCGCTGCCACAATGGAACTAGCCCAAGAGATAGTTCCAAAAATAAGCCAAATTTACCCACCACGTGATTAAAACAAGTTACTGTACATACATTCCATTCTGAAAAGTGTAGTCTAGTTCAAATTACAAAAATATAAATATCCTATTTTATGACAAGGATTATTTATCGAGCATAAATAAAATGTCATATGGGCATAACTTTTATTGTATTTATCTATTTATGATTGAAAGTGTCACTTTTTAGGACTTTCCAAGTAGTTCATCTTGCTTTCCCTTCATAATTTCTTCTGATTGCGCTACGTATTTATCAGCAATTGCTATCACCTGGAACAAGTTACATGCAAAATAAGGTGACATCAGCTTATTTCAAATAGCTTTATTTCTTAAAATGAAACGCACAAAGCAGTTCTTATGTACCTGCTTATAGGCTGATTGTCTTTCGCTATCAGAAACATCACTGTTCCTTAATTCTTTAATATTTTTTTCTTGAGTCTGTTTGATGGAATCTCTACAGGTGATAAAAAGGGCTTTAGCCTTCTTAGCTAAAATCTCTCGATGCTCCTTTGTAACTCTGTTATCAAAACACAAAAAGCTCATGGTACTACTGAAACAAGTCAACACAAGTAGTGCATTATCGGTTTCATCACTTACTTAGGTATTGGGACATAAATTGTTGTCCCCTCTTGTTGCGGATTTAAATTTAGAGATGAAGTCTTCAGAGTGTCAACAACAGTTTTAGTCATCTGAGGGAAAGACAACATATCCAACACAATAGTTTGTTGGCCTTTTCGAGTCATCTTTGCCACTTGTTGAAGCTCATATTCTTTTCCTTCAAATCTTACTTTCATACTTTCAATTGACCCTAGAATCAATCAAGGCAAAACCAGTATGATAAATCAGACTGTAACGAAAGGCTTGTCTTATAACAGTGAAAACTCTAAGCCTACCTGCGGATCGGAGAGATAGGCTCTTAACAAACTCAGTTTTCATGGTCTGAACAGCACCTTCCATTCTCTGAACCATTTCTTCCACTTCGATAAGTTCTCCAAGTCCAGTTAAATTTACTTGCACATTTGTCTCTATAAAGATAGTATTGTTGATTAAGAATTTCACACTTCCACTTCAAATTATTAAAGAAACAGCAAGTACATTTTTCCCTTACTTTTCTTGGCACTTTTCTTAGAAGCATAGTTACGTTGCACTGAGAGAATTGCAGAAAGCTGAGGTTGATGCACCTTGTTTAATGTGGAGTTCTTGATTGTAAGCGAACAGAAGTTAGCTTGGAGCAATTTGAGAAACGTTTGACATCTAGGATCCCAGCACCTACTAGTACCAACAAATGGTATACAGTTGGACCATTGAACTGATCGATAGAACAAAGTTAAGCCTCGACAAGAGTTCATGTTTGTTGAATAAATAGATTTAATATCTGCAACAGAAACAGCACAATGGTCATTGTTGAGTAAAGTTGGGAGTTAAACAAAACTGTGATAAAATACTGTCATAGAGGAAAAATAAGTCAGTTTTCTTTCAAAAATCGAACGCTGACATACGTGTTTAACGACAAAGTGTTATCAACCGAACAGAAGTCTCTTCATTTCAGGAGCAGAGGAACGTCCGAACAAATATAACCCTTACAGCTAGCAGACTACACACCGACCCGACTCAGGGGAGGAAGAGGTGCCGGGGTGGGGGGCTCGCGGTTTCGTAGTAGGGCGCCACTAGAGGCCTACACTCACTGGAGGCCTCTAGGCGCCACTAGACTCGGCTCTCTTGGCGCCACACTTTGTCATGTGTTGTCTACATTGTCACGGGATGCCAGGAAAACGTAGCCCGTAAAGCAGGGAAGCTGATAGTTGAGGCTTCGTTATTTTTGCTGAGCCAACCATAAATTTGAACTTTGTTTTTGTTCTTTAACCTCACTTCAACTGCGAAGCCCTTGGGGATCGGACCTTGAGACATGGACTCTGCAATTTTCACTAGAATCTCATCAATGCTGCCAAATTACCCTTGCCTTTATCTGAGTATTTTCGCATTGCTTTTTCTACGTAATTAATTCCAAATGGATTTTTTTTTTTTTCTTGATTTGAATGTGTTGCATTGTCATTTTTTTTGCTTTTAAAGTTATATAATTAAATGACAATAGTAAATATTGGACTTAGAGTAGGCTGTGTTGGTAGCTCGTGTACGTTTTCGTAATGTGTAAAGAAGCGGTATTTTGAATGTGAATTGAATGCCTCGTTTAGACGGTATCTGTTGCGTTAAGGAATCTGTCATCTCCGTTAGGTTAGGTTAGAATAGGTTGAGTCCATTTAGTTTCGGAACGCACCAACTCACCGAAACAACCTGTGCCGTTTCCGAAATCACGACACTGTCTAAACCGGTGACGTCACTCAGTTCCTAAATTCTTTCTACCGCCTGGTCTGAGGCCTTCGCCGGGTATTTGCCGTGTTTTTTTAATTTTTACTTTTCTTTGAAACTTGTTACTTGAAGTCTTAAGAACATGCCCGAAAGGGCCTTGCTCAGCACAAGTCTTCGACTTTCACTAGTATTCTATTTAATGTCTTTTCGTTTCAGTTGTCGAGGCCAAATGATGACTCTTGTGTTTTTGTTTTTGGAGTCCCTGAGGCTCCAAGGGCACATCCGGGAGGGTGAGTGAGAATAATGGGGGAAGGAGGTAAAGCAAAGGTCAAAGCCACTTTCTCGAGAAGGGTCAAGCTTAGGTCTCTGTGTTTTTGTTTGTAATTTTTTTTTTTTTTTCATGCGACTTCATGCCTATTTTTATGAGACAGCCACAGACAGTTTCTCTGTGCAGCTGATGGCTCAAAGAAAAAATAAATTACAACAATACATGATTGCAAGAATGCATGTGCATTTATATGATTCAACACAAGAGAAGCGGTCCAAGTGAACAGGAACTTTTCATCCAAAGTACACATGATAAATCTCTCAGAAGTAAAAAAAGGAAAAAACTTCAAAGCTTAATTCAACTCTACAGTCTCCTTGTACATCTCTCTCCTCCCGAACAAAGATTCACAAAATATCAAACATAAATCAATCAATCAATCACGCAACCCCTCTCATCCAAAATGATAACTTCTTTAGTAGACCAGTTAAAAATCAAATATAAAGAATAAATAATTCAATAAGTTAGACCTATAAATAACTGTGTTTTAGGTAGAACACTGCATAATACATTTAAGTAACACTGGTGCAGGCAGTTGAATAAAAATATCTTGCACGTACTATAAGCAAATCTGCAAGAGTACCAGACAAAAAAAATATTGCACATTAGTACATATACTTCAAATACATCATTAGACTTTCAACAGTCAAACTTTGGTTAAAGTTAATGTTTTCACTTAAAAGGATATCTCTTGATGGTAGCCTTCACTTCCAATGAAAATAACATACAGTACATAATCTAATTGTGTCTAGCAACTTCAATTACTGTAACTTGCTGTAGAACATAATAAATTCATGGAATTGTGTTCCAAAACACAGACACACATGAGCTGGCTCATGTAAAATATCATCTACAAGACTTCAACCATTGCTAGTTCAGAATTCTTTTAAATAAGATCAGAAGGTAAAATAATTCATAGACAAATATGTACAGGTGATAGAATTGTAATTCACATTAAATGCAAAAAATACTCATGAAAATTCATGAAGGTAACAAGAAGATTGAAGAATTGAGACAGATATTGCCCCAAAAGCATATAGAGTATTTCTCAGTCCCTGGAGTATCTTCACGAATATTCTTTGGCAAAAATAGGAAAATGATTGAAGGTTAACTAACTCTCAAATGGCCACTAGGAAGCATACTGATGCATACAATTGTGTACAACAATTACAACTCTGTGAAAATATAATATAGGAAAATTAGAACACTCCTCTAGAAAATTAAGTACAAATTGGCATAGGAACCTTGGTCATTAAATAGTAACTAAGAATAGTGTCCACTTTGACCATAGTGATCTGAGCCTGATCGTTGGTAGTGAGACATAGATGGATGAACTGGAGGAGGGAAACAGCGAACATGTTCAATGGAAGAGTTGTCCACTTCACTACCTTTCAGGAACTTATTGAGAATGGCAAATATCTGAGAGTTGAGTACTTGAAAGCGTCGTACTCTATCAACCATCCTTTTCAAATTCTGCAAAAGATATCAACCAGACAATTTAAACATTTATGAAAATAGGAAAACTAGTCCATGTGAAACATTCAAGCTGCAACTTACAATTCCTTTGACATTTTCATCTTTACCATCAACTCTTTGGACTTTAAGAATGTGGTAGCAGAAGTCTAGAGCTTCAAATCGACGTTGCTGTCCCAGCAAGACAATCATTGTGCAACCAGCCCAGTTCAGCCCCTCACCAAACAATTCCCTTCATTAAAACAGAAGATTCAATTAATATTCTCATGGAACACATGTGATAAGAAGTAATACCTGCAGCTCATTTAGAAAATGAAACTTACTCTACAGTGAACTCTGTATCTCCAACTGGTATGCAGTAGACAAATTGTAAAGCTGACCACAGACGTTGAAATTCTGCACACTCATCCACATTCATAACTCCATTAGCTGGAGGGGGTCCTACCCAAATGGGATCATCCAGGAAACTTTTCAGTCTTGTAAGAACAACTTCAAAAATAGAAAGACCACAGCACAGGCGTTCTCTAGTCAAGAGGTCCCCTTCTCTTGATATCAGGGCTTGCTGAAATAAAATTCAATGAATGAACTTTTTACAAATATCTTATGTATTACATTATTTAATAGGAAGATGTAGTACCTTTGCTGTTCCAAGACGCTCAATGTTGGGAACAATCTGCATTGAACCATATTTAGCCTCCAATCTTCTCTGCTTGAACTCTGGCTTTTCTCCCTCTGAAGAAAAAATAATAATTCAGAACTAGCCAAACTAATATTGATACGATAAATTAGATATGATGCTGATAGTGAAAGTTATGACTTACCTTTGCAAAATGGCCGAGGAAGAATATTTTGAAATGCCGCAGCATGTAGTAGGTCACACACTTCCTCTTGTGACAGTGCTTGTTCCATCAGCAAGCAAAAGAGTATTGTGTTTCCCAGCTCTCGAAAATTGTGAAAGAGCTCTGTCTTAGCATCAGGGTACTGAACTATGTCATTGAGCTGAGCATGATAATAACCCAGGACTCCTGGGGAGCCATAATCGTAACGAGGCAATTTGCACACCTTGGGCATGGCGTCCATCAGAGTCTTAGTGAATTGCAGCAAGTTACCCTGGATGAGACTTTTCACTATTTTCAGGAGCTCCTCCATTACCACTGCTATACCCTGGTAACCCAATAGGCGACACATGGTTCTAAAATGGTAGGGTCCCACAAAGCCTGAAACATAACATGAAAAGATTGATACCACGTTCCCACTGTAAATACAGAATGATGTTGAGAGCCAAATCGCGCAAGCTACCTGTATATTGCCCAAAAACTGTTGAGTAAGCAACATTAAGCTGTTTGCTTCCCCACAGATAGTGATGGGCCATTTGAGGGGGTTTGTCTCTATGCACAGGTTGTGTAAACTGGATACCACGGCATTTGACAAATCTAGATAACGGAGAAAAAAAAGGAGTATCATTAACCACATTTCTAAAATTTTTTTTTAAAAGATAATTTTAGTTATGCATTTCTACAAACCTGTTTGTAGCAGCATTGTAACAATAGTTAGGGAGAAAGTCATAATTCAACTCCCAAAAAATATGCAGAGTGATTCTTCCATATGGAGCAAGGACATTGTGATTTGCCTCCCGGTACATTGCGTCATGCTCATCAAGAGCCAGAAATCGTGACAGTAGTTTGTGAGCAAGGCGATTGACTTCTAGTAAGCCATCCAGTTCCTGAAAAAAAAAAAAAAAAAACAAATTAACACAGGGGATTTATTTATTTGAAGTACATTTGTCAACACGAAAGCAAAAAATTCGACTAGATATTAAAACACATACCACAATCCCTGTAATATCTCCTGCCTCAAACTTGCTAATGGCAAGATCCAAAGATTTATGCATATCAGCATTGATACGCTGTGTTATGAGTTTGTTTAAGTCAATTGATCTTCCAAGAAGCTGAACATGCCGTTGTTTCAAAAGTGTTTCATACCGATTTGCTCTTGGGTATGGTATGTAGGCACCCATCGCCACACACTCCACTCGGAACCGTTTGTCCAGGAGGATGCTACATGGGAAACATTTAAAAAAAAGTTAGACTTGCAAAGTAATTAATTTTAGCATGGGTTGTTAGGGATGGATTAGAGGGTTACCTGCTGGCCATTTGCTTGTAGTGAGCAAATATCTGTTCAGACAACTTGTACACAAACTGGTCAAAGCACAGGTTCACCTCAGCCTCAACTTCATCATACAAGAATTGCTTTCGAAAAACTGTAAGTGCATAGTGTGCACTGTCATTGTACAGGTCTAAGGGGTACAGCACATACCTGGAAAAAAATAAATAAAGGAAAACTATGCATTTTGGGGCCTTATGGAGGCTCCAGCATTTAAGTTCAATTTTGTGATACTCACTCCATTACAGAGGGGTCCTTGGTTCGCAGAATATGATCAGTCAAAATCCAGGGCATTGACATTTCAATGGGGAACTGGAAAGTTTGAAGAACAGCATATTATATCTTCTATTCTGTTAGGGTCAAACTAAAATATATACCAAAGCATTTAAGATTCTATGAACATACCTGAATGCGTTTTTCCATTGTTATCAGGTCATTGCACTCATCATTGTGTTGATGCTTTACAGTGCATTTCTGCAAGAGAAAACAGATGGTCAGACAATCATTTAAACCAAATATTATTTTATATTTTACACAATTTAAAACATTTTAAAAAGTTAAGGTAATTATTACTCACATAAACCCGGCGTCCCATAGTCATTTCTAAATAAAACTCTCTATACCAAAGCTGAGAGAGATCACAGCACTGCTGCAGGGACTCTGAAATTTGTTTCATGACAAATTAATTGCATGTACAAAAAAAGGAAGAAAACAAACCCCATTTTCCAAGCATTTACCACTAAAATTCAGAAGGTGACTCCAATAAAATGAAGTCTTGTGAAACTGATCAATTTGAATCAAGTGTTGGCCATCAATGTCCTTCCTTAAAGTGCGCTTCCCCCCTGACTTATCAGCTATCAGAGACTCCAGCATGGTTCGCACCATGTACAACTGTGTAGAAGACGGACCTGGAGAACATATCAGAACTTATATTACTACTGGTTTTTACATACAGCAAAGTTCAAGGAAACAAAACAAGCACAGAAACTCACCAACATTGCGCCGTGGAACTTTAATCCCAAATCCATTTTCAGGATCTTTCTTTCCCTTCAATGCTGGGTCCCCCGATGGCTCCACTCCTCTTTGCCAATCTGCACAAGTTTCACGCACAGAGACAAGGATGCTGAAAACAAAAAGAGATAAGATAAGATTTAAAAGGGGGGAAAGCATGGGGAAAGTAACAAACAATAGGTTAATAGTCGGCACAAACCTCCTTATAAGGTCTTTTTTGTTCTTAATAGCTTTACGAAGGGGATCTCTTAACATCAGTTGGATAAAATCTTGAAGCTCAGAATAGATTGTTCTCCGAATAGCATCCTGCAGAACACTCTCAATTCGAGCCATCAATACTTGCAAACCTTTGATCATTGCTATCACTTCAATCAGAGCAAATTTCTCCTCATCTGAATAATTGTACCGAGTGGCCTACAAGAAATCAATCAATCATACATTATAGTATGAGCAGTCTTTAACAGTCAATTAGATTTAGATTAGAATCAAACAATACCCTTTCATATTCTTCAGCTTCAACGGGACATTCTTTATTTTGATGGTGATCAGTTGGATGAAGAAGTTTCCAAGAATACAATTCAGTGACAACACTTGTCCACTCTGAAAGAAGCTGTAATCCTCTTAATGCCAAGTCAGCAGTTTCCTTATTTTCCAAGTCAGTTCGTGACTCTTTGTAAGTTGTGGTGACCTAAAGAATAAAATGAATAAAACAACATGGAACAAAGTCTTTTTGTTCAGAAAGCAGGAGACTTTAAAATGATGTCTATTTACCTCATTGCTGTATCTTGCTAATTCACTTATGTACTTAACATGGTCCTCTCGAATCTGAGGAAGATGTACCATCAAGTCTGCCTGAGGGCTGATGTTGTTTGAAGAAGACAGAGGCCATTTGCTGGGTTCAAAGTTCTTACTGCGTTTTATGTAATTGAATGGAGCAATTTGCATGTCTCCAAAAAGAGGGACAACTTCCAAGTTCTGAAAATAAATAAATTAGGAAGCCAGGAACTTAAGAAATGAGGTCGACTTTTTAACAATCTGACTTAGATCATAAAAGAAAATCAGTATACCTTGAAAACTCGGTCTATTTTAGCCAGGTTGAGTTTTTTCCTTTGATCTAATTTAGTCAAACTTTGAGGTTCTCCATCCATAAGAAACAGACCAAAGCCCATTACTTTGACAAGCATATGCTTTTCATGAGGTGCTAAATAGAGACGAGTCTCAAACATATGAACGCATAAAGAAACAACATCTGCTAGAAGATCTTCAAAGCCAGGAACTCTTTCCAAATTTTCCTTTACTGCATCACGAATTTTGTTTTGAGTTGCCAGAAACATAGAGAGGTTCTGGCTCTCTTGTAATGTTTGAGAATCAGCCATAACCTTCAGAAACTGGGCAGCTCTGCAAATGAAAAACAAAAACAAAAATCAGTTATATTAATGTAAAAAATAATACCAAATGACCAACAAGTATACATAATAAACAATCACATTTAAGTTTCACTAACCTTCTGTAAGTGGAATAATCATTTTTAACACTTGACTTCATATTCTTGAGCTCATCTAAAACTGCAAACATATTTATAAATTTTCCCAATGTTAGCATGTATGCTTCAGAGATGAAATCTTTGCGCTTCTCAGTATGACACAACCGCTTCACTTCTGATGTAAAGCGTTCAATAGCCTTGCTCTAGAAAGGTTCAAAATTAAACAATTAGCATCCCATTGATTAAGTCTTAACTCTCATGAACGATTTCAATCAATTCACCTGGAAGTACATGAAGTTTAACAGTTTGTTAACTTCTGGTGCCAGGACTTCCACAGTCTTTTCATAAATTTCAACACGGTTGGGCTGCTCATTTGATTTGGGTTGTGGGATAGCACGCGAACAGCAACGCCATGTGTACAGCATGACAGCATGTTCCACACCCTCTTCAAGCAGTTCATTCTGGAAGTTTAAACTACAAGTTAGAAATAAGTTCAATTTCCATTTTTAACACATTTGGTTTGGAAAGACTTACGAGACTCGAATGAACAGTTGCTTCTTCAATGTACTTGGCGACACCTGTGACGAACCCATTCCGGTCTTCAAAGTTTGTATCAAAATTAACTTGGTAAACCACTGAGCATGGCTGAGCTTCTATGCATGGCTGCTCATCTGGTAACGTCAACTCATCCAGTACATCAACATTTGACAGAGCATCAGCTAGTGTTACTTTGTCGGCCATTGCATGAGAGTTGATGCCTAAAATAAAAAAACCCATAAAATATTAAACAAAAAATATGAATACTACAATCGGTTTCATTTAAAAGTCCTGAATTTTTTTAGGACGTCGCGTCGCCGGTACGCGCCGGTACCGTTTGCTTCTTTTTGACAAAGTAAGAGGTGGAAAAATAAAGACAGAGCAAAGAAGAGAAGCAGTTATCACTTGAAATCATACCACGCCTCGATCCAGGCGAGACGTAAAGACAAAATCGTGTTAGAAGAGACTCTTGACAAGGTTACATGGTCCCTGCAGACCGCAATGAATGGCAGGCATTCGCGTCAAAACCGCTTCGCTACTCACGCTGAACGCACCGACCGGCGACTCAAGAACCAACGTCTCGTTGCAGACCGGCCCTACGCCAGTAAATGTACAGGAACCCTTGGCGATGCACCTCAAATCTACATGACACAATTTTGTGTACACAAAAATGTACACAAACAACCGTCTTCAGCTGTCTCTGTCTGCTCTGCTGCACCGATATGAGAAACTGCGATGTTATGAGAAACCGAAGGACTGCACGGCGGCAATTCCAAACGCCAGCGCGCACGTGTCACGTAGTGTCGCATGGTGTCTCGTCCTCGCGGCTTCCAACTCCTCCACACAGCAGAATCGAGTTTATCTCGCGATGTCGGGAGGGGAGACGAGGGTAGTTTAGCCCGAAAGCACGTGCAACGAAAGAGCATGAACGATGAAATGCGGGTCGGGAAGGGAGGAGTGGGCATGCTCCAGTCGAATGAGTGGACCCAGGAACCCTCCTCGACCAGCCTGCCATCCACCCGCCCTGCCAAGAATACATTTGAGGGAAATAACCCCAAAAAGATGCCGCATCTTTGCTCTGCTGTTAATTGGGCCCGGTTGGTGCGCCTATTCTTAGGCGACGCGTGTTACGTGTTACCTATGACTCGCAGTGACCAGCCGTGTGCGCGCGAGCCAATCGCACGTGAGTCCTGCGTGCTCGGCACGGCGCGGCACGGCGCGGCTAGGCGGGGCGCGGCACGGCACGCACACTTATATAACCCTTTGGGAATCGTCCCCCCGATAGAGTGCTGTCCTCGTCGCACGGCCTGCCAGAGCCCCGGCACCAGGCCGCGTGCGAGAGAGAGCGCGGCCGCGTCCACACACGGCCGGAGCCCCCGCCTGGCCGGGCCGGATCGAGCCGCTCCAGGCCGCCGGCCCGCGCCTTCCCCGCCGCCTCGCCGGGCCCCCGCGGACCCCGCCGAGGTCCTAACGGAGCGCAGGCTCGCCGAGTAGGATCTCATCCTCAGCGAGTCGCGGCCGAAACCCCGAGACCGTCACCGAGGACCTCCCCGTGGACACGACCCCCGTTGTTTACAAACGCGTCGCCCCCGAGGGGCCCCGCCGCGAAGGGCCCTGCCAGCCCTGCCCCCCGAGGGCCCGCCGGCCTGCCGAGCCGCCACCAATGTGCACCGTTACGTCACGCCTGGATTTCAGTGACCACCGCCGCCACGACCCCGGATCAGACAGTCACCATGGGCTGCCTCAGCAACGTGGTGAGTGCGTCCGGTGGCGAGAAGCAGCATGGTCTTGCTCGAGTTCCATCCCGTCCGGGCGCGTCCGGGTGATGAGCAGAGTTTGTGAGGCATAGGAGCACGCGGGTACGACCGATGTCACGCTGAAAATGAGGAACTAGATGTTTGATTTATTTTTTGAGCGTAGAGGTGCACCTGTAACTTCCTTCATCAAACCGTCGGGTAGAGTCACTCAATGGGCAGTGTAGCCTGGAAGGTAGTCGAGGTACCTCTGGACCTGCCCAGTGTACTGACAGGGGCGCTAGGGATCCCCAGCAACACTTCCGGCCCCGCACCGGAAGACGAGCCGAAGGAGGGGGTGTTGTAAATCGGCGCCAATCCGCGTGTTCATGCATCATTCATCCTCCGAGCTGGTAATGAGATATTTGGCTGAGCCGCGGTGAGAGGCTTGCGTAATGGTGCGGCTCGACACGGCACGGCGCGGCACGGCACGGCACGGCGCCGAGCTTCAAAGCGTGCCCGCGTCGCGTCGAGCGCTTCGCCCAGCTTCGCCCGCGCGGCCTGCGCCAGCCCGCGTGCACGGTAATTTTATATCCTTCCAATCGGATATTGGATTACGGGCCGCGGTCAGGAAACTGTTTGGCAAGAGTGCACTAAAAGAAAACGCCGCGACCCGCGTTGATAAGGAAAGTTCTGCTGATTTTTAAAATCAATCTTTGCAAATTTGCTTATTGAATCATGCACAACTTAGTTCGCAAGCTGTCTGCGAACAGACTGTTTCTTTTCCCGGTCCGGGAAGGCAACCCTTGAGTCGCCTTGCCCTGCGAACTGCGAGCGGCGAACCCGTTTCGGAATGTGGAAGGCGGTGGAAGGCACGGCGGCGGACGGAGCGAAGCAGCGAAGCCTTGAAAAGACAAGACTCGGTGCCGTGTGCCGCGTGTGCCGTCTGTATGGAGAAGCCTTGTGAGGGGAGGGGCATTTGTCTCGAGGCGCCGCCAGGCGCCGCACCGCACCGTCCAGGCAGCACTTTTCTATTTCTTTCGTCTTGTCTCACACTTCGTGTCGCCGCGCCACCAATTTATGTAACCCATTTACATCTTAATCCCCGCAGTCTTTATGTAAGAAAGGTTGACGAGTGTGGATGGTGAGCAGCATCATGTTGTTGATGGTGGACTCCGCTCGCAGGAGGCCCAGCAGCAGACTGATTCCGAGGGTCGTTTCGTCGTTCCGTCTCTCTCGCACCTATACGGAACGCCCCATGAGTGCGAGAGAGACGGACCGACTCTTGAAATCAGTCTGCAGACCCTGGACACCGTCTCCATTCCCTTTGGAGCGGGCCGGCCGTGTGCAGTGACCGCATCGATACTGGATCGGCAGCTCTGGAACGCACAGCTCCGTTTTCAGTCGAAGAAACTTGCGACTCTGTTTCACCAGTGGCCATGCGGCCGTGCGCCCACGCGAACCGACATCTCGTAGGAATTCCCTCCGGTGAAGTTCAAGTTCGCCGGTTGCCTAGCGTGCCTGGCGAGCCTGGCCTGCTGCCAGTGCCGACGGGCAACCGACGGACTAGGATCGGCTGAAGTAACGAAAAATCAATCGTGAAAAAAAGAAATTCCGTCTCCGCGGTCCGGCGTCCTGAGACGACCGAGCTCGCCACTACGACCAGCCAAGTCCAGGTCGGCGAAAGGACTGGTTTGGTTGGGCTTCCAGGCGATATGTCACTGCCCCCTCCTTGCAAGGCTTGCCCCATTTCGGGCCTTTCGGCCGCGCAAAACAGGACGGAGGGCCCGGAGTCAACGACTTTGGGCAGAGGCCTCGCCGGCCGACCGATTCCGAGTCCTGTCTGTCTCTCTCGCACCTAAACGGGCCGCCCCGAGAGAGACAGGGCGACGAAAACGACTGTCCAGTGTGCTGGCTCGCCTTGTCCTTGTACATCCTGGGGCCGTCCGTAAGCCGACTGGTGCCCGAATGGCGCCCTGGATCACGGCGACACTGCACACGGCACACCACTAGACTGCAGACGCCCCTTCCAGTGGCGTAACCAGGGGCGTGCGGCGTGCTGCCGTGCCGGCCTAGGCGTCTAAGCCTGCTGGCCGGGGTGGGCAGGTGGGGCACTGTACTACTGCACTGTACCAGTCCTGGCCGCTGGCCGCGCTGGCCGGGCCGGCCGCCAGGTGGGCCCCTGACCCTGACATTGGGGCCTTGGGGCCGCCTGAACACTTTACGTAAGTGCCTCCTCCGACGGGACGGGTGGCTGCGCTCTCGCGACGCGGGTTTCCTGGAGTCACAACATTTTGGTCGCTTTTTAAACTGGAGCGAGTATGGGCCAATGGCTACGTTAATTCACGATGACGCAACCAAGCGCCGTCCAAAAGTCTTGGCCTCGCAGTGCGGCGGATTGGCCCGAATTTCCCCAAAGCGCTATCGCCTCCTCGAGAAATCCTCCCTGCATGAAATAGCTTCGGCCGCCCCTCCCCTGCAGCCGCCTGCCGCACAGTGGGGCGATTCCGCACTCTGTCTCTCTCGCACTCTCGGGCTGGGTCGCCAAACGGAGAGAGAGGGAAGACACACTGTTCGGAATCGGCTCGCAGCATGCAAACACGGCTCATCGATACCTCGACGGCACCCCTCCCTTCCCCGACACCTCCGCAAATGAGAGAAAAGGAAAGACAAACAGCGCCCGGAAAAACACCGAGGAAAACCGAAACGGCTCAGGGCGGCCCAGAGGGAATGGCGCGCAGCCGCGCACTTGTAAAAATTCCACCGCCAAAAATTATCAGCGCTGCCAACGTCGGGGCGAGAAATTAAAACCATGATAAAAATGAATTATGTTCCTCGTCACAATTTCCAGACGAGCCGTAGTCAGCGTCTGATTTTTCACTCCAAAATTTTCTCTGAAAATTCAAACCGATTTTTAAAAAGAACTTTTGTAGCATTTTGAAGGAATTTTCGGAAGTTCTTTAACTGTGAACACCCACAGCAGTGGTGGAAGGGGTGAAAATTTGAAAATTAGAGCGTGCTGCCTATACTTGGCAGGGTGGTGAGGGTGGAGAGTCCTCAATCTGTCACTCGGAGGGGTTGGCGCCATCGACAGTCGACACTGTCGCAACATCATGTTAATAATTTTTTTTTTTTTTTATTTTTTTAAAGTGTCTTTTACATACGTAGTGCACTATTGGGCGCGTCTACTAAATGAGATAACGAGGGATGTCTTTTCTTTTCAACCTGGCTGGATGCGTCGAATGAGGAGGCGGCGAAGGCACGCCGGCCGGCACGCCGCTCGGACAAACACACAAACAAAAATTACGGATATTGTTATCTGCGACCAGTAACGCGAAGGGCGTGGCGTGTGGAGGCTCCATGGAGGGCGCCGAGGAGGGGCAGGGGCGGGGGAGGCTGTCAGCAAGCTGCCAGGGGGCTGCGGCGCGGGGGCTCTCCTATCGGCCTGGTCAAAGGTGGTCAGTCTCGGGGTGCAGCGAGACGCCACACCGGCAACGGGCGGGTGTGTTCGGTTGGGCGTGCGTGGGGGTGTTCAGACCGAGCAGCGCGCTACGCGTAGCAGCATTGTAGCAGCGTGGTCCAGTGCCAGAGGACGCGCACGCAGCACGCACGTGGAGCCCGCCTCCCTCAACGCCGCCAACATGGACGAGGTACGTGTGCCTACCGCCGCCGCCGCCTGCAGCCGCTTCCAAAGTCGTTGCAAATCTCAACCGTTTGCTATGTAAAAAAGGCGCCCGCGGATTTTCCCCATTTCCATGTTTGGTAGGAATTAACTGGTCCGACGATGGTGCTCTGTGGAAGACGCCAGCTCGATACATAACGGTGTACGTAGGTGTAATTTCCCTTCCATGTCCTTTTCTTCCTCAAGCAACTCTAATGATGCAGGTTAGGTTAGGTTAGGTTGCGCTAGCGGTGACAAATGCAAGCAATGGAAGCTTGGCAGGTGGCAGGTCATGCCACTTGGTCAGGCTGACTGAGGACGGCCAGGGCACGGCAAGGGAGGCGCGTGGACCGGTATCGACCGCCTGCTGTTAATGTGGCGACACTGCGGTGCCACTACACTGCGGTGACGCAACGCGGAGGATCGCTTTTCGCGCCATTTTTCCGCCGGAAGGGGCGGGGGCGTCCTGCCGCCGCGCTGCCGTGCGTGCCGTGCGTGCCGACGGACGGCGTTGTCGGCGCGTCCAAACAACAACAACAACAACAAGTACAAACAAACCGAATCATAATTGGGGGTGTCGTCCAAAATCAGAGCCGCAGGGTTGCCGATCCACCGTCCCCGCTCTCATTTCATTACCGGAAGTCAACAGCAACAGCTTAGCGACAGCTGGCTCCGCCACGGCGCGGTCGCCGGTGGCTCAACAGAGTCCCTTTTCGCAGACCGTTTTTGGCCAGGAGGTTTTGCATTTTTCAATTAGTGCGATTCATTCCGATCGGGTCAGCCGATACGCGCGTATTACGTGTTGGTGAGTGTGTGTGCGAGTGAGAGTCAGTCGAGACAGCTTTATCGCATTTTGGGGAAGATGGCACGGCGCTCTACGGAAGTACACGAGGACGGAATCTGTTGCCATGGGTCGATGATAGCGAAAATTGGAGTGCAAAAAAATAATGGGGGGAACGTTTGGGATTTTCCCCCAAGCACTTACTGGGGCAGCAGCGAGTGCTGAGTGGGTCTTTACAGATCTTTCAGTCGTATTTCGGTTTCGCGTCGCGGCAGAGGGCATTGCCCGCCAGTCACCTCATTCATTCAAATCAATCGCCCATTCCTCCGCCATGGACGAGAAGGTGAGCGGCGGGTGTGCGATTGATTCGCATGAAGGTTAGGTTAGGTTCACGCACTCACCTCCAGGGCCGAACCCCGTTGCAGGCGCAACACTGTTAATTACCTTGCTGTGCTTGCAGGCCATGAGGATCAAGCGCCGCTACACCCGGCGGCAATGGAGCACCGTCATGTTGATCGGGACCGTCAACTTTGCCGGTGCCGTGTGCATCTCCCTGCAGGCTCCCTTCTATCCGCAAGAGGTAAGACTAACACCCACGCCTCCGACTCTCGGTAGCGCAGTGGGCACCGTGGTCGTTTTCGACCTCGCTTGCCGGCGGTTCAAATCTCCCGTCTTTTTTTCGCCGACTTTGTTTACCAACAACACTCGCAGGCGGAGATGAAGGGGTCCACGGCCACGGAGTACGGATTAGTGTTCGGCATCTTCGAGCTCGTCTCCTTCCTAAGCAGCCCCCTCTTCGGAAAATACGTGAGTTTGCCGGTTTTTACACGGCTGCTTTTATTTTGAGTGAGATAAAACAAACGCCGGCGAGTTCCAATATTGTCATCCGGCGGCCGATAAGGCTCTCTGGATCTGTTTATTTGGCTGGGCAAAACTTGGGAGGCTTGAGCCAGACTTGAGCCAAAGGCCCTTCATCATTATTTTTCCTTTTTCCCCGCAGCTCGACACTATCGGAGCCAAGTTCACTCTGACTAGCGGCATCTTCGTGGCCGCTGTGTCATGCATGCTCTTCGGGTGAGTCTGACAGTTTTCGGACACAGTCATCGCCAAACCCAGAGAATGAAAATCACTTTCTCTGCCTCTCTCTGTCCTCCAGTCTGCTGGACCTGGTGATGCAGCACCCCGAGTTCATCGGCTTGTCCTTCGCCGTGCGCATCGTCGAGGCCCTGGGCGCCTCTGCCGCGCTCACCGCCGCCTTTGCCATCATCGCCTCCGAGTTCCCGGACTCCGTCGGCACCACTTTTGTAAGCCTCACCACCCGTTTCGTCGAGTGACTTCTGCTTTCCAAGATCGCGTGTCTGACTGCTTCCCTGTTCTAATCTGTTCCAGGCGACGCTGGAGACGTTCTACGGCGTGGGCTACATCGTGGGGCCCACGATCGGCGGGCTGCTGTTCCAGGCCGGCGGCTACATCCTGCCCTTCATCGTCATGGGCAGCATGCTGGGCGTGGTGGGCGTGGTGACGTGCGTGGTGCTTCCCGCCAGCAACCAGCCCAAGAAGCCGCAAGGTGCGTCCCGACCTTCCAACGTGGATTTGCCACAAAGACCGGGCCCGGCGGCCACAACTCTAGACGCGTTTTGAGCTCTAGAGTCCCATAAACAGGACTCAAACGAACAATGTGAACTTTGTGTCCGCAGCGAGCCTGCTGAAGATGCTGGCCGTCCCGGGGGTGCTGCTGGACTCGCTCGTCACCACCGCCACGGCCATGAGCATGGGCTTCTACTCCGCCACCCTAGAGCCGCACCTCAGACAGTTCGACCTGTCCCCCGCGCTGGTGGGGGTCATGTTCATCATCAGCGGCGGCATCTACGCCGTGTTCGCGCCGCTCGTGGGCCGCATCATCGACAGGTGCTGCTACGCCAAGCGCGTCGTGCTGCTGGGCGGCCTGTTCGTCATCGTGGGCGTCGCGCTGGTGGGGCCGGCCGACTTCATGCCCGTCGAAACGTAAGCCGTGCTTCTGGTTGAAAGGGTGAAGTGAAAAGGCGTTCTGGAAGAGAGTTAGTCCCCCCACTGCCCGCAGGTCACTGTGGCTGTGCGTGCTGGGGCTCATCATCCACGGCCTGGGGCTGTCCTGCCTCATGGTGCCCACCTTCTCCGACGCCATCAGCTCCGCGGTGTAAGTCCGCCGCGTGGATACCCCGTGCCACGCGGGCCAGAAGACCGGCGCGGGCGGCCAAAACTCCAGTCGCTAAACAGAACTCAAACAGAGCGTGTGACCCCACCAATGGATTCCTCGTTCGGAGAGCAATCCATAGGTGTGGTCACACGTTTGGTTCGGATCCCATTTAGCGACTCCGGAGCTCAAAACGCGACCGGGATTTTGTCCGCCTGTGCCGGTCTTCTGGCCCACTGTACGTGCCGCGGCTCGCGCTGCGTCGTGGAGTATTTCCAACCCCCGTCGTGTTGCAGGTGCGCGGGCTTCCCCGACGACCTGACGACGTACGGCGTGGTGTCCGGGCTGTGGGCGGCGTCCTTCGCGCTGGGGGCCTTCGTGGGGCCGTCCGTGGCCGGCGTGCTCTTCGACACGGTGGGCTTCCGGAAGTCCACCTACTTCATCATCGCCGTGCACGTCCTCGTCGTAAGTAACGTGTTCCTTCCCGTCGCTCTGTCTCTCTCGCACCTACAACGCTCCATGAGCGCGAGGGAGACAGAGCGGCAAAAACGACTCGCGGAATCAGCCTGCTGACCTGCCTTGTCCGTCTAGGTGGTGGGCACGGCGCTGTTCTTGTGCTGCGAGAGGAGACCGCCGGCCAGGAAGCCGGGCAAGCCCAAGACCAACATGAACGGGCTGCTGCGACTGGAGGAGTCCAACGCGTCCAGCCTCAACCTCATCGCCAACTGGAGCCAGGACCACCGCAACCAGTCCTTCCCCGGCGTGACGCGCAACAAGGCCGGCAACGACTACGGCAGCATCGGCTCCACCCTGTCCGTCATCGAGGTGGCCGCGTAGCGCCGCGTAGCGCCGCGCAGCGCTGGAGATACTCCGCGACTCCAGGACGGTTGCAGATACTCCGCGCGCCGAGGAGTTTTACACAGCCGCGCGGCCGCACTGCCGATACACCCTGATTTTCCGAGCATAGCCTCCCCAGCAGGGGGTATCGACGCGCCGCACCGGAATACTCCGAGGCATTCGGGAGGACCTTTCCAGCGGGGAGTATCCACGACAGTGTCCGGCGAGATACGGCTGCCCTCGGCCGCGTCCGACACTCGACACATACTCGACTTAAAGGGCTGTGATATATTTTTAGTGGTAGTTCTCGAAGAGCCATTCATTTTCGTTTTAATTAATTTATGATCTCTTTTATGGAGGTTATCCACACGAATGAACAGTAACAATAATTCAAGCCAAGAGGGGATCAAGAAACAAGTGTAACAGTATTGCGGAGTCGGCAGGGAGCAGCCCCTCGCCCTGCCGTGCCTGGCCGTGCCTCGTTGCCGCCCGGTGGGTGGGCACCCCAACGCACACAACTGCAGCTCGCTGGGTTGCCTACCGCCAGGACTATTGCTGCCTGGCCGATCGTGCCAGTACCCCGTTTTCGGTGAAGTGCACAATGTAACAACGTCTGTTTGACACAAATGCACCACGAATCCTTACCAATTCGAGTGCATGATAAGTTATTTTAGAGTCTGTTGGTGGGATGTCGCTAATATAGAACCGCGTGTGATACAATTTCTCCTGTGCCATTCTGTCCTGAAGGAGCTGCTGCCTCAGTTCCTTTTTCGACGTCCTTTACGTGCCATGAATTTCTAGACTAGGGTTGTGTCTTGAGTAGAGTGTAGTTTGGCGCCGGGAGCGAGTACCGGACTTGTCTGCGAACACGCGCCGCGCCTTTGAGACCATGTGATACTTGGGGGACACTAGTCATATGTGTCTGCCGCGCAGGCACATTACTCAGGGGACGAGATTTAGTGGAAACTGAAAATGATTTTTCATGTCGAACATTATACTAGTAAACACCAACACTGCCGTTTTTAACTAAAAACTAGCCGTGTCGGCGTTGAGTTAAAATATTTCTCACCGTGTGGTTAGCAACTAAACTGCTGAAAGTTAGATTTTTAAAAAAATCGACATTTGAGACATTTTATCTCTAAATTTAATGCTGTAAATTTTTTGTACATAAAATGGCCGTAAAATGTGTTTTCTGTTTTTAAATTATGAGACGGGTACGTTTCGAAAATTGTAAAGTATATATAATTGTGTCATGTGAACGAAATTAAAATAAATTTTGATTGTTTTATATCGTAACTGACTTCTATTTTCTTGCACTCCTCCTCTGACAGAACTATAAGACAGTGCAGGGCCACTTTCAAACTAAGCACTCGGTACGCACACGAGAAAAAGAATGAATAAATATTTGATAATTACTGATAATTATGATACATAATTAGAACACTCTCTTTCGGTACACCGTTTCAAAGAAACGAAGGGAAGCATCACTTCCCAAAAGTTTCGTTTAGTAGATCCAGATTGAATGTTCATTCAAAATGGCAAAGTTTGAACACTCTGTGTTCCAGGCGCCCGGTAGCGCTGCATCCAACACACCGCAGTGAGTTAGGTTGCCTATCCTGCGGTCCGCGGGCGCCGTGCTGACCGCTCCACTGCTTGCTGTGCGCTCCGCGGCGGTGCACTCGCAAATCATGGTGTGCCGAGGCGTGCCCCTGGGCGTGCTGCTGCGAGGCGTACTGTGCCACTTGTGCCAGCGTCCAGAGGGGAGGGAGGGAGAGAGAGAGAGAGAGAGAGAGAGAGAGAGAGAGAGAGAGAGAGAGAGAGAGAGAGCACGATAGGCAGAAAGAGGGCCTTGTTGGGGCAAGACAGACAGGCAGACAGCCAGGCGCAGACAGGCTGAGGGTAAACTCAGCCATTGTTTGAGTTGGTTCAAAGGGCGCGCTGCCTCGCCGCCACTGGCCGGCCGGAGCGCGCGAGTGAGACAGAGTGCACCGGGAAGACTCTGGAAATCTCAAGAAAAGAAGAGAGAGGAGAAAGTCAGGCCAAACCACGATTTCTACACGTTTGTAACCGTTTCGACAAACTTTGCTGCAATGCCGCTCCCAAACTAAGGCGGTTAATCACACTCCGCAACAAAGGTGTTCTAAAGGAAGGCCCAAAGAGTACCCACCCGTTGAGGGAGAACGATTAGCCGCCTTAGATTAGATGCAGTGGCTGCCTAAAGTCAGGCCAAACCACGATTTCTACACATTTGTAACCGTTTCGACAAACTTTGCTGCAATGCCGCTCCCAAACTAAGGCGGCTAATCACACTCCGTAACAAAGGTGTTCTAAAGGAAGGCCCAAAGAGTACCCAGTCGTTGAGGGAGAACGATTAGCCGCCTTAGATTAGATGCAGTGGCTGCCTAAAGTCAGGCCAAACCACGATTTCTACACATTTGTAACCGTTTCGACAAACTTTGCTGCAATGCCGCTCCCAAACTAAGGCGGCTAATCACACTCCGTAACAAGGGTGTTCTAAAGGAAGGCCCAAAGAGTACCCAGTCGTTGAGGGAGAACGATTAGCTGCCTTAGATTAGATGCAGTGGCTGCCTAAAGTCAGGCCAAACGATGATTTCTACCCGACATTTGCTACCGTTTCGACAAACTTTGCTGCAATGCCGCTCCCGAACTAAGGCGGCTGATCGCACTCCGTTGACTCGTCGAAAGCCCTTCCCCCCCCCCCCCCCCCCCCCAGCCGGCGGGTCATGGCGCCGAAGGCATTGGCCGCTGCCTCGCGGCTTCGCGCGGCTTCGCTGCTGAAAGAGGTTCTCCCCGCCTTGCAAAAACGCTGGGGGGCGATAGTAGAGACCAGACGGACGGACGGAGGCTGCAACAGTGTCTCTATTTGTACAGTGGAGCGCACCGCACACTTCTGGAATGTCGGAGAAACCAACACGTCGCCGTGACGTTGGCTAATCGCATTGAAGTGCGAACTTCGGAACACTTTATGAACATTTTTTTTTAAATCACGTAAAAAGAAACAGGGAAAAACGAAAGTTGGGCAAGTGCGCGGCATGGCCAGGCGTGGCCGGCCGTTTCTGCTCGGACTGTACTCTTCCGCGGGACCCGGCGTGATCCGGCGGCGTGGTGGGTCTAATTTCGTGATGACATCGTCCGGCGGCGTTGCAGTAGCCCCCCGAAACTTGGGCGATAAAACAGAGCGAAAGAACGATAAGCCGATTGGCGCTGCGCAGAACCGAGACGCAGCGGCGCGTCGATAAAAGGAAGCTCGATTCGATAGATCGATAGCGGAAAGGGAGGGAAAGCGACAAATTGAAGCCGCGCTGTCAAAACCTCTGTCTGCTCTTCCAGTACATTCTCATCGAAATCCTTCCTTATCAGCTGTTCGTCCGTCCGTCCGCGATGCCGGCGATACCGCGTTCGCGCCTTATCGTCGCCGCCTAAAAGCGGGGTATTTTTAGCGACGTCGGTGGGTCTAGGACGAAGGGCTGCCTCGCGTTGACGTAATGCTGCGGCGGTCGTTGCTTCTCATTTGTTTTTTTGCAGTGTGGCGTCAGGACGGCCGCCACGCCGATTCAGTTAATTTCGTGAAAAGTGTCCGGAGTTACTCTTCGGTGCGTTGGGTCTTGGGTCGCACCCTCGCCGACTGCAGGCGCTGCGGCGCGGAGCCACGCAGAGCGCGCCTACAGTGCCCCGTGAGGACGAAGCGGAAAATGGTCTTCGAACAGCGACTTTGTATCTCCTGCACTGCCCAAAAAGATGACCGTGCTGATTGTGGACCGTAAATTTTCGAAGCTGCCAATGCCGCACTTGATTTTTTTCCCCGACGCGTCGTCACGATAGCACAATCAACAGTTTCTGGCCGAGTGCGTGTGTTGGTGGGTCTGGGTTTGAATTTGGCGCCCCCTGCTTATCGCCACCGTTTTAACACAGCTGCTGGATCCCCGAGACGAACAACAAGTGCACGTCCGGCGCGCGTGCTGAGCGATGCCGCACGGTGGGCAAGAAGACCGGTGGAGGAGGCGACCAACATTCAAGACGCGTTTTGAGCCCCAGAGTCGCTAAATGGGACTCGAACCGAACGTGTGACCCCACCAATGGATTCCTCGTTCGGAGGGCAATCCATTGGTGGGGTCACACGTTCGCTTCGAGTCCTATTTGGTGACTCTGGGGCTCAAAAACGCCTCCACCGGTCTTCTGGTCCACTGTGTGCCGTTTCGCACGGAGCGACTCGCTTGCTGCAGCGCGCTGGCCGACGTGATGACCGACCAGGCGTCATAGGTCCACACTTCCGGCCAAGCACTTCCGGTAGTTGGAGTCCGCGTCGCGCGTGAGGGGTTCGCCTGGACCGGCAGCAGCCTACCCCCACCCCCCTCCCCACCCCCCACCCCGACGCCCTGCCACCGTCACGCTCCAAACATTCAGGCGAGACGTAAGTTTGCTTATTTGCGTGGCTCCACTAATCTTGGCCACGGCGAGCCATCCCGGGCCGGCGACAAAATGTGTGCATTCGTCGTGACTGGGCGCGGCGCACTGTGCGCTACTGTTGCTGCACGTGCCTCCCTGCACGATCGCAGTGACATGAGAAATCAATCGCGCTCACACCACAACCTTGTTCTTTTTCAATATTTTCGAATTCTTTCTATTTTTGGGCGTGTAGTGCAAGGGCGATTTCGCGGGGCGGGAAGCTTGGTGACGCCGCGCTGCACAGCCTGCACAGCGCGCCACAACTGGGCTATCACTCGAGTCATCACTCGTTTTATTAGTACCAGCCAACGGGCCTGCAGCCTGCAAGCCCCGCCGCCCCGCCAGCGGAGACATCGGAGTAAAGTCCACCGCCGCGAGCCGGCCTGCCTCTGTCTCTCTCGCACCGCCACGGGACGCCCTAGGAGTGCGACAGAGACAGAGCGACGAGAGCACCGTCCGGGATCGACCTGCTCCGCCAACTAATACGCACTTCTGGCCAGCAGGATGGTCCCGCAGCGCTTCGCCGCTGTCTCTCCCGCACCCTAGCGGGGGAACCATGAGGTCTCGCTTAGCGACTCTGGAGCTCAAATCGTGTCGAGATTTTTGTCCGCCTCCACCGGCCCTCTGGCCCACTGTGCGTTGGTGGCGGGAAACGGCGGGAGCCTCAGGGAGCCTCCGCCAAAATGGTTCGCATCCGGCGAAGCGCCGCCAGCCAGGCTGCCAGCCCGGGCGGCCGGCCGGCGCACGCGTCGGCGGCGGGGCACTGCGGGGTTGCTGGCCGCGGCCAGGCCGGCCGGGCCGCCAGCTCGTCGGCTTGGTCGGCTCCGTTGACGGCGGCCTGCGGCCCTGCGGCCTGCCCGGGCTGGCCGGGTGGCGGGGCTGGCGTCGGCGGGCCGCTCGGGTCGTGGCGGGCAGGGCGGACAGTGGATAGCAGACGACGCGGAGCACGGAGTGGCTCGGAGTGGCAAGGAGTGCGCGCAGCAGACGACGCAGCGGCGTGACGCGTCTGGACCAAACGGCAGCCCGGCCGGCCCGCCAAGCCAAGCCCAGCCCAGCCCGGGCCGCAGTGCGTCCGCAGTGACCCGCAGGGCGCCGCAGACCACGGACGAACGCGGAAAATGCTCTGAGCGGACGGCGTGTCGCACCGAGGCCAAGCACCCCGTCAGCGTCGACAGACTCGACAGACCAGCCGAGGAAGCCTCCCAACAGTGTGGTGGCCGTGTAGTTCGGCAAGATGGTCAAGCTGCCGCAGTTCACCAAGACCCAGTGGCTGACGCTCATCGTGTTCAGCATTGCGGACTTCTGCAATGCCATCTGCGTCTCCCTGCAGGCGCCGTTCTATCCGCAGGAGGTGAGTGTTTTTCAGGTGGCCTGGAGAGATTCAATTTTGCGCCCATGGAAAATCTTCTGTCACGCGAAAAAAAAAAACAAAAACAAAAAACAATAGCATCCCAAGTCTTTTTTCTGCTTCTGTGAAAAACTCTTATGTTTGTCTATCGCCACAATTTTTCACAAAATTTAAAACAAACACATTCGATTCTTGAAAATACCGATTCAACATCCTCTATTTTTACTCTTCTTGAAAAACAATGTATATATTTTTGCATATTTTTTTTTGCGAGTTGCCTGGCTTGTCACTGCTTTTCACTTGCGACTCCATTGACCCCAGAAGGCGGTCTGAGGTGTGGGGAGTCACTGGCTTTGCGCCGCGTCCCAACAACAGAGCCGCGACCGCCGCGGACAGAACGGCTGCCGATAACCTTCCGAGACGATAAACAAATTTTTTTTCTCGTTTTCCCTCCGTACATAACGGTGTGATACTATTACTGCGTCGTCTCAATTCATGGGCCGAGCGATAGCCGGCGGCCGGCGGCTCTACGCGCGGGGTCTCGCACACTCTCAACCCCACCCGTCTAGTTTTCGTCCGTGCGCGGAGCTGGAGCTCAAAATGCTAATCGACACGAGATAAACAGTGAGGGTAAATCCGCAATCCGACAGGCGGATTCGGAGCGTGTTTGTCTCGGTGCAGCGAAGGGTCGGGGAAGCATGGGGGACGCGTCCAAGGGAATTCCCTGGTCCTTGTTTGCGTCGCCGCGCCCCACGGGCCCCAAGGGCTCGGGGACGCCGCGACTGCAGGCCGTTCCCGAAATGCATGCCATTGATGGCCCAAGTCGTGCAAAGTCTGCACTCATTTTGAGCGGTGAGGAAAATGACGTAGAATTTCTAAATTCCTCACAAAAAATTCGAGTACCTGGAGGTTAATTTGGAAGGGAGTATTCCTAGGGCAGGCTCAACCTTTGACGGAATCCAGGGGGTGGGGGTGGGCTCGGCCAGGCTCGGCTCGGCCCGGGGGCGGGTCGCCTGGAGCCGCCTTCTGGTTTGTTTGAGTATTACGTGTTATCTGTCTGGCACAACTCGGTGATAAGGCTGGAGAGGAACCTCGAACCCGAGTGCACACCAAGCGATAGTCGGCCCCGCCACGCCCCGCCACGCCCCGCCACGCCCCGCCACGCCCCACCACGCCCCACCACGCCCCGCCGCGCCCCGCCGCGGAGGCGTGTTCCCGTCGCCGCACCCCATTGGCTGTGCGTGGTGGAGAAGCCGGCTGCTCGTTGGTCGACGCGTGAGCGGGGGAAGTCCGGGGGAGGGGGGTCCATGTGTTATGCTGTGTTTTGCTCGCCCAGAGAAATCGAGAATTGCAGCAAGACTGCGCCGTCGGCGAGTGCAGACACAGAGAATCGTGCCGCCGATGCCCCTGTTTTACGACTGTTGTCACATTCACATCCACTTTGTGGCGCGAATCGCGTGGCGCCAGCGCGGCGCGGCACCCCGCCATGCCTGGCCGTGCCCGCCGTGCCCGTGCTCCACTTGTGCGAGGCCACGGCGCGGTTACCCCGAGTCTTGGCCTCCCGGCCGGTCGACGGGCAGCGCGGGCAGCGCGTAGCGGACAAGCCCGGGATCGATACCCGGCAGGGGCGGCTCGTTTTTCACCGGACTGTCGAGACGCCGCGAACAGGCCTGCCCACTCCGGGCGGTCTGGAAAATTAGCGTAATGCAATTGAAGCGGCCCCGCGTCGCCTCGCGTGCTGGCATGGATTTCCAGTGCCGGGGAGTGCCACTTGCCGGTCTTAAAAAAAAAGTAACACGCGACGTTTCGACTTTTCAAAATCGGGCCAGTCGGGCGCTCTAGACCGAGTGGATGGTTTTTGTCACATAGTGTCTCACGAAATCCGGGCTTGCCAACCCAACTCCAAAACGTGACCGGGGACGTGATGGGTAAAAAGGGCGGTCCTTTTCAAATGTCCTCGCAATTACTGTCTCAGCACAGGTCGTCCCTTCTAGCCCCCTCTCTGTGCAGCGCCAGTGACCGGCCTGCCGAGCCGTTTGTCGCTCTGTCTCTCTCGCACCCTTACGGAGAGCCCCACGAGTGCGACGGAGACAGAGCGACGACTGCCGCGGCTGACTTTGCCTGCTTCCTCCTCCAGGCCGAGAAGAAGGGCGCCACGGCGACGGAGTACGGCCTGGTCTTCGGCGTCTTCGAGCTGGTCGTCTTCATCATCAGCCCCATCTACGGACAACATGTGAGTATCCGGGGTGCGTTACGAAAGCGGGGACTTTTTAGCGTGACGTCGTTTGCTCGCTCTAGTCCCGGGAAGGGGCGAAAAAAGGGAAGGGGGAGGGAACTCCCATTTCGCTGAACCGGGCGATGTAACAACGATCGTCGTTTTTTTTTTTCAGCTCAATAGGATAGGACCCAAATTCCTATTCAATGGCGGCATCTTCACAACAGGCGTCTGCGCCATATTGTTCGGGTGAGTACGGCGTTTAAAAATTCAAGTTGCAACGCGAGGCGCTTTCGGCGACGCAGACGCCTGTATTTGGGTGTTTCCCTTCGGCAGCATGCTGGACAAGGTCAACGGCCACTACCCCTTCATCGTGCTGTCCTTCCTCATCCGCATCATCGAGGCCATGGGCAACGCCGCCTTCCTCACGGCCTCGTTCGCCATCATCGCCAAGGAGTTCCCCGACAACGTCGCCACCACCTTCGTGAGTAGGAACCTCGGCCGCAGCAGGCGGCCAAAACTCTAGACGCGTTTTGAGCTCCAGAGTCGCTAAACAGGACCCGAACCGAGCGTGTGACCCCACCAATGGATTCCTCGTTCGGAGGGCAATCCATTGGTGGGGTCACACGTTCGGTTCGAGTCCCATTTAGAGACTCTGGAGCTCAAAACGCGTCCGGGATTTTGACCACCTCCACCGGTCTTCTGGCCCACTGTGCGGCGCGCGCTTGTCGAGAGCGCCTGTCAGGTAGGCAATGCAACGCACCCGTGTACCACGGCGGCCTACCTGCCAGGCGCTCAGCTCGGCCGCGACCGCCACTACAGTGTCCGTCCAGCCCCAGGGCTCCGCGGTTGACCGTGCCGTCTGCTTCCTCCAGGCGTCCCTGGAGACTTTCTTCGGGCTGGGCCTGATCGTGGGCCCCACGGTCGGCGGCGCGCTGTACCAGGTCGGCGGCTACACCACGCCGTTCGTGGTGCTGGGCTCGGCGCTGTTCCTCTCCGCCATCATGACCGCCTTCGTCCTGCCGGACCACGGCCAGCACGAGAGCGAGCCCACGCAAGGAGGTGCGCGTCGATTTAGTTTTTGTTTGTTCCGTGTGTTGTTGTTTGTGGTGTTGTTGCTGACGCGCACTTCCGTCCTCAGCCAGCCTCTGGCAGGTGCTCAAGATCCCCGGCGTGCTGCTCGCCGCCGCCTCCATCATCGTCACCTCCATGAGCATCGGCTTCTTGTCCGCCACGCTCGAGCCTCACCTCAGAAGCGTACGTTCCTCCTCTATTTAAGTAAAACCGTGAAGTTTGGTGGTTGCAAATGACCGAGCGCTTCTGTCTGCAGTTCAAGCTGTCCCCCGTGGTGCTGGGCCTCATGTTCGTCATCAACGGCGGCACGTACGCGCTCACGGCGCCGTGCTGGGGCATGCTGTGCGACCGCGCCATGGTGCCCAAGGTGGCCACCATCTGCGGCTGCCTGCTCATCATCGTGGGCTTCTCGCTCGTCGGCCCGGCGCCCTTCATCCCGTCGGACACGTAAGCCGGTTACAAAAAATACTTCCTTTGACCGAGAGTCGAACCGAGGACTGAGGGCTCTGTTTCCGCAGTGTGCTGTCGCTGAGCATCGTCGGGCTGGTGCTGCACGGCCTGGGCATCGCGGCGCAGCTCGTCGCCTCCTTCACGGACGCCCTCAGGACGTCCATGTAGGTCTCACAGTGTGTGCGTCTGGACGGCGAAACCGAACGACAAACTGACCCATTCTGATTGTTTCCCTGCCAGTGCTCACGGCTTCCCCAACAACCTGGAGACCTACGGGCTCATCTCCGGGCTGTGGACCTCGACGTTCGCGCTGGGCGCCTTCATCGGGCCGTCCGTCGGCGGCATCCTCTACGACTGCGTGGGCTTCCGCGCGGGCTCCATGTTCGTCGTGGGCCTCAACGCCCTCGTGGTGAGTACCGTTGGGTCAGTGGTGAGCGGCCTCGTCGGTGGAGCCTGACGTCGCTGGTTCAAACCCCAGCCGACGCGAGTCGTTTTCCTCGCCTGTAACTTCGGCGATAAGTCCTCCAATTTGCCAGGTACCTTGACCGCGTCGCTCCGCCGCCCCGCCGTGCAGTGCGTGTCGGAGGCGATAGCGCTGGGGGCTCCTTGCTGCGATTGGAAACTTCCAACGGCCGGACCACGCCGGGGCCGCGCGCCGCCCGGCGCCGCCCCTCGGGGTTCGGGGGCCCCTACGCTGTGTCGCGTCCGTGGCCCCGGCAGCCCCGGCAGCCCCGGCCCACCGCGCGTCTGGCGCGTCGTTGCCATTGGCAACACGGAGCGTCGTCTGCTGTGTCTGTCTCTCTCGCACCCCTGCGCGTCGCGCCGTGAGTGCGAGAGAGACGAGAGTACTGCTCGCAAGCAGCCCGCTGCGCTGCTTGCCCTTTCGTCTGCGATAGCGCGGCCACCGCGGCCACGCAGCGGCCGCCTCGGCACGGCAGACGGCACCCCCGCGGCGCGGCGCGTCTCTCCACACGGAGGAGTTTTTCCGACGGGATGACCGGAGGCGGCCTCATTTGCGCCATGCACTAGCCTCAGTTCAGTTTTCCGCTGCTACAATCGTCGTTGACGCCCCCCTCCTCTCTTTCGGCGGACGGGTGGCGGAGCGGCGTGGACAAACCCAGACTGCTGCCGCGCACTGCTGCGTAGTCCACGAATTCGTCGAGAGCATGCCGGCGACGGCGGCCCGGCCGTCTGCGTTGATAAACTTTGCGCCTTTTGGTCAAAAGTCCACTGCCGCGCCGCCGCTGTACAGAACGATCCCAATCAAGATAGCGCGGAGGCGGCAGTGCGGCCGTTAAGGGAAGGTGTTTGCCCCGGGACCGTCCCCGAGCCGCGCGCCGCGCGCCGTGCCTGGCGGACGCTGCTTGCACCGATTTGGGGAACCAGCCGCCCCCTTCCACTCCCCATAAGACCAGGGCAGCCCACAGTGGAGCAGCAGACCGTCGCAGGCGGCCAAAACTCTGGACGCGTTTTGAGCTCCAGAGTCACTAAACAGGACTTCGAACCGAACGTGTGACCCCACCAATGGATTCCTCGTTCGAAGAGCAATCCATTGGTGGGGTCACACGTTCGATTCGAGTCCCATTTAGCGACTCTGGAGCTCAAAACGCGTCCGGGATTTTCACCGTCTCCACCGGTCTTCCGGCCCACTGTACGGCCTCTAGTTTTAAAGCCTCAGATTTGTTGCCACTGTTTACTTAATTCGTGTCTGTTTCTTTCAGTGCGTGATGGTGATCGTCTTCCTGCTGCTGGTGCGGCGCCGGTCGCAGTACAAAGAGGTGCCCAGCGAGGAGGACCTCAAGAACCTGTCGTACACGCTGTCCTCGGACCACAGCCCGCCCTCCAACGGCTACCTGGGCAACGGCTCGGTGGCGTCCAACGGGCACGCCAACCCCTGCGCCATCGAGCGGCCGCCGGGCATGAACGGCATCATCGCCACCAACTCGTACAAGAACAGGCACGGCACCTGGCACCGCAAGGAGGCGGGCGCCGTGCTCATCGGGCCCTACAGCACCAGCTACGGCAGCCTGGAGTCACGCGGCTTCCTGTCCAGCGTCAAGTAGGCCGCGGCCCAGGACCCAGCGCCCCGCGTCCCGCGCCCCGCCCCCAGGACCCAGCGCCCCCCCGCACCGCCACGGCGCGGCCACCGGCACCCCTATCCCCAAGGCCACCGAGGAACTTAAACAAACTGCTGCGGGAAATTCCGTCGAATGGCTCCGAATTCCCTCCGCGTTTCGAAAGGATTCTTAGCAGTGTTTTAAATTTTGAGGAAAATTCTAGGGTTGTCGTCAAACTGTCGAGAAGGTTCAAGTTTTTCGTTGAAAGTCGAATTTCCGGCGAGTTTCTCGGAGTCGTGTCCAATGTGAGGGATGGCTGTCGACGGTACAGCACTTGGCGTGTTCCATCGCTGCCGTCCGTGCGCCGTCGCCGACTGGCCGCTGGTTGGCGCGCCTAGCCTCGCGCCGGGCCGACCCACAGTGGGCCAGAAGACCGGTGGAGGCGGTCGAAACCCCCGACGCGTTTTGTGCTCCAGAGTAGCTAAATGGGACTCGAACCGAACGTGTGACCCCACCAATGGATTGCTCTCCGAACGAGGAGTCCATTGGTGGGGCCAAACGCTCGGTTCGAGTTCGGTTCGACTCTGGAGCCAAAACGCGTCTCGAGTTTCGGCCGCCTGCTCCGGTCTTCTGGGCCACTGTGGGGCCACGCGGTGCGGACGGCCGGTCGACTGAACCATGTGATAGCCCGGTCGAGTTCAGGCGTGAGCTTCCACTCGTCACCTAGAATCTCAGTTAAGCGTTGTAAATATGTAAAGAGACCTAGCGAATACGTGCCCCCGAGACAGGGTCAGAGGAAATTATCTAGTCCTTTCCTTCTGCTGAAGCTCGCTCTAGCCTACGTCTAGTGCGGGGCCACTGCAGAAAGAGTAAGTTGGTTTCCGACCAGATATCTAGTTTTACAGCAACCTCCAAGACCGCCAAGTGGTTTGTACTGCCAATTATTTTTGCCTGTTTACTTTTCTGAGTCTGAAATGGGTGTGAACCGCCATGATTTTGTAAGCCAGTTATAATTACTTCGTTAGAAATAATCGCAGAAAGGTGTGAGTTAAGAAAATTATAAATCAAGTAAGATAGAGTGTGAAAAGGCGTGAGAAAGACAGGACTACTTTTCATTGAGTTGTAGAGTTTAGAATAATTTTGCAACATTCCTATCTGTCAAAGAGACGATGTGTTTCCGATTTAGTCACTGTTGTATATTCGATTTATTATTTTAAAAATAATGTATTTAGCGATGGCAAAATTGATTTGCGGGTCAAACAGGATTATTAAGGTTTCTGTTGATACCTCTGTCAGTGTTAATGTTGTAAATATGTACTTATACTATCATTGTTTTGTTTATTATAATTTTTAAGAGATGAGTGTATTTATGTGGGATTGAGCGTGAGCAAGAGAGTGAATGCGTGCGTGAATGTGCGAAATGTAAAAGAAAACATTAAGCCAACCTTTGTATTTTATGTAAATGTAATTTTATAAAAGGCTTCAATAAAAAGTGAAACAGACTGGTTAGTGGTTGATTTCACGTCCCTTTTCATTCAGATCGACTCAAAGACATCAGAGACCTGTAGAATGGCGCGTGATGCCACCTTGAGCTGCCAGTCGGATTAATTTGAGCCCTGTCGAAATTTATCAGAGTAGCAGAAACGACCTAGTTGGTGTTTCCGTTTGTTTTCTACCCCTTTTAAAGTTATCAGCGCGTCCGGTCCGGTCGCCTTGCCTTCCTCATCCTTATCGCTGCTCGCTGCGTCTATTTCGGTCGTCGGGCCGCGGGGCGGCGCTACAAATTGGTGGATCGATTGACACATGCGTACGTCTAGAGACTATCTCTGTCTCTCTCAAGGCTAGGGCCATCCATCCGGAGGCTGCAGCGCACAGTGGGCCAGAAGACCGGTGGAGGCGGCCGAAGCCCCGGACGCGTTTCGAGCTCCAGAGTCGCTAAATGGGACTCGAACCGAACGTGTGACCCCACCAATGGATTGCTCTCCGAACGAGGAATCCATTGGTGGGGTCACACGTTCGGTTCGAGTCCTGTTCCACGCGAGGCTTCCTACCCTAGGCCGTGTTAGGGCGGCCAGGGCGAAGGGCCCCAAGGGCGCAGAGTGTGCCGCGGTGACGTCACAGCCAAGACAATAAATCGCGGCCCTTGAAGGGTTTCCGGGAACGCCTGTCCCGGCCGTCCGGCAGTTGGAGCGCGCGCCGCCTCGGTGTAGGGCGACAGGGCTGGACGACAGGGCCGCAGCACTCACGGCACCGCGGCCACCAAGGCCTTGAACGTGTACCGTCGTCACGGTGGTCACGTTGGCCACCACCTCCTGCGGCAGGGGCAGCGACGGACCGAGGTATCTCAGCAGCAGCTGGTCACAAAGGACTACAGGTTCCTGGAAATATCCCGGATGAACGAGAGCAGACAGAAACACAGTTATCAATTATTTTGCGCACCTTTGGTCAGATCCAGACAACGGTTTGCAGTGTAGGGTTTCTTAAGGTAGATTGGACGAGGGGGTGAGAGTGTGTGTGCCGTGGTGTGTGCCTTAGCATGTCCGCCCCCGGAAAGATCAATTTTCGTCCACATTAGCTGCCATTACTGTTCTCTGTTTACGTCACCGTGAGTGATCTACTGGCACGCCGGCGATTAGTCAAAGGGCCACCTCACGTCCCCCATTGTACCGCCAAACAGCAAAAAATCAACAAAAAATGAAGCAAGAAACCATCACAACAACAACAAACCCGCGCGTTGCGGCAGGTAAGGGCACTTCGAAAAGTGACTTCATGACTGGGGCACATTGGATCACGGAGCCAATCACAGAGAGTGAGTTGAACCCGGTTTAACCCGTCCGCGTATTTTCCTTGTGCTAACACGCGACACCGTCGCGCCATTGGGGCCGTTGGACATGTCCACGTCCTGCTTCAGCACCACCAACAACGCAAATTGGAATGCTCCGTTTTAATTATTTTCGTGATTGCTTCTTATGGCGAAAGCGCCTCTTGTTCCCCGGCCTGAAAAGCACTGACGAGTTTTGAGCTGTGTGTCTTCGGATCCCGGGGTCGTGGAGCAACACCCTTTTCCCTTCAGGTGTTGCTGGGGGTAGATGCCCCCCTCCCCTGGCATCCGGCGAACCAGCCCCGCCCCTGGCGGGTCCCCTGCGGGTCCCCTGGCGGGGGTCATGGAGATCGCATCGCCCATTGACAAAACAATCCGGCGACACCTCTCTGTCGCACTCGTTAAAACCCCATTTGGGAGGGAGGGAGAGGGGGGCCCGCGGGGGGGGGGAGGCAAAAACAAAAAGCACAGATTGGACGGGGAAACGACACGAAACGAAACGGCATAGTAGTGCGTACTATGCTCCATTGAGGGCGGAGTGTTTTCGTTTGCGGCAGGTTGTGGAAAGGGCAGGCGAGGCGGGGCGGGGCTGCTCGCGAGGTGTGACAATCCAGCGGGCCCGACTAAAGGGCGCTGCTTCGCGTGCCGCCGTTCTCGTGTCGATTTTAATTTTGTTTACGGTGCGGGTACGATTCGTGCCGCGTGCAGCGACCCGATTCCAGAGTGTCGCGTACCGTTGGTCTCTGTCGGGGTGTCCTGTACAAACGTGTGCGAGAGAGACAGAGCAACGGAATCCCTCGCAGCGAGCCTGGCTGCGGGGTGGGGGCTCCAAAGGGCGGGCCGAGGGCCGTGGAGGGGGAAGGGGTGGGGGAAGGGGAGGGTCACGCCGTGCGCGACGTCGCTCAGATCCAGCCCCGCGGTCGCCAGACACCGGTCGCTGCCGCTGCAGGCCTTCGAGTGCACCGAGCGCGCGGACTTGGCGGGATGAGGGTGCGGGCTTCGCGCAGGGCCGCGGGGCCTCGGCCGGGCTCCACCCCCAACTCCAGCACCGCCAGCGACGCCACCCCCTGCGGCGCTGCCTGACGGGGATGTCCGCCTGGGCCCAAGTCCACGGCCAAGTCCACGGCCCCGCCAGCGACGCGGACGACCTGCCCATCGCACTCTTCAGCGGCGCAGCCAAGCACCAGCGGGCCAGAGGCTTCGCGAAGGGCAACGGGCTGGCCTCCAAGTTCGCCGACCTCGTCAACACCGGCCTCGCCTACGGCAGCGTCGGCAAGGCGCCGAAGAAGGGCCCCGCCAACGGATCACCCACCGCCATCGCCGTGCACCGAGGACTCGGCGACCACGACGCGCAGCCCCGGTAACGCTACCTCTCAGCTGGCCGCCAAAAGAAATTGAAACTAGATCACAGGTGTTGGTGTGAAACTGATGCACGGAAAAAATTGGCACAAGTGTCCGGCCGTGGCTACTTAGCTTTTGGTTGTGGGAACAAGGTTTTCGATTTACAGCGATCGAATCGAACAGAGTTGATAATCAAAACAAAAGTCCTTTATTCCGTGCGCTCGCCACGTCAGTCAGAGTCGAAAAACTTTGGCAGCCTCATTAAAGTTGACAGCAAACACGGGGCGCTCCGAGTCGCCGCCGTAATGGCAGGGTGCGGTCTGCCGATGGGTCTGCCTCGCCAGCGCCTCCGTTTCAAAGTTACCTTCCGCTTCAATTTTCCAGTGGGCTGAAACCGGTTCATCCCCTCCGTGGCCGCGAACGCGACGGCCATCTGGCGGTTTACGCGTCGGCCTGTAATTGCAGCCGACCCGAGGGGCAGCAGGCTTTCTCTGTCGCACCCGTGCGGGCCTGCGGCTCGGCCTGCGGGACGACCCATATGAGTGCGACAGAGACGCAGCGACACTGTTCGGACCCTGCCTGCCGGCGACGGCCGGGCTGCACGCTGACGTGTGCGCTATTTGCGCAGCGCCGGATTCGCACCCCGCCCCGCCCCACCCCACCCCGCCCCGCCCCGCCCCGCCCCACCCCAACGGTGGCCTAGTCTGGAGACAGTCATGGGCCCTTACGTCCTCGAACGAGACTAGAATCAAACATATTGGTCTTATTGCCCTGCACCTGTCCAGGGGCATGTCCGCACTACCCCCACGACTACCCCCTCCCCTCCCCTCCCTTTCGCACTCCGCCGGGATACAATCGCGACTCGATCTAAATGGGACACTGATAGTTTATTTCGTTACTGCAATGGCGCCCGGCCGACGCCTAATAGGCCTGGGGGAGGGGGTGCTTGGCCTCGCCGGGGCTCCAGTCATGGGCAAGGGCGCGAGCCGCGTGGTGGCCGAGGGCTGGCACCGCGTCGGCGAGGCCTCGGCCCGCAGCGACCAGCGCGCCGGCCTCCTGCACCGGGACCTCGCCGTCGACCACCGGGACGGCGGCGTCGACGGCTACCGTGGGTCGCGCCGGGGGTCGCGGTGGAAGTACTCGCGGATAGGGTGAGCTGAGCAGGATGACGGACTAGGCGGCCTTGCGGACTCTCAAACCAAACGTGTGGCCCCACCAATGGATTCGTCATTCGGAGAGCAATCTGCTGGTGGGTCACACATTCGGTTTGAGTCCCGTTTAGCGACTCTGGAGCTCAAAACGCGTCCGGGATTTTGACCGCCACCGCCGGTCTTCTGGCGCACTGTGAGGCGAAGGGCGCTCTGAAGGGCGCGCCAAGGTGACCGACCGGGCGGCCGCCTTGGCGCGGGCATGACGGAAGGCGGCCGCGACATCGTTAGCCAAGGACGACGAAGATTGATAACGAGTGGAGGGGACTCCAGGCACCTCGGGGACCGTAGGGGACCGCCGCCGTCGTCGGGGTCCGCGGCACGCACGCGTCGAATCGATGTGCATGAGGGATGAGGGTACGGCCTGTTTTGTGCTGCTGGCCTCCATGTTAGAGGGCGGTGAAAAGGCCAGGATAGCGCCAGGGCCGGGCCGGGGGAGGGGGCGTCGGGAAGCGCACCCCGACCCGCCTGGGCCTAGGCCTAGGCCTGGGCCGCCAGTGGCGCCTGGACCTCGACACTGCTCGACACGCACGGGGGCGCCGAGCCGCCAGGCGGCGCGCACCAGTTTCACTTCACATCCTGCCCGTGTTTGCGTTTGCGTCAGACGTGTCCGCCCCTTCCTGCCGTGCCTGCCGGTGCCTGCCGGTGTCGCCGCGTTCGCACCCATTCGCGACCCTGGTCGATGCCCACCCTGTGGTTTCGCGTCGCGCGTTTCCGCTTCCGAGAAAAGGCTTCCGGCGAAGGGAGGCCGAATGGCCGCCGCGAACTGCGGTCCCTGCGGTCCCTGCGGTCTCGGTTACGGCGGCAGTGAAACGGCCACCCGGACTCGCTGACCGCCTCCGCGGCGACCGCCACCGAGCAGGCCGGCAAGGACGCCGGCAAGGACGCCGTCAAGGACGAAGACAAGGCCGCCACCCTGGACGACTGCTCCATGTCGCTGCGGCGCCGCAAGGAGGAGTGGCAGCGGCGGTTCGCTGCCGGGTGAGCCGGGCCGCCCCATAACGGAGACTTCTTTAGAGTGTAGCACAGTGGGCCAGAAGATCGGCGGAGGTGGGCAAAATCCTGGACGGGTTTTGAGCTCCAGAGCCGCCAAAAGGGACTCAAACCGAACGTGTGACCCCACCAATGGATTGCTCTCCGAACGAGGAATCCATTGGTGGGGTCACACGTTTGGTTCGAGTCCTATGAAGCGACTCTGGAGCTCAAAAAGTTTTGGCCGCCTACGCCGATTTTCTGGCCCACTGTGTGGTCGACAAGTTAGGGATTAAGCAGTACTGTACAGAAAGGGCGCTTTGTTTTTATCAGGCGAGAAGCATGTCCCTTATCAGACAGGGACATCGCGGGGCGGCGTGTACGTCGTTGCGTGCCACTGTGTTTGTGTGACAGCCTGGCCTGTCCGTGTGTGAACGTGCGTGTTTGCGTGATTATGTTACTGCGCTGTAGTTTTGATCGAGTCATCCTAGACCATCCACAGCCACCGGCCACTGGCCACCGGCCAGTGGGGGCCGTTACGACGTGGTAAAGCCACCGCGCGGGCTATCTGCGAAAATTAAGTCCACCCCGCCCCGCCCCGCCCCACCCCGCCCCACCCCGCCCCGCCCCGCCCCGCCCCGCCCCTGACCATCCCCTGCTTGACGACGACGTAAATCCACGGGGAGTGGGAGGGGCACGGCGTGCGGCTCGGCGTGCGGCACGGCGCCGATGGCCTCCCCGAGGAGCGCTGCGCACCGTCCGCGCACGCACGCCATGCTGGCCATGCCCTTGGCGGCCCGTCACTCACTCCTTCACAAAAAGACCGCAGGGCGTTTCTCATGTGTTCTTACGGCGGCTGCGGCCAGGAATTTCACACGTTCCCTCGAGACTCCACTTCCCTGCTTGTTGCTGCCCGCTGCGACGCTCACCGTGTGTTTCCTCCGCAGCATCCATGCGCTCACGCCGCCCACGCCCGTCCTCCTCGGCGGCCACCCCGGCGGCCCCGCGGCCGCGGACGCCGGCCCCGGGGACATGAAGCGGACCGCCAACGGCTGGCGGCCGCCCGACATGGGCGCGGGGGAGGCAGTGGCGATGGCGGCCGGCCACGGCGGCCAGGGCGGCCAGGGCTCGCCGATGAGCGGCAGGGTGGCGGACGCGTGGCGACGCTCCGCCCCCGCCGCGGACAACGCGCACGCCGTCTGGATGAGCCCCGCCACGCTGCTGCTGCGCAACCACCGCGTGACCGCGGACACGCCCGTCGCCGAGTCGGCCAGAAAGGAGGTTCTTGTCGCTGCCGTCGACCGGGACTCTGCTGCGGTCACCGCCTGCAAGTAACGCACGTTCCTTTGCAGCCGGCAGCGCGTCGGGGGGAGTCCTTCCACGAGGCTATGGCCGGCATCCTGGTGACCGCGCAGGTCTTCGGGCTGCTGCCGGTGCGCGGCGTGCGCAGCCCCGGGCCGCGGCAGCTCCGCTTCGAGCTCAAGTCCGTCAGGACGGTGTGGGCCTTGACGCTGTTCGTGGGCGTGCTGCTCGTCGAGATGGTGTCCCTGCGCCACATGGCGCTCACGCTCAGCGCGGACACGTTCGGCGTCATCGGTGAGGCAGGGCGATGGTCTGCAAAACAGTGTGCCAGACGACCAGTGTAGGTGGTCGAAAGCTTGGATGGGTTTTGAACTCCACAGTAGCTAAATAGGACTCAAACAGAACGTGTGACCCCACCAATGGATTGCTCTCCGAACGAGGAATCCATTGGTGGGGTCACACGTTCGGTTCGAGTCCCATTTAGCGACTCTGGAGCTCAAAACGCGTGTCGAGTTCTGGCCGCCTCCACCGGTCTTCTGGCCCACTGCGCCACCCCTCGACCTGGACCATGACGATGACGGCCTTGTGGTGCAGGCGGCATTGGCGCGGCCACGGCGGGCGCCGTGTTCTATGGCAACGCACTCATCGGGTCCGTGCTCCTGTTCCGGCTGGCGCGACGCTGGCCCCGCCTCATGGTGTCCTGGGCCAACATGGAGGACCTGATGCGCCGCGGACGCGCGCCCAAGCTCAAGCTGCGCATCGCCGTGCTCTGTGCCTTCGTCATGGTCAGCGCCCTCGGTGCGGCTACACTGTCCACGAATGCGTTACGTGCACTGAGTGGGATGGCTTACCTTCCTGTGACTCTGTTCCCACAGTGGAGCACTTCATGAGCATGCTCAACGCAGTGCCCGCCTTCATCGCGGTGCACTGGCAGGGGCAGCCCCGGCCGGAGAATGGTAAGCGAGTGGCCAGGGCGGCAGTCGAAGTCAGGTCAAAATAACAAAAATCACTACTTTCACTAAAATTTAAAAAAAGACACAAGAATGAAAGCGAATGAAAGTCACATTGATATCGACTTTTCCTTGCTCTCTGGGGTCCTAACGGTTTGTTTCGGTCCGCAGCCGTGGACGACTCGCAGGGGCTGTTCCTCGAGTTCCTGGACGAGTACTGCCACGCCTCGCACGCCTTCATCTTCGAGCACGTCCAGTACAACCTGTTCACGGGCCTACTCATCTTCGTCATGTCCAAGGTGACCACCTTCACGTGGAACTTCGTGGACCTGTTCCTCATGGTGGTGTCCACGGGGCTGGCGGAGCGCTTCAAGCAGTTCAACACCGTGGTCATCGAGTCCGACGTGTCGGTGAGTCGCGGCAAGGCGCACAGTGCGCCAGAAGACCGGTGGGGGCGGTCTAAATCCCGGACGCGTTTTGAGCTCCAGAGCCGCTAAATGGGACTCGAACCGAACGTGTGACCCCACCAATGGATCGCACTCCGAACGAGGAATCCATTGGTGGGGTCACATGTCTGGTTCGAGTCCCTTTTAGCGACTCTGGAGCTCAAAACGCGTCCAGAGTTTTGGCCGCCGGACCGTGCACCTCACTGTAGAGCGCCTGCAGTGGGCGGGGTAGGCAGTACCGCCGCGCACGGCCGCGCGGCTGGCTGCCTGCGCGCCGGGCTGCGTCTCTCACGAAGGGACAAAACGCAACGAAACGAGCTGGACTCGGCTTCCGTTCATGTTCCAGGCCCTCAACAAGGAGGACTGGCGAGAGCTGCGGGAGTACTTCGCCGCGCTGTCGTCCCTCACCAAGAACGTGGACAACAACATCTGCTCCATCGTGTTCCTCTCCTTCGGCAACAACCTGTACTTCATCTGCCTGCAGCTGCTCAACGGATTGTCGTGAGTGTCGTCGTTCTCCCTTGTGGACTACAGCAGGTCCTGGAGCCAACGGTGCGCTAACGTGTTCGCGTTCCCTGCCGCCCCCAGCCCCGGCTCCAACTCGTGGCTGTCCACCATCTACTTCTTCTACTCGTTCGGCTTCCTGCTGGGCCGCACCATCATGGTGACGCTCATCACGGCCAGGATCAACGACCTGAGCAAGGAGGGCCTGACCGCGCTCTTCAGCTGCCCGTCGGACACCTACAACGTCGAGGTGGCGCGCCTGCAGCACCAGATGGCGTCGGACGACCTGGCGCTCACGGGGCTGCGCTTCTTCTCCATCACGAGGAACTTCATGCTCGCCGTGAGTTAAGAAGCGTTTTGAGCGGCAGAGTCACCAACAGGACTCGAACCGAGCGTGTGACCCCACCAATGGATTCCTCGTTCGGAGAGCAATCCATTGGTGGGGTCACACGCTCGATTCGAGTCCCATTTAGCGATTCTGGAGCTCAAAACGCATCCGGGATTTTGACCGCCTCCACCACCTCCAGTCTGCTAGGTGTTCTGTGGCGGGGCAGTGTACAAACGTGACTCTGACGGGCAGGTCGCCGGCGCCATCGCCACCTACGAGATCGTGCTGCTGCAGTTCAACGTGGCCATCTCGCCGCACACGACGCCGGCGACGGCCACCGCCACCGCCGACGCCGTGGCCCCCACCGCGGCCCAGTGAGGGGCAGCGCCGCGTCGGTGCGAGCTGGCCTCGTCCTGGGCTGCACGTGCTGCGGCCACAATCAAAGTCTGAGAGAAAAAGTGGCTTCCACACCAACGGCGGCAAGAAGCAGTGCTCTTGCTGAGTCCGACACGGCGTTGTGACCCGCTGGAGCATTCCTACGTCGCTGGTAGACTGCCGAGTTCCCCGGGGAGCAATCCTGTACGGAAGATGTCTGTGATATTAGATTAATATTTCCACATAAACTTTCATAAATAAAAATCCAGTTTGGCAATGAATGTCGGTTGATTTTTTATTCATTAATCCCCTTAGAACACCTATGTCTTACGGTCCTAGACGTGGGGTATCTCCACATCGAGTGTCGACGCGGGTTCTGTCTCGTGGAGTATATTCCGATCAATGGCGCAGTACGCGGCTGCAAGGGGTATCGGCAGAAACTGCGCCTGGACTCTGGAGTGCGCGCGGCCCAGGATGACGTCCAACAACATCATTCGTACGGACAAGTAGGTCGACTTGCGGCGCTACCCCGAGAGCGAGAGGCTTTAGTGCCGCCCTTGAACGACCTCTGCGCGAGGGGTATTTCCAGAGGGCATTTCTCTCGCTGCTCGTGCGGACATCACGCACACACAGCCGTTCATCCAGACTCGCTGGGCTTCGCGGCCTTTCCAGAACGCCGAATCCACGACAAAAACAAGAATCCAATTAAAAAGGTCATTACTGTGGTGACATTACTGCCCTGCGTGCCGTGGCGCGCCTCGCCGTGCCGTGCCGTGCCGTTCAGCCGTTTTTCGTAATTGCGATGTTGTCCACTCGGGGCTAGGCTTGCCCGTGTTGTTGCTGCCACCCCTTCCGCTCACGCCCACTCACTTCCGGTGCACAGCGCTGCCACGGCGCTGCCACGGCACTGCCAACCCTCTCTCCGTCCTTGTCGCAGCAGGACGTCGAGTGGCTCGATCGACGGAGACAGATGCAGTGACCCTGGCGTTGTCTCCCGGGGGGGCTCGGCTGGGGGAGGGCGGGGCGGGGCGGCGTGTGGGCGACCGCGGCGGCAGTGGCGGCGGGGACGCGCGGCGAGGCGGACGCCTCGGCAGGAATATGGAACATCTGGAACACATGGAACATGCAGAAGCTGCCTCCGTACAAGTCCTCGGTAAGCAGTGCGAATGCAAACATATTTCCAATGAAAAATAGTAGAAAAACATCCTCATCTTGGGTAAAAGTAGCATTGGGTCAGTACAGTAGAACGAGTTTCCTTCCCGCGGGTGCAGTGCTGGCACGTAGAATGGGTTGCCTACCCTGCTGGCGCAAGTAGTACGTAGAATGGGTTGCCTACCCTGCTGGCGCAAGTAGTACGTAGAATGGGTTGCCTACCCTGCTGGCGCAAGTAGTACGTAGAATGGGTTGCCTACCCTTCTGGCGCAAGTAGTACGTAGAATGGGTTGCCTATCCTGCTGGCGCAAGTAGTACGTAGAATGGGTTGCCTACCCTGCAGGCGCAGTGCTAGCACGTCGACTGAGTAGCCTACCCTGCTGGCGCAGTGCTAGCACGCAGAATGGGTTGCCTACCCCGCCGGCGCTTGACTGCGCGTAAAATGGGCTGCCTAGCGAGCGGGTGGAGTTCGTGGAGACCAGTCTGCCGAAAGAGAACGATGTTATTATTGCCTCCACCTGTGTAAATCTTCATCTCTAAAACGCCCCCTCTGGATTTTTGGCGAGAGAGGAACCGGGAGCTGAGTGAAGCGGGGCAATCATGGCCACGGAACCTCCGGCCAAGAGTGCGACTGATAAGACAAAAACGAAATTTTTGGTCGCAAATTTTGATCCGGAACGGTTGAGTCGATCATCCTTGCAGTGGGCAGTGATTGCACAGGGTGTATCAGCGAAGTCGATCGATCGATAAGTCGAGTGAGCAGCGAGAGTGGTTCGGGGGCACACACCTTCCTGGACTGTGAGTACACTGGCGATTGAGAGCACACAACGGGCCCAACGATCTGGAACTTTACTGCGAATATTTACTTTGCTTCCCTCCCGCGCGTGCGTGCCTGTTTGTTTTGTGTGTGTGTGTGGGGGGGGGGGCGTGCGTGCGAGGGTGTGATGCCGGTAAGGGCGCGACCTTGCACTGCCGTCCCACTATGCCGCACGACAGCAGACTGATTGCGAATAGTGTCGCTCTGTCTCTCTCGCACTAATGGGACGTGATGGGGGTGCTAGAGAGACAGAGCGACACTGCTGGAGTGGAGGGGTCGGTATTGACGGTAGCGCGGCGCTTCCCGGCCGACGCTCGTCCGGCCAATCGGCGTCTCGGTTAACGCCGCCTACGCCGCCAATGCTGGCAATGCTGACATGCACCCCGACAGGTGATGGCGGTGGCCCCGGCGACGCCCTCGCGACCTCTCCGACGGCCGTCCCTCGGCGGCGCTGGCGGCAAGCAGGGCGCCGTGTGGACCGTCACGTCGTCGGCGTCCTCGGCGTCCGGAAGCGTCCCCCACACCACGGGCACCAGCACCTTCCTGCGCGGACTGCGGCCCGCGGCCCTGCTGGCCGAGGTGGGTGTGGCTTCGAAACCCAGCGCGGCGGCGGCGGTTTTCGCAAAATAAAATGTCTCGCCGCAGGGCTTCGGGCTGCTCCCTGTGGCCAAGTCCTCGGACGACAACGAGGCGGTGTTCCGGTGGCGGTCGCTGCGCGTCGCCTACTCGCTGATCATCATCCTGGGCTCCTTCGGGGAGGCCGTGCTCTCGCTCATGCGCATGGCGGAGACGGGCGTCACGTTCTTCACTTCCGGTACGACAGCTTTACGCAGGCTTTTGAAATTACTTTTTTTTTCAACGGCTTGAAACGTCTTGTGCAGTGAACGTCATGTTCTACTCGACGTCCCTGGCCACCTCGCTGGTATTCCTGCGGATGAGTGTGTCCTGGAGGGACACTCTGGCCACGTGGTGCAAGCTGGAGCGCTTCATGACGTCCTACAACGGCGAGCCGTCGCGCCTCGTCGCGCAGATGAAGACCATGACCTTCGTGGTGCTCGTCCTGGCTCTTCGTAAGACAACGCCCAAATCTCAGTGACGCTCGTTGAAAGTTGTTTTCTAAATCCCGTTTCCAATTTATTCCCAAAGTTGAGCACGTGCTGTCCATCGTCAGCACGGTGTCGTACGTCTGGCCGTGCTTGGACCGCGGAGGCACCCCTCTGCTCATCGAGGCGTATTTTCTCACCAAGTATCAGAAAGTGCGCCACATTCTTCTTTGGCCGTTGCTGTGCCTGTTAACCGTCATTTTCTCTGCAACTTTTCGACCCCTTTTGCAGACGTTCACCACGTTCAGGTTCTCGTTCCCGCGTGCCATTTTCCTGTTCACGCTGCAAGTCATCACGACGTTCATCTGGAACTTCTCCGACCTCTTCATCATCCTCGTGTCCATGGGCATCGGCGCCTACTTCCGCCAGCTGAACCGGGCCATGGAGAGGAGCAAGGGCAAGGTGAGTCTACTTTCGAAGAATCGGAACTTAATTATCGATAATAATTTTGCGAATATCAGTTCGGAGTTGCCACCAAGCCATCGATAATCTTCCCTGGGTTGCTCTCCGGTACCCTGACTCCGATTCCAGATCAGGCACGAGGAGTTTTGGCGGCAGAAGAGGGAGGTGTACAACGCCTTGTCCATGCTCACCAGGATCACCAACGATTACGTCGGGCCCGTGGTCCTCATCTCCTACGCTTCCAACTTGTACTTCATTTGCCTGCAGCTGCTGGTGGTCACCAAAAGGTGCAGTGCTCTTCCGCTCTTCCGTTCTTTGGGAACGATAAATTAAATTGTTTTGGCTGCGCTGCCCTTTAGCCCAGCGGTTCCCAACCTTGGGGTCGCGAAAAAATTTGAGGGGTCACGGCGAGGTGGCTGGGGTTGCCTGGGGTCGCGGCTGGCGTTTCCCAGCTGGCGCACACGCCGAGCACTGGCGGGAACAACTTTGCTGCATTACTGCTCCCAAACTTAGGCAGATAATCGCACTCCGTAACAAAGGCATGCTAAAGGAAGGTCCAAAGACCGATTGCACGTTGAGGGAGGACGAAATACCGCCTCGGATCAGACGCAGTGGATGCTGAAAGTCGGTCCAAAACACGATTTTTGGGAACCGCTGCTTTAGCCTGCACTGGTTTCTCCCAGGCCGCCGCGCACCACGCACCTGCACGACGTCTACTTCTTCTACTCGCTCGTCTACCTGATCGGCCGGACCTGCGTGATGGCCCTGATCGCCGCCGACGTCTACCAGGAGAGCCAGAAGCCCCGGTCCACGCTGTTCTGCGTGCCCACGACCAGCTTCTGCCGCGAGGTGAACACAAAGCTGTTTGGGTTGGCGCGCTGTTTGGCTGTGCACGCCGTGCACGGGCAAACGACGCTCGCGTGTCGGGCTATCGATGGCACCGTCTATACCCCCGCCATCGCCTCGAGCGCGGAGTATCGCCACTGAATGGGAGTCCGTTGCAGGTGCAGCGCTTCCTCATGCAGGTCAACACGGACTCGATCGCGCTGTCCGGATGCAACTTCTTTTCCATCGACCGTTCTTTCATGCTCACGGTAAGACTTAACTGAACCTAGACAAAGTCTGTGGATTTCTGGTCTCCTCCATTTTTTTGGTTGTAACTATCTGTTGACGAGCAGGTGGCGGGCACCATCGTCACCTACATCGTGATCCTGGTGCAGTTCGAGAGCCCCACGAGCGTCGAGCAGGGCGCCACTGCTGGCACGAACGTCACCGTCTTGGCCTGTACGTGCAGCGACATCAAGAAATTCGACTGCTGACGGAAAAGATGCTTTTAAGATTTGTAAATAATATATTAGTCAAGCTGCAATAAAGTGTCGAATGGAAGCCCAGGTTTCGGAGCTGGACTAAGTTTTACAGTGGCGTGTTTTGTCAGTCTGCCGCCGATCGGTCGGCCCGGCCCGCAATCAGGTGGGTCGAAAAATAAGCGGAGCTAAACGACGCAGGCACGAGACTATGGTTCATTCATCCGATTTGACGGCTGTGTCAAATGCGCCGCGCCGCCCCCTCCCCGCCGGTCGCCGCGCCACGCGTCGCCCCCCCCCCCTCCCCGGCGCTGGAGGCGCGACGCCGCCGGTCGGAGCGCTTCCCTCTCCCTCGCCTCTCGCCGCGCCGCCTCGCCCGCCTCCCTCAGTCGCGCGCTGCCGTGCGAAGCGAAGGGACCTCCGCGCCGTGCCGTCCGCGCCGTGTCGCGTCCAGACGACCGTTCTCGCCGCGTCCGCCACAACAACCGCGTGGCACGTGCAAGTGACCGAGTGACAGTGTGCCTGCCGAGTGACAACAAACTTGTCATCCTCGTGCGTGCGTGCGTGTGTGTGTCTCAACCAGTGTGTGAGTGTGCCCGTGGAAGTGACGAGCGTTTCTCTCTCCGCCCGGCGTTCTCTCTCCGACACGAGGCTCTCGTGGATACCGGCCAGGATAACGCCGCCGAGCTGCTCAAAGTGGATTACTCTACATCGCTTCCTCGAGGTGAGACGACGCGGCGACGCGGCGGAACAGTGCCGTTGATTGCATCTGCCGCGCGGAATGTCCGTCGGCACCGGATTATCTTCCGGCAGCATCGGAAAGGGAGGACTTCAGTGACTAGACAAGCCATTATTTGTCGGAATCTTTGTGAGCGGCCCGGGCTGTCAGTGTGTGTGTGTGTATGTGTATGTGTGAGCGCGCGCGTGTGAGTGTGTGCGTCTTGCGCTTTAAAATCGTGGCTTGTAAAGTCGTTGGATAACGTTTCGGCGCCATTGTTTGAAAATACCCGAGTGAAGATCGCACAAGTAAGACACGCCTGAACCGTCTGCGGTGGAATAGCAAAAACTGTGTCCTTAAAAAAATTTTCTCTTTTCTTTTCGCGTTTAATGAAGATCCTCGGCTGTCGTATGGATGACAGCAGGTCCACCCTCTTCCCGCATTTTGCAATTTCCATCAGAGGATAGCGATGCGCGCGCACGCAGTTACCTACACTAACCACCCACCACACTGGAAACTCGTCGCTGTTGCAAGAAAGGTAATGAAGGTCCTGTGGAAGCCAGGCAGGCAGCGGGTTTCGCGAGGAGAGATTTTTTTTTTCTATTCTCCCTTGAGCCTTTTCGGGCTATCGGTTTAGCTGCGGCGTGGCTGTGTTTGGGGACCGACTCACACCGCGCGCGCCGCGTAGCCGCGTAGCCGCGTAGCCGCGTGCAACGGTGAAGCCGAGTGCGGTTTCGGCCGCCGGGGCCTTTAGGGCACACTGAGAGTCGTCTTCGTCACTCTGTCTCTCTCGCACTCATGGGGCGTCCCGTGGAGGTGCGAGAGAGACAGCACGACCCGGTCGAGGCGTCGAGGCGGCGACGTCGGGCGCGGTCCGCCTTTTCAAACGCCCCGCCGCGAAAACGGCGTAGCGCCACTGGAAAACGCCCCGACTTGGCCGCTTGTTGGCCCTGGCGGTCCCGGCGGCCCCGGCGGCCCTGCAACCGTTTCGGGCAACACACTATCCCGCTGCTGCGGCGTCGCCGGGCCGCCGGGCGTCGCAGTCCCTACAGTGGCGCGTCGCGATTCTTCCCCGCGACCGCCGCCTCGCCGGAAACGGGAGGATCCCGCGGAAATTTGATTTCCTTTCGCGGTCTTTTTCGAATCACTTTCTACCGCGCCGCCCGCCGGGACGACACCGCCGCCGGGACCGCCGCGCGCGCAGGAGCCTCTCCAGTGCCGTTTTTTTGTCGTCTGCCCGATGACTTTCCAGGACTTGGTTTTCGTCCGTTTTGGCGGGAAATGCCCTCGTCGTCGTCGGCGCCGTCCGCGCGCGCCACCCCGGCCAAGCTCTTTGTTTGGAGCAACGCCCAGATGAGCATCTCCAAAATCGCGCTCTATTTCGCGCCCGTCTTCGCCTGGGCTTCTGTGTGTGAGTGTGTACGTGTGCGTGTGTGTCTGTGTGACTGCGCGTGTGAGTGTGTGTGTGTGTACCGCCGTCGGCCAGCGAGACGCGGCGTTGCGGCGTGTGCCTTGAGCGTGAATCCGGCCGACCACCCCTCCCCTCCCCCCCCTCCCCTCCCCTCCCCTCCCCTCCCCTACTTCGCTTGGCCGGCTCCTTTGACTAGGTCCCACCTACTGCTGCCGCCGCTGCACTGCTCTGCTCCCAGGTCCGTCCAAAGCAGTCCGGCACCTGTTTCTTCATCTCGTCGCAGCACTGTAGGGGAGCCCGTGTGCAAACAATAGCGGAAATTGCCGAAAATTTGAATTTGTCCGTTTGTCTGTCTGTGTGTCTGTGTGTCTGTGTGTCTGTCTGTCGGTCTGTCTGTCTGCGTGTGTGAGTGTGTCTGTGCGCCTCGTCGGTTCGTCTCGACGGCCAGCGACAGTCGCTCTGTCTCTGTGGCACCCATACGGAACGCCTCACGAGTGCGAGAGAGACAGAGCGACGAGAACGACTCTCGGAACCAGTCCGCAGTCCGCCTGATGATGACGTTGACGCGGTGCGGTACGGCCGAGGCGAGGCGTTGCCGTGGCAGTGGCGTGGCAGTGGCGTGGCAGGCGGTGCGGTACCGCGGTACGGTACGGTGGTGTTATAAACTAGCGGCCATCACGGAGACACGCGGTGCCGCGTTGATGTGACTGCAGCGGCGCCCGAGGCGTGATGCCCGCGGCGTGATCGCGGGGAAAGGCGTCAAAGCACGCATCGCGCGTCGCCCTGGGTCATTCGGGCCGTCCGCGCTCATCAACCTCGCCGACGTCGTCGCTAAGGAGGCGGGCACGCACAGTGGGCCAGACCGGTGGAGGCGGTCAAAATCCCGGACGCGTTTTGAGCTCCAGAGTCGCTAAGGGACGCGAACCGAACGTGTGATCCCACCAATGGATTCCTCGTTCGGAGGGCAATCCATTGGTGGGGTCACACGTTCGGTTCGAGTCCTGCTTAGCGACTCTGGAGCTCAAAACGCGTCTAGAGTTTTGGCGTCTGTGCGCCGCCGGCGGCGGCGTCCTTCCCGTAGCAGGCAGCAGTGGCGAGGCGGCGAGAGGCGCGTCGGGGAAGTCGACGACGCCTCCCCGCCGGAACGACGCCGACCTGCCGGCAGCCCGGCTGGCAACCCGGCCGGCGGCGCGACCTGCCTGCCGGAGTCTACCGGAGCCAAAGCCGGAGAGCCAACTTCCGGCGGACGTCAACCGGAGCAGTGAGCAGCGCGGGGCAGCGCGGGGCAGCGCGGGGCAGCGCGGGGCAGCGCGGGGCAGCCACCGGCCGCTTAGAGGGGGCGGCGGCCGGCCCGGCCCGGCCGCCCGCAAGGTGTATACGCGAGTCATGCGTGGCTGGGGAGGGGGAGGGGGAGGGGAGGGGCGAAGCCGCGCGTTGCCGTGGGAGCACTGGGAGCACACACCGCCGAAAGGGGTGGTGGGGGTGACACACACACACACACACACACACACACACACACACACACACACACACACACACACGCGCGCGCGCGCGCCAGCTGTTCCAATCTTCTCCTTCTCGGTGTGCCCGGTGCGCCTCGCGGAATGTTTTGTCATTTTCCGGCCTATTCCGTGCGAAATGTGCCGCGTGCATGACGTCCTGTTGCAGTCTGTGGTGCCGTTGCGCCGTCTGCCTGGCCTGCCTGCCTGTCTGCCTGTCTGTCTGCCTGTCTGTCCGTCTGTTCGTCCGGTAATTGCGGGCCCCTGATTGGGACGCACCGTTGTCTCGATGTCGCCTTGGCTTCGCCTTGGCAGTGCTCCGCCGTCCCTCATTTCCTTCGTCGATCGCACTGCACCGTTCACAACAACAACACCGTTTCTGGGTCGGCCCCTTTTGACGCCGCCCCCGTTTTGTTTATTAATTCAATCAATCAGGAGAGAAGAAGACCCTAATGACGAGCCTTGGCGCGCGCGCCATCCATTTACTTGCCGACTTTTTAATTTTGGGAACCGCCATGACTCCGCGCAAAGCGAGGCTCTGCCTGCCCGTCTGCCTGTCTGTCTGTCGACTAGACGCCCGATTTCCGGCCCTCTTCTCACCCCTTTCTCCCGGCCTGGATCCTCCTCTCCCATTTGAGGTCAATTGATTTGCAATTGTAGACTTCTTTATTTATTTTTTATCATTTCTTCTGTTTCATTTGTACCTACGCCCTGTTTCCCGCGCGCGCTCCGGGTTCGAATCCCAGTAGCCACGCACTTTTTTTTCCAATGTAGTGCCTGACCGCACCGGGACGCGCTGCGGTCGGGCGTGGCGCGGGGTCACTCCTGGGCACTCTCCGTATTGGAAATGGGAGCTAGTTTTCAGTTGCGCGAGGATTAATTATAATTACCTGCTTTAATGAGACGAGCAGCCAGTCAGGCCGTGTCAGAATGCAGACCCTCATATTTCACCTCTCCAAGTGCCTCGTCTCTTTATTTTGGTCCGCCCTGCTCGATACGTCAGAGGAGTCTGTTCTATCTGTCTGTCTGTCTGTCTGTCTGTCTGTCTGTCTGTTCGTCTGTCCGTTGGTCCGTCTCTCTGCCCCACATACGCATTCGTTTGATCGACAAGCTGTCGGGGATTGGCCATGCCGCGGCGTGTCTGCCAAACGGGCGCGGCGCGCACAGTTTTGACAAATCATGATCGACCCCTCCTTCGATCTATCGATCCATCGACGGCGCCGTGATTCGCCGCGGAGCTCATCAGGCGACTGCAGATGCCGCTCTCCCCCATCTGTCACGTCACCATCTAGGTCTGGGCAGGAGGCTGCGAGGCGGGGGCCGCACGGTGGGCCAGAAGACCGAGGCGGACAATACTCTAGACGCGTTTTGAGCTCCAGAGTCACTAAACAGGACTCGAACCGAACGTGTGACCCCACCAATGGATTCCTCGTTCGAAGAGCAGTCCATTGGTGGGGTCACACGTTCGGTTCGAGTCCCGTTTAGAGACTCTGGAGCTCAAAACGCGTCCACCGGTCTTCTGGCCCACTGTGGGCCGTACCGGGCCGCACTGAACGTGATGAGAGCGGGATTACTTTTATCCGCCCGCAGTCGCTATGGCTGTGGCGCTCGTTTTGATTTTTTGAGGGTTTTCCTCGTAAGCCTCGCCTTCCCTCTCTCTCTTACCGGCAGTTTTTTCCTTGTTTAGTTAGTGGAGTAGTGTCGCGGGTATTTTTTTGTTGCTGTTGGATCTCTTTTCCGAGTAGCGCCGGGGGAGGCGCGTTGGGGGAATGGGAGGGAAATCCGGTGGCGTATTAGAAGGAGGATTCGTCTTTATCAAGAAAATAGTTCTGGTGACGCAACGCGAGTTTTTACCGCAAATGACTCCATTTTGAAACTTTCTACGCAACTTTGACGAGGAAACCTTTATTATCACCAGTCATTTTTAATACGCGAATGAGTTGTGCGTCGAATTTAAAATAATCGAGTTTGGCGGGCGGCGGCAATTTTTTTTTAAAAAGCGTTGTTTTTGTTGGAAACTCGTCGCGGCTTGTTGGTGACGCGCCCCGCCCCCAAATGAATGAGCGAGGCTCGTCGCGCTGTCCCTCTCGCACCCT